AGAAGGGCAGAAATTGTTGGTAGAACAAAAATAGAAACAGAAGCATTTTTGATGTAGCTTCTGAGGTTATAAACAGAAAAACCATGGTTCTGTGCTGAGGTGGCTCTCACACTAGGTACTGAACTTCTCACGCTGTTGTTAATGGATACTTCGCACTCCCTTGAAAATCCTTTAAAACAATCACCAGGTCATCCGGTCACACCCTTAAGTAGGAGGCTCCCCACTTAATTGAAAAATTTGCTTTAATAGAAACAAGAACGCACTTGACCTGTCCTGAGTAGAGTATCCATGGATAACATGGCAGTGTACTAAGTACTATCAGAAGGAAATAAGACGTTAAAAAATATGATTACTTATTGCCTCCAGGAACTTGCCCTTTAGTACTTTTTTTTTGTTATTGTTGTGGTGGTGTTTATACGGTGTAAAAATAGGCTATTTTTATTTTTTACCTGTTTTAACTTGTTTAATCTTTTTACCATTTATGATTTAGATTTTTTTGCCTTTACAATTTAAATATATTTATGAAGACAAGCAATCACATGAAAAATTCTCACAATCTATGATTAAGTGTCAATGCCAAGAAATAAAATCATGTATTCAATATTATTATTGTATTGTTAAAAATACAATTGCACTTAGAAAAACGATCAGAAAAATACAGTAAAAGAAGGTTAAAATAAGTTTTGCTTGTGGATTATGGGTGTTTTTGTTTGGCTTTGCTTTTTCACAAATGTCTTTCACAAATGTCTTTCACAAATGTCTTTATATGTATTACTTTTAGAGGATAAAAAGATGAACTAAAAAAACATTAACTTTATGCCACAATATTGTTCGGCAGATTGCTTTTTCCACTCAATACATATTTATCTTTCCAATAGCACCTATAAAGCTACTTTATCCTTTTTAAAAACTTTATGGTATTCTCCTGTATGGATGTTACAGCATTTAATCAATATTGGTTGGTTTTATCAATATTTTATCATCAATATTTACCTCTATTGATAAGCATTTAAGTTAAAAATGTTTTGCTATTACAAATAATACTGTAAAAGCACCTTTATATCTTTACATATATACAAGGGTATTTCTAAACAGGACAATTATTTTGTAGAAGGAAAACCATTAAGTCAAAGAACATGTGCAATTTTTTTGGTAAATTATATATTGAAATGTCACATACAAACAGGGAAGTGCACAAATCAGAATTTCACAACTGAATGACTTATGACAAAATGAAGGTTAACTTGTGCAAACTGCATCTAATTCAGAAATATTACTCAAGCCTAGAAGCCTCTTATGTGTGCACACTAATTTTTATGAACACTTTGAAATTGCCTTTCAAAAATGTTAAAGGAATTACACATAATCCAATGTATCTGAGACATCCTCTCCAACATACATTTTTAGTTTTTGACAATTTGATAGGTGAGATGAAAATCACGTCTAACTTGTTTTTTGGTTTTTAATGAAGTTGAGGATTTTATCATTACCATTTTTGTGTGACTTGCCTGATATTGTCCTTGTTAATTTTTCTACTGAGATGTCTTTTTCTTATTATTTATAGGAACTATGTTTTAAGGATGTTACCCATGTGACTGCTATACACGATGGAAATATTTTCTTCCCCTTTGTCACTTGTCTTTTAATTTAATGCTGACTTCCAAATTAGAGAAATTTCAAATCTTTTGTAGTCAAATCCCTCAATTTTTTCCTTTGGGGCTTCTCAATTTTGTGTAACATTTTAAAAGTATTCCAAACATTCAACAGTTCAACAGTACAATAACATCTGCCTATGTTTTTCTTGTTTTATTAGTTTTGCTTTTATCAGTTAAGTCTTTTATATGAAATTGTGTGCTTTGGGAGGGTAGAGATCTTTAAAAAAAAATACACTAATGCAATTTTTAAAAAATCCATCATCTTCCAGCTAATTTGAAATACCATGTTTACTATGCACCAAATCTTATGTCTGGTTCTAGAATCTCTTATTTAGTTCCACTGATGTTTGTCTATTCTTACTTCAATATGATATTATTTATTACAATAGCTTTACAGCACATTTTCATGTGTTTTTTTCTTCTTCAGAATTTCACTCATTTTGTACTATATAGTTCTTCCAAATGAACTGGAGACTGAATTTGAAAAATTCTCTCAAGATCCATTTTGATTTTGATTGGGACTGCCTTGAATTTACGGATTGTGGAAGAATTAGAAATCTTTTTAAAAATTTGTCTTCCCTGTCAGGAATATATTTCTCCAATTTTCTTTAGGCCTCTTTGGCATGATCTTGATTGTAATTTGAACACTTAGATTTATAGAGTTCTTACAAATTTGTTGTTTTAAAGTATTAGGAGGCTATTGATATTATAAATGGGATCTCCCCTTGTTTTTTATTTCTGATTGTTACTGCTGATACAAGAATTAATGAGTTTGGAATAATTATCTTGCATCTGACCTCCATATTGAACTTTATTAGTTCTAATAGTTTTCAGTTAAATTTGTCTTGGCTTCTCCAAATGAACCACTGAAAATTTTCCCTCTTCCTTTATAATGTGTGTAGTTCTTATTTACTTCTCATTTCTTATTGCATAGGTATGGAGTTTCAGAAATATTTAATAAGAAGTAAAAATAGGCATTATTGTTAAATCCCTCATTTTAATGGGAATGTTTCTAATATTTCTCCATTAAGTGATATTTACTATTGGTTTCTGATAAACAGGTCTTTCTTTTTATCAAGTTAAAGAGATCCTTCTATTTCTAATTTGGTAAGTGTTTATTAAAAAGGAGTGTAGGCTTTTACTGGACACCTTTTCAGGCTCTATTTTTATTAACAATGGTTTCTTCTTTAATGAGTAAGTATAGATTATATAATAGATTTCTTAATATGGAACCATATTTACATTGCTGGAATAACTTCTCCTTATATATATAGTATATATATAAATGGCAGGCAGCCAGTGACTGGCTCTCCTGGGGACACCTGTGTGGGTTCTTTGAAGGTTCTGCAGGGCTTCCTCCCTTAGGAAGGTTAGAGGCAGGTGGCTCAGCCCAGCAACTTATGTCTTTTGTCCATTTGACTCTCAGGAAAATATCCATGATTGTGTTATGCCAGAAGATGGGTGTTCAGATGGCTCCCATGGTAGCTCCTCTCAGTCCTGCCATCTCTCCCCAGTCCTCCTGGCAGGTGCCCAGAGATGTATGGGCACATGAGCTATCCATCACATCTGCATCCTTCTACTTCTGAGGCTGATTCAGATCAAGATTCTATTCTCCAAATAAACCATAAAACCCAACACCTCCAAATCTCAGAGTTCATTACACAGGAATAAGAAAGGATTATCTAATATGTGGCTTGAGGACAACAGTAAATTAGAAAGATGTTAGGTCTACATTTTATATCATTTACCAATTTTTTTTAATGAGGCACATGTAAGAACCAACTTATAGAAATACTACAGTAAAATGGAAACAAGTATCTGTCAGATCTGTGGAAGAACTCTTTTTCAGTATTGAAAGTAAAAATTGATTATTTGAATAAATGGTAAATCCAATAAATAAAATATGCAAAGGATATAACCTGATCATTCATACATGAGGAAATTCAAGGGGTAAGTAAATGGAAATACCTTCATTCTCACTGGTAATAAAAATGCACAAATAAAGAGACTGAGATATACTTAAAAATTTAATTTTTGTAATTTTAAAAGATTTTAACTGTGTTAAAATACATTTAACAAAATTTGCCACTTTAACAATTTTCAAGTATACAGTTCAAGTATGAAATACATTCATGCTGTGCAAGACATACTTTTAAGTCTACTAAATTATCTTTTAAAAAGTTGATAGTTTATGGTTTCCAGGCTACTCTGCTGGCAGTATTGACAATTGGTAAATACCCTTTGGAAAGCATTAAATTCAAATGTGGTGACAGCCATGACCCAGTAATGCTACTCCTGGGAATTTGTGCTAAAACTAATTAAGTTGAGCCAAAAGGCTTTACTCATAAAGATATTTGTAATATTTTCCTATTATTACTGTGACAAATTACCAGAAAGTCTCTGACTTAAAACAATACAAATTTACTATCTCATAGTTCTGAGGGAGATAAGAAGTCCTAAAATCATACTGTCAGCAAAGCTCTAATCCTCCTGGAGGCTCTAGGGGAGAATCCATTTCCTTGCCATTTCCTACCTCTAGAGTTGGTCTGCTTTCCTTGGCTCATTGCCCCTTCCTCCATTTTCAAGATACCTCATCAGAACCTCTTGTTCCACTGTCCCGTGTCCTTTCTCCCACTCTAACTCCTCCAGCATCCCTCTTATAAAGATACTTGTGATTGCATTGGGCCCACCAGGAGAATCTCCTCACATCAAGGTCCTTAACCTAATCACAACTGCAAAATCCCTCTTGCCATGTCAGGCAACATGCTCACAGATTACAGGGATTAAGATGTGGATATCTTTGGGGGACCTTCATTTCATCTTCCACAGTACCACTAACAGATTTTGTTAATATAACTGCAATATCATTATTACACCCAACAAGATTAACATTCATCTCTTAATATCTATCCAGTCCATGTTCATGTGTCCAGTCCCATGCTTATCTGAAATGTTTTTTCCAATTGGCTTACCAGAATCAGGATACAAACTAAGCTCACACAGTGCATCAGTTGACAGGTCTCTTAAGTCTCTTTTTATCTGTAACAGATTTATCTTCCTGTCCTCTTTCTTTTTCATGCCATTCCAGAAGAAACTGGGCCTTGTTCTTACAGTGTATCGCACATGCTGGATTCATTTCTGTTTCCATCATGGTGTTATTTGACTTGTTCTTCTATTCCTTATATTTCCTGTAAACCTATAGCTGAATTAGAGCCAGGTTTTATTTTTATTTTTTTATTTGAATACCTCAGAGGTGGTGCTTGCTGTGAGCTTTCTGTTGTATCACATCACACACACACGTCTTGTTCACTTTTAGTGATGGCTAACACCGACAAGAGACAAATATTTTGTAATAGATTTATTGAGCTACCATTTACACTCTATGAAGTCCACCCATTTTAAGCATACAATTCAATGAATTTTAGTATATTTACAGAGTTGTAAAACCATTGCCACAATCTAATTTTAGAACATTTCCATCACACTAAAATGAACTTTGAGCCCATTTACAGTCAATCCCCATTCCTACTCTTTGGCCCAGGAAACCATTCATCTATTTTGTGTGCCTATAGATTTGCCTTTTATAGCAACAAATCACATTTTGCATGCTTCACTGCTCTGGTCTGTTAACTGCTCAATTGGTTTCTGAACTCCATTCAGACTTATTGTCACTAAGTCTTTTTTTTTTTTTCTTGCTCCTGTTTCTCTCAATCATCTTGATCAACTTACAAGAACAGTGCCTTAGTTTTATGCTTACTTAATTTTCTTGCTTTGTGCATTTTGGGCCATTTATGTATTTTGCACCAACTTGAATTCCTCAGCAACCAGTTCTACCTTCCATTCTCAGGGCCCTGCTAGCCCATAGGAACTTTTGTAAGACTTAAAATAGGTACCCCTTTCACACATGCAGCTTAGGGGCTTCCTGATTAGCAAGCAAAATGTGCCTTTGTTTGAACTTGAAATGTCCCTTGCAGACAAGCAAATCCAGACCAGGCCTGAATCTTGGCCAACAGAGTCCCACTCCCCCATGCCTCACATCCTTGGGTGGGGTATAACATGCATTTCCATGAGCAGCAGCACAGTTCTTTATAATAGTAAACAGGGTTGCTATTATTCATTCAACAAATATTTGTTTAGTGTTTTCCATGTGGTTATATGTGACATACTATGAATAAAAGTAAGTGGACACAACCTTCTCCAATGAAGCTTGCTGTCAAGAGTCTTCATTCTCAATGATCGTCTTCTTCTCAGTCCTCATGGCCCAGTTCCAAACACCTACTTTGCCAGGTACTAAAAACATGCAACATTTTCAAGTACAAAATAAAATGAAGCAAAACCATGAACATTTGAGTAGTGATTCATCCAATGATGATGCTTCCTAGTAATCTGTGCTTTACATATTTTAGTCAAACAGTTTCTTTTTTATGGGGTATCTGCATACACTGCAAAATGGTCACAATCCTTCACTCTTCCTATATCTGCCCCCCTTTGCAATATGACTTCACAGCACCTCCCATCAAGAGGTGGATTCTATTTCCTCACTCCTTGAATTGGCTTTGTGACTTGCTTTGATCCATAGAATGGAGTGGAACTGACATTGTCAGTTCTAAAGCCAGGCTTTAACAGGCCCTGTGTGATTCTGCCTGTTCTTTTGGAACCCTTTCAATAACCATGAGAACCAGTCCAGGCTACTCTGATGGAGATGGAAAACCACATGAAGAAGTGATAAACTACGCCAGCTGAGGCCATCTGAGACCATCCAGCCCCAGCCAGTAAGAAACTGATACAAGATGTATGAGTGAGACTAGCACAGAAACAGAAAAACCAACTAGCTGAGCACAACCCAAATTGCTGAGCTGCAGATTTGTAAGATAAATAAATGATTGTTGCTTTAAGTCACTAAGTATTAGCATGGTTTATTCTGCAGTGAAAGTTAACTGATACAGTAACTTTCTTATGTCTCTAGGATTATTACCTATCATTCCCACTTGGCTTTTGGTAACCTCTAGTCTACCGAACCTGTTTTTCATTCTTGTCCAAAATACATACCCTGAGTATCTGCTGTGTGTCAAACAGGGCTGTCTTATGACAGACACATGCACAGGCAAACAGTTCAGTGTGATATTACAACTAAGAGTACACATTGCCAAGAGAGGAGTTGGGACAGACACCTAATCCAAATCAGTGTCAGGTAAGACTGGTAACTGAAGGTGAGCCAGATAAAGGTACAGACTGTAAACAAAAGTCTGAAAGGGTAAGTAGGTAGGTTGGGTAAAGAAAGGACAAGAAATTCAGTATGGTTAGCATATGATAGTGAAAAGAGGTGAAGCTGGAGAGAGAAGCAGGAACCAGAACATAAAGAGCTCTATATCCCTTTATAGGGTTTGGATGTTTACTGAAGGAGAATATATAATGTAATATACTATGAATTATAGAAAGCTCACTAGGGCTGCAATGTGACAGAGAGATTGGAGGGGCTGAAACTAAAGGCAGGAGACCAGTTGGAGGGCTGCAGAGATCACCCAGCTGAGAGAAGCGAGCAGCTTGAAACAAGGTAGCAGCTGTGGAGATGGAGATAAATGGACTGATTTTAGATGCTCAGAATTTAGGACTTAGTAAAAGACTAGAAATTGGATGATGAATGAGAAGACAGCTCCAGGTTTTGGCTTGGAAGATCAGGAATGTGGAAGAGGAGCAGATGGGGGAAAGGATGGTGAATTCAGTTTGGAATGTGTAGTTTGAGGTGCCTTTAGGATATCCGAATGGAGATGTCCAGTAAGCAGTTGGATGTATTTAAGACCTGACAATATGTAATATATTTGCTCATTATCTAACTTGAAAGGAAGAACAGGAGATGGCTGGTAGTTGAGTTTGGGAACCAGAGGACTTCTGAAATGGAAGAACATGGGCTTTGGGAAAACAGAGAACTGGAATGCCAGATGGTAGTGATCAGAGAATAAGAAGCTTAAGATTCCAAGGATGAACAATACAAGGTAATGGATTTGAGGTGGTCAAAAAGAGAGGCCAAAGTGATGGATAGGTTACCCCAGATGAGAGCAGGTCTTGGGGTAAAGAAAAACTGAAAGCCAGGTTTCAAAATCTTCAATAAATGAGAAGTTTGGTTGATGACAGTAAAAAAGAGTAGGGAGCCTAACAGGAGGGTAAGAGTTTCAGCGATTGAGTGAAGTCCCAAATTACCTATTTGCATTATTAACAATACATTAACAAAATGGGGGTATATATGGCCAGAGAAGGCCTGGTACAGCTTGATGATGCCAGTAACCAAATGGAGATGACTTGGGGGACTTACACTTGGGGCAATTAGCAAAGATGACAAAACTGTGAGCCATGGAATGAGCTGGCTGGCCCTAGCTATCCTGGTATGGATTATTTATGTTTCAGAAGGAATTCAATTCCCCTAGAGGAAAGAACAGGGTTTCTCTAAAGGACAGACCAGGGATAGAGTTGCCAGACTTAGCAAATAAAAATACAGGACACCCAATTAAATTTCAACTTCAGATACTACAAGGTATATATTTACACTAAAAATTTATTCATTGATTATCTGAAGTGCCTGAAGCATCCTGATTTCTACAAAGCTTTGGCATCATGTGGTCACAGCCTGCCAGTCGGTTAACCTCTCACCTACCCAATTCAACTCACTTATATTAGTCAGAATGGGCTAACCACTGTAGGTATTAGACCTTAAAATACAAAATGGCCAAACAGAATTTTATTTCTTGCTAAATAAGCTGGTCACTAAGCTGGAGAGGCCCTTCTCCATGCAGTGATTTGGGGATTGGGCAGATGAAAGCTCTGACCTGGGTGTCATCTCATTTCCACTGATGGAAATGAAGAGCATTGCAGGAACACTTGTGGGAGGTTTCTGGAGGCCAGGCCTGAAAGTAGTGCAGGCATTTCTGCACAGTCCAGCGGCTGGACTCACTCACATGGTCATACATAACAGCAAGGGAACCTGGGAAATGTAGTCAAGCAATGTATACACGTAGAAGAGAATGTGGATTTGAGTGAGCCATCACTGCCACACTCCTTATGAGGTCTATCTGTGGACCCCCTAGGGGTCAAAGATTCTGAACAAATAATGGGAAGGAATGGGAAGAACACGTTATTTAACATTTTTAATTTTCTAAATTATCCACCCTGGAAATATACTGCTTACATAAAAAGGGAGAATTATACTGGATATCTACACTAGCATTCTAAAAATCTATTGGATAACATCCAAACTTACTGTGTGCTTTACAAAGCCCCCTTAACTACATCCTTTTTTTTTTTTTTTTACTCCCACATATAACTACTTCTGGACAAATTTTGATGTTCTCTGTCCATAATACTCCATCTTTCCAATTACATTACCATTCTTTGTTCCCCTCATATGAATTATTTCATGACTTCTGGAGACGCTTTGAAATATAACCAATGACCATCTCATCTTTACTGAGTACCCACAGAGTGTGTATAATTGTTTCTCTATCTGATGATATGACTGTAGGCTGCTGGATGCACACACATCTTTTTCTCTAAACAAAACAATTTGGCTCTTTTGTGAAAAATATTCAAAGATTACTTTCTTCAAAAGATCACCAAGCCAAACATCTGGCCATATTTTTATTTACTACATATACTATAAACATATACAGCACATGCTACAAAAAAAACATTTAAAAAAAATTTTAACTGTCAAGAAAGTGTATAGTGTTATAATACAATGGCACATGATCGTCTTTTATTTCAAATTGGTTTGCTTATCACCCATTTCAAACCATTAATAGTGAAATGTTACTTAAGGATAATTAAAAATTACCTATTTGCATTATTAACAATACATAATTTCAACAAATTAATAGGAATTAACCATGTCAAATATTAGTATCCAAAAAATGAGCTTTTGCAGAAATGATTATATAAAATATAGCAGCCAATTTCAGTTCACTTTGCTCTGTGACAATGTACACATGTAACTTGAATAGGATTCTAGCATTTGTTTTTGGAAGATACTTATAAGAAGTCCTTCAATTCCTTAAGGTCCAACAGCTGCCACACCCAGCCAACTCCAAATCAAGAGTTCATGTAACAGCTTACATCGATCATTAAGAAATTCTTATGATTTGGGTAAAGTTGCATGTTCCATTAATATTACATATGATGAAGAGACATTACAAGCCAGTATTAAAGTCAAAGGCAAAAGAAAATACAAACATTCAAATCAGTTGTGACAATGTTTAACAAATATTTTAGATGTCATACTTTCAGAAAAACAATTTAATGTGTATTTGGATTTTACAGTATCTATGCTCTAACTGAAATTTAATGGAGTAGTCAGATGGAATTAAGTCTAATATTGCAAATACGTTCATTCAACACAACCAAGCACCCACTAAGGGGACATAGCACTGTGCTAACATTTTAAAAGTCTAGTATTAATGTCTTTATCAAGCATTACCTTAGTGTGAGGTAAAAATATATTAAATTAGCGTCAACTCATTAGTTTGCTTATGGTAATGTTATGTAATCCTGTGCCAGCTGGCTTCCCTGTGCCATGTAATGAGCTTCTACCACCCCTCATTCACACACTCACACAAACATTTGCACACTGACTGTGCCAGGCATTGTGCTAGTTACTGGGATACCATGATTTGGTATGTTTTCAAAGAATGCAAATTAATCACTAACCTATGTAAAACATTAGAAAGATATATCACTTTTCTAAATGAGGCCCAAAGAAAAATATTAGGTGATTCTATTGGTCATACCACACCATAGACCAATTAAGTGCCTTTCTAGACTGGGAACTAACTTTGAAAGTTTCATATTGTTGTCTAAATAGTCTAGATTATTTTTGGTCTCAGAAGTCCATTCTTTGGAGCATCTGACCCCATATAAACCATTCTATACTTAAAAGGGTTTGTAAACTAAACTTGAATGTAAAGAAAAGAGCCAAAAATAAAGGCAGTTTATAATATAATGTACTTAAAGCACTATTCTGGCCACTGAAAGACTAATACCTAAGTAATTCATGATTGGTTCAAACACTTTCAAAGCACTAACCCTACCCCCAAACTCAAGTAATTTTAACTTGACTTTTATTTAACTTGCAAGTAGAGCAAAGGGCAGAATTTGGCCCCCAAACCCTCTATGGAATATTCTAAGTGACTGGTCATTCCACATCAAGTAGAAGCTGAGAATTCCAAAGAGTCCCCTACTAGGATACTGACACTCAGGAGAAATGGCCCTGCTAGATCCCAACAGCCAGGAGTCTGTTTAGCTGTGGTAGCGGTGTGAACCTGCTATGACCCCTTGAGGGCAGGCAGAAAGCTAGGAGTTGGGCTGTCAATCCAATACTGGCTTAAAGCTATGCACTGAATAAAGTGCTTTGCACATCCTGCTTGTCACCTGGAATGAAAATAAACATTTTTCTTGAGAATTAACCTATTTGAAGGTTTGGGGAAAAAGAATGATAGGAGTGGAAAGAATCCCAAGAAAAAGTATGAAGCATTGACCAAAAAGGAAAACAAATGCCTCTAGTAGTGTTCTCAGAATCTCAAGATTTGAACTGTCAGAATGAGTCATACCATGGTCATGTTCTATAAATGAAAAAGCACTCCCACTGGGTACTTACTATTCACAAGGTGCACGACTACTTCATGGGGGTGGAAGGAACAGTCTATTGCCATTGGTTAGCATGGTTTCAGAATGAAAACGAAACCACGGAGTAAATCAGGCAGTGTGCCTACTCCCGTCCTGTCCAACAGTTTCCACAGGTTGATTTGCACTGCCTGAGAAAAAGAAGGCAACACACCTATCCCTTCTGACACACTGAGGCATGGCTGCTACCACCTAAAATTGCCAATTCAGAAGTTAACACACAAATCCTCCAGTTTCGTACCCTGAAAGTGGTAAATGAGACTAGGGATGGAGTAGTTCGGTCTAAAAAAGATCACAGGTAACAGAATGCTTCTATAAACTAGACTGTTTTGACATCTGTAAGAAAATTGTATAGATGGCAATTGGAAAAAAAAAAAGATTGTTCCCATCTGTCAGCAAAACTGTTTGTTGAGCTATACTCAGCTGAAGTCCTCATCAGGATTCTGTTGATCCAGCAGACGGACATGTGTGAATGGGAAGTGACCTCGTTTGCCATTACACTCCCCTTCCCACTGACCACTCACATTAATCTTCGTAACCTTTACCAGCTCACCGACCTGCAGGAGGAGAATAAGGAAAGCACTTTATTTCCAGTTATGAACACAAGCTGAAAAACTCCATTTCTCTGGTCAGGCATACCCTGCCCACGTGATTGCTCTAGGGCTGACATTACAGAAATGGCTATTCACTGCCTCCCGAGCCCCAGCCACCAGACTGATTACTTGTGGTTAATGCAGGCAGAAGTGATTTTAGCAATGCAGAAAAACAGAATACAGAAAATAGAAAGAACCCTACAAAATGGTACTTTTGGAAATTACAAGCACCTCTGGATGAGCAATCCCAACTACAGTGAGCTAGAAATCCTTTCCTTTGTACCACTACCTTTAGCTTCCTGCCTGCCCCACAGGTCTGGCCGAGGGGAAGGAATCTCCACAACCCCAGGTATACAGCAGCAACACAGCTGCCCAGCCCACTATTTTACTCATATATATATCCTGGCCTGTTACTGCTTGTAAAGCAGAATGTAATCATGGGAAACAATTTCATTTGGTCCCAGAAAATGAAGTGTTCCCTCACCTTTCTACCAAGGCAAGGCTTTTCCCAGTTGGGCAGGTATAGGCCAAATTCCAAACTCCATCAGCTCCCTGCAAAGACCCTTCTTCAGCAAGCTCTGCTCAGCAGGCCACTGCCGGCCGGTGCTCCTGGCCCCACCTCACCACTGCACCTCTTGTACTTACAGATTTGTTGCTACCTCAGTTGACACTTGGTACCTGTTCACTAACAAGAAGGGGACATTACGTTTTTGCTTCTGTTATAAAAAGTTTCCTGTTGTAATATCAAATATAAACTTTCAACAATCTAAGTTATACCTCTTTTCCACTATGAAATTTAAAACAAGGTCACCCTGATGAACAGATTCACCCTGTGGCAAAATATCAAACAATGGTGAGATGGGCCCCAGATGTTACTGGATTAAAGAACTTTATAATTATCCTTTAATTATCAGCATCTGAGTTCTGAGCATATAGTGCTTTTGAAGCATAACTGTTCATTGGTTTTATTAAGTTAATAACTACTATTTATTAAACTTTCATAAAGTACTACAGAGGATAGGATATTTTGTGTAAGGTATTTTCTAATCATAAAAACTCTGTTAGACAGGAATTTTTTCATTTTTCAGATGACAAAAGTGAGGTTCAGAGCAATTACATAATACACTTGAGGTCACAAAGGCAGTGGTGGTGCTGGGATTTGAGCCCAGAAGTATCTGGCTCCAAAGTCAATTTATGAACTTTCAAATTATGCTTTCAGGGCACTAGGGATTCCTTAAGAGTATCTGTAGGCCACCTACTGGCCAAAGCCAACTGAGTCTAGGCCTAGGCAGGGCCTTCTCTAGAACAAGCTTTTTCTCTCTCATAGGAAACAGTGCCTGTGGGCCTGTCTGTAGTCTCCTAAAGAACTAACTGAAAATCACAGAGACCTAACATGACCGTGGGGCTCATAAGATAGTGAGAAAAAGAAGACAAAAACCTGGGCTTATTAGAGATGCAAGGGGAAAGATACCATGGTGAGAAATATCAGCTTGATCTGCTGCTACTGCTAAGATTAAGGGTGACGGTGTAAGGGGAGGATACCGAAGGATATACTGCATATCCATTCATTCAAGCAGACCCAGTGCCAAAGGCTGCTAGCACCAGGGTTCCGTTTATTCCCAGCAATCCTCCAATTCAAAATTCCTGATATCCAAGCAGGCCAATTATGACAAGTAAAAGATTTTCAGTCTTTGGGGAGAAGATGATTAGATGTCAAGCAAAAATTTCCTTGAGAGTAAAAGCAGTCTACAAGATTTCTTCCTATATCCCCAATTCTAGTTCTCATATTTTCTCTCTCTTGTCCCTTTTTAGAATTCTTGCAGTGTTGCAAGAAGCTAGGTGCAACATCAGCATACCATGACTATTCCCTAGTGAATTCTCCTTTTTTCTGACCTGTCAGTTACATTGACTCCACACACACACACAGCATAAGATACTGGAATGAATGTCTGATGCTGCTAGCCCCTTGCTATGCTAAGGTCAATTTTACCAAGTGCAGCATCTCTTTTTCCAATACTTACAGTATTTATTTGTATTATCTCTTAAAACACTAATGTCCTACCAAGTGCTATTCTGGATGCCAGGCCCAGAGTAATACATTAGTTCCCAACTTTAAGAAAGACAAAAATGATTAAGGATGTGTATGCTCTTATCAAAACCTTAAACTGCCACTCATGTTAGGTTCCCCTCCAGATGGGGCAAAGAGGCCAGTTACTTTTAAGAATCTGGTTTAATAACATCCCAGCTGTCATCCTAACAGCTTTCAAACTAAATGCATCCTTTTACTGATGTTAAAAAGGGACATGAAGGAACATTATGGTGTGCTGGAAATGTTCTAAAATTTTATTAGAATGATTAACACACATGTAAATTCTAGGTACATTTTACCGAATGATTTCAAATCTAAATATTTAAAATAAATAAATAAAAAGGGAAAGGGCGTTTGCTAGTGTTATCTCAAATCCTACCCCACAGAGCTCTAAGAGAACGGTATGTTGAAAGTGGACCACCTCAACCCCTTCTGTTATTGGTACCACATGACCACACCAGCTTCCCCATAAACAGGGCAAAACTTGCTTATCTGCCCTCAGACCTTTCTTCTTTCAGAGTTTGAAGGGTAATAAGGGTTCCTATAAGGCATGTTATTACAGGGCAGAAATTATGGGTAAATTATAGACCTTTGGACAACATGAAGGCCATCTCTAATATATAAAACCTCTTGGTTCTAACACTACCCAAGGTGGCTCAGGAAAACACCACCACATTCTAGAATCCAAAATCTTTTTACAGTTAACCAAGTTCTTGGCAGAGAGGCCCAAACATTGGAGGGTGAAACAAAGGCTATGTCCTGACTCAGAAATGATTCTGATTTTTAAATAATAAAAGAGAAAAGTTGTAGGCAGTCAATTGGCTAATGAACCTGCCCAAAGTGGCCTTGCAGTACAACTTCAAGGAAGGTCTTTTTAAAATTAAATAACCCTTGGTACCCTATGGAGTCTTTCCCCTGAAATATTCAAAGCACATGAATATTTCCTGAGGTCATGAACAGACAAGTCCCAAAGGCAACATGACAATCCTGAGACCACATGAGGCCTTAGCACTTCCACAGTTTGGAAGAATGGTGGAGTGTCAAGCCTGAGGGGGGACAGTTGGAGGAGTGGAGGAGGAGACAAGGAAGTCTAAGAACATGGTGCTATACTTCTCCAATTCAGAAACAAACCAGACTTTGTGCCCTTCCTGTTAGGTAACAACTCACTAAAGCAGAGTACCCAAAGGGCAGACCAGGAGGGCGAGGGCAAGGGCAACGCACATGGGTTTGAAGGTTGGTGTACGATCTCAAAGGCAAAGAGAGCAAAACTGAATACATGACCCAGAAATGGGTAAGATTCAAAGAAACGTACTTCTCAGGGAGTGGAGCAAATAACTGTAGTTGTAACACTACTGATTTCAAAATTCAAGTTACATATGGGTAAGAATCCTAATCTGCATACCAATGAGCAAGACTGACCTTATAAAGGACTTGAAGCACTACAAGCAATGTTTTCTTTTTATGAGGCAGAGCTCTTCTAACACCTTGTAAAGGGGGGACAGTGATGGTTCTTTTACCACCTAGGTAGTCTTACAGTCCAGTTTCTCAGCCTCTCAATCCTATACCATGTACTTAGGAGCAAGTCTACAAGTACATGACAGTATGATCTTTAAAAAGGATAAAAAATCTCAAAAAACTGAACGTGGCTACTATCAGTTTCTTCATTCTCAGGGAACTTGATGAACACTGCTTTTTTCCCTAGCTCTGCATATTTCCCAAGGCAAATCTTGATCTTGGTACAGATGTAGTCAAATCTAGAAATGGTCCAGGAGCAAAGGGCCAATGAATTCTAGTGACAATGAGAAAGAAACTGGAACCCAAAGGTGGATTAATTTTTGGTATTCACTAAACAAGAAACATCAGGGAACTGTGTGACTTCCTTTGCTGGTATAACCTGAGGTGACTGCTTTTCTAGTCTCTGTCCTATCCAAAAGGAGAGGCATCAACAATTGCCAGCATTCCTTTGATCCACGCTTACTCCAAGATTCTAGTGAACTCAGTGCAGCAAGCACACACAAATTCATAGTAAGTCAGGGAAAAGCAAGTACAGATGGAGTACAGAAACATTGTCCTCAAACATTTTTAAGTACACTAATAATACATTTAGTAAATATTTCAATATTTGGCTGAAGAAGAAAAAATGTTAAGAAAGCAACAGCAATCTAAGATAGGGGTCAGTGAACCATGGCCCACAAGCCAAATCCAGCTTGCTGCCTATTTTTGTCATTAGTTTTATTGGAACACAGCAAGCTCATTTGTTCTTTTGTCTATGGCTGCTTTTCTGCTACAATGACAGAGCTGAGTCACTGTGACAGAAACATATGGCCTGTAAAGCCCTTTATTGCAAGTTTGAAGACCTCTGATCTAAGGAATAGGTAATATTTAGGACCCATCTACAGTCTTTTGAATCAATGGAAACAAGTGAGGAAAATACAGCCTTAATGATTCACTTCTCTCACAGATGGACTGAAACAGGCACTGGCCGTACTGGTGGAATTTTGCAGGTCTTTGAGATTTAACTAAGTTTCCGGATGAAGAGAAAAAACATCCTACCAAATCCCGGAAGATAGGTCTTACTAATCCTGGTTCTAGTCCAAGTCAGAAAAGATCTCTAGCTCAACAAATGATAATGCCAAAAACTAAGTTCTCTATCCCCTTGGTGAGAGGTAACCACATGTAGTAGGTACATTTTTAGCTTAACATGAAGGATTTTCTAAAAACTATCGCAATGAACTAGACTTGAGGTTCTCAAAGTGTGTTAGTGTCAGAGGCATTGCAGCAAACTCAGAGGATGCCAGGAAATATTTAAATATATTTAAATTTTTGAGGGAAACAGCAATACTTGACATTTGGTATGCCATGTGAACTACTAGCTCAAGGCAACTGACTGAAATTTCAACATTAGATCACACTACTTTCCTTTTAAAGATGCCTTATCTTTGCAAAACTGTGTTTTGGCATTGCTATGATAAAAAAAACAAGTACCTCATGCAAATAAGTGTGGAATAGGAAATCAGGGTTGCAGTGTTCAATACAATCCCAACATTTGACACACTGTGGTGTCTAATAGGTATATACATCTCATTAGTTAAGTGATTGCAGTTATTTATGATTAAAATTAAAATACTGTTTTCTTTCAATTATGTTTATTTTTTTTCAAATGGGCACTGAGTTACTAGAATATAAATATTTAGTTGTTTGAACCTACCTACTTAATAAATCGAAGTGTTAGGTATTTATTTTGGTCTGGGGTACTATGAAATACTAAGACACACTATAGGTGTTATGAACCAAGAAAGTTTGGAACCTCTGGAATCCACTGTTATGGTTAACAGTCCCCGAAAAGTCCAAATAATCAAACAGATGCTTAAAAATAATCTGTGAAGATACCAGAGGGCCTGCTTTCAAAGTCTGAGAAGTTGGATCAGTTACTTCCAAAGTCTCATCCCACTGAGATTCTATGATTTGAAATGAAGATGTCCAAAAGGATGGAAGGGAGAGGGAAAGTTGAGAACTGTTTCAATGAACAGTACATAAACCTATAGCTACAATTTCAGAAAAAGACAAGCTGGACACAGCAAGGACTTGCCACTTGCTCTCACGCCTTCCAAACTCATTTTTTCTTCTCTGTAACAAATGGAAAACTGGGGTCTTTAATTTTCCATATTCAGGTCAAAAGGCCCTAACAACTTAGGTTTCAGAGTTCCCTATTAGGAGATAAGGAGTTGGTATGATCACTAGTACATATAAAGCAGGAACCCAAAGCACTTTATACTTTCCCTATCTGTGCACTGAAGAAGAGCTCCAAGTCTTAGTAACACCTGAGGAGCTCCTTGCTTACTCTGAAGTTTTATCATCTATCAAAGGCAAAATGTCAGCTGAATGCCAGAGAATGGAAGTTACATGATCAGTACATTTAAAGATAATGTGATTGTTCTGCACAGTCTTTAGAGGCAAAAAATAAACTTTAACACCTGTAGTTTACAATTTATAAGACAAAATTCATCATTATTCTAGGTTCCAAGCAGCCATTGAAACAGAAAAAACTAAAATCAAAATCTTGGAGTAAATCTAAGATGAAAAAAATGAAAGGTACCTCTGTACTATCCTAGTGTTATTTCCAGTATTTCTTCTTCAAAACTCAAAATATCTATCTGCATTTGTTTAAAATTTGTCTTCATCAGGAGCACCAGGATGGAACAGTAGCTGGTGCCCCAAGAATATGACTAACAGAACTGAAAAGTGGGCAGAGAAATACCCTTAATTTGGTCATTAGCTAGAGTTAATCCCTTCGTTACACCACCTTCATCTCTACTAGAGTAATCTGGTGGGTGGGAGGAGAAGGTGAGAGAAGAAATATCTAGGAACATATTCTAGAGGGGGCCTCTACTCACAGCAAATATGCTAATGTAGGAACCAAATAAGGTGAGGACAGGTGGTTCTTGAAAACTTAAAAAAAATTTTTTTAAGTACAGAAAACCTTTGTTCAAAGAAAATCTTAGAGAGATCCCAATCTATAATGCAGTTAAAATGAGTTGCTTTGGTGGAAGTGAGAGAAGGAGCCCAGAGCCTTGCATCCTTAGCTTCCCCTCTCCTTAGGCACCTCCTGGGAAATCTTAGAATTCTGAGAAGCAGTCTAAAAACTGCTGGTCTAATATATTATCTCTAGGGTCCTGCCCAATTCTAAAATGCAATGATTCTAGTTTATCGTAAAACTCTATTAAAAAGTCAGAAAGAATCACCTTAAATAGGGATTAGGCATCAGCTCCTATGAAAAACCACAGAGATGGGAAAGGGGGAACTCTGCCCTGACAGTAAACAGAGGATATGCTGTCAGCGAAACCACACAGGACTCACATTGAGGAAAGCAGTAGCACTGTTATACAACAAAAATAATAATAAATCGAATTTGGGAATAGTAGAAAAGGCACCAGGGTAGATCTGGGTTCATCTTATCTCCACCTTCAACTAGTTTGAAAAATCCATTCTGTTTAAATATCAGTTTTTTTCACATAATGCACAAGGACCAGCTTCTAAGTAAGGTCCTTTCCAGCTCCAGAATTCTGTGTTGCTAGATTAACACCACATTTTAAGTACATAAAGTTTAAAACTATTACTTGGGGTATTTGTTCTAACTTGAAATAGACCATCTTTAGCAATCAACATATGCGGCTCAAAGCCAATATCCAACCAAAAAGAAAACTTACTGAAATCATAAACTAGTTTTCTACTTAAATCTTTATTTCACAAGATTTATGTTTCACAGCAGGGAGAGCAGCTCAATCAGTTTTGAGCACTTAAGCTTCTAAACAGGGTAAGCATCATTAAAAACAATTCTCTTAGAGAAAGGAAATGCAAATGAAAGCAAAACTAATGTGATAACTATTCTCTCCTGGGCATTAGCTCGTTTGCTCCATGAACACTATTTTCACACTCTACCCAGCACTAACCAAGTTTGTAATAAATGTCGAGTCTGTCATGGGTCATGGGTACAGCACTGTGTTGGATGCTATCATCATCTGAACTTAAATGAAAACATGAGGCGATATACTTGTTTTCCTTATGCTCCAAACTCTAAGTGGGAAAAAGTGGTGTGGCCTAGACAACATACATTTCATTTCTCATCAAAGCAGGGGCACAACACTTTTAAGTCATAACATGATCTCAAAAAATACACACTTTAAAAATACACATTTTTCAGTCAAAATGTAAGACTTGAGTAAACTTCCTTTGCATCCACTAGCAGAACATAAAAGAAAAATTTCAAATCCAGTTTATCAGAAACTGGTTCAAATAAATTCTATCTTATTCTGTGGGCTAACATTCCCACTTAGAAGGCAGCTCTTACTTCTCAGTGTATGGACATGACCCAAAGAAAACAAAATTTAGAGTCGATTTTAGTTTACAAGAATACTTTCACCCCTTCTCTACTAATCTGTGCTCAACATAACTTCAGCTTGTGGTGATGAAAGTTAGCCATTTACTTACATTCAAGTGGTATCAGCAGCCCTGAAAGATGGGCTAGCATGCCACCTCTGTATAAACTTTATGTTGAACCACTAACTCTGCGTAACTCAGGAAGAGAGGAAGGGAGAGAGGGAGGAGGTAAGAGACAAAGCACTGAGGGCTAGAGAGGAATAACAGAATAAACACAATGTAATGGTGAGCCAGAGAACATGTGCTACCAAGGGTAACTATTCACCAGTAAATGCAAAAATTTGTTCCTTTGGAGGAATGACTTCTTGATGTTTCAAACAACAAAGACCAAGCAAACCTGCTGCTCCTTGGAATTCACACTTTGGGGTATGCAGCTGTTCTCATCTGTACCATTTATTCTGTTCCTCCTAAATTCTTAACTTGATTAACACAATCAATCCATGGCAAGGAACCCCATGCCCGCTAAAGTAAAAACATTATGCTTTTGTGGGAAAATTCCATTTCAGTGCTTTGATAGAGACCACTTATTATACTCAAATCTGTGTAAGCCCACCTTATTTTAGGTAATGATAAACAGAAAGAGTAGAATGTAAATGAGGAAAAAATATTTTAGGTTAATTCCTGTGAATCCAGGTGGTGTTATTAGTCAAAGTATGTTTAGTAGATCAATTAGAACATTCAGTTAGACAGTTTTAAGCTTACTCATTCCAAAGAAGGTTTTCTATAAAAAAGAGAAAACCCAACATTAAACACCAAAATCAGTACTTAATAGTTTGACATCTACAACATCACAGTGCTGGTGCTTATATTCAGCATTCCTACAAAGCTCTAAGAGGTCTGAAAGGGAGACCCTGTAGCAGATCTCTTCTTTCTACATTTTGCACATTATGTACCTCCAAAGCCAAGGCTGTCTTGTCGTAGGCATTAGGGACTCGCTTCTGGATTACCCTGGCATAAATGGGCCCATTCTGGAGGCTAGGGAGCGGAGTGTTGACGCTGGGTTGGGCATAGGGCCCAGGCTCCGGCCCACCCAGTGGCTGTGGGTGGGAACCCTCCTGGTTACCTCCAATCAGAGCCGATACTGAGGCGGAGGCAGGTCTATACTTCTCGACGTAAGGGACTGGAATCATCCCTCTCTTGCCTTCGCTGTCCTCTGCATTCCACCACTGCTCTTCAGGCTTATCCCGGATTCTCAGGATGTCTCCTTTCTTAAAGGGAAGATCTTCTTCATCATTCCCATTAAAGTCAAAAAGGGCTCGTACATACTCTGCCTCCTCCTGCCTGAGAATCACTCCACTACACTGCCTGGATCTGGAAACTGGTTCTATCAACGTTGTAGTGTCCAAATAGTGTATTTTGTAGAATTCCAGTAAAGCAGGCAATGAATCAAACTCTTGATCTCCTATTCGGAGTCTGGCGGGGCTCACCCCTGGGAGAAAAAAAAAACAGAGCAGTGTATTATTTAAAGCTCTATTATAATGGAGAGGAAATGCAGATTTTCAACATCTCTCACACACGTTCAGTCAATATTTAATCATAGAAAAAAAATTTTTTTAGAAAAAAATAAATCATTCCTTTTGTAGTAACTGAAACCATACTTTGTAGTCGAAATACATTCTGAGAAGAAAGATGCCCATCACCACCTGCAGCAGGGAACAGAAGGCCGTAACAGACAAGACCAGCAGGACATGCTTTCATACTGGATAAAAGACAGAAAGCAACAGGCAGACATGTTCATTCTCTCAAAATGCTCTGTTGCTATTCTATTTAGAGAGTAGCATAAGGTTCCAGGTTTTGCTGCAATCTTCTCAGTAAATGTAGCAAGCTCTCTTTTCTCATAGGATCCAGCAGCCAATCAGATAGAGGTGGGAAGACTTGGTATCTATCTACACTAAGCTCGTAACGTTCCCTCTCTTCACATCTAAATTATACACTTCCTAAGAATAAGTGTTAAGACTGTATTTTTTAAAATCTATGACTGTTCATCTCAATTTCATTTCTGACAGGCAAAAAAGCTTAAGTAGGCAAAAGAACCAAGGAACCTAAGAAGCTAACTGCTTAAAAATCAATTCCTAAGGTCTTTATATAAATGAAACATGGAAACCAGATTGTTCCCTTAGAAGAAACAGGTCATGGAAAAAGGTAAACAAGGATGCTTGGGAAAATAAAGCAGTATTAAAATCAAGGGTCCAAAAGAAGACATATATTAGGAATGCTTAATTCACATCATGCAAAGCTGTATGTGACCCTAGACAAAGGGCATTACTTTAGCAAGTATTCCCTCTATCCTCAGATTCTAGAACTAAAGGGTAATAAAGGAACATGTATCAGTTCAAATGAGATACAAAGTTTCTAATGAGGGATATAATCCTCTAATTTGCACTCTGCTGAACACCCAAAATATCAAATCACCTTTATTGGATTTTTTACCTTTCGGTTTCCTGATAAATACATAGGTCTATAGAAAATTGGTTTTTGTGAGTCTGTTGATCTGTTTTGTTTTTTAGTCAGCTTTAACCCTGCCACAATAGGACATTAAGGATTTTGATTTAAAATCTCCCAGATTTTAATATATATGTGTATATGTATATGTATGTACAAATACATCATAAATATATACATGTTTTTGTAACTCGGTACTATGCAGTTCTCTATCTTGCCTTTATTACAAAATAGAAACATTTTATATAATAAAAATGTTCCCATCTTCTTCAATAAAATGACTTTTAATGGCTATAAAGTACACACAACTTTTCACTTGTGCAAATGATGCTCTTATGAGCATTTCTGTTCATATCTACTAATGAACATTTTTATTACTTCCTTAGGACAAACTCCTTGAAAATGCAATTGCTAGATCAAAAGGCAAGAACATTAAGATTTATGTTGACAAACTGCCCTCTGAAAAGTTTGTACAATTTTATACTTCCACCAGTGGTTTATGAGTTCCCATTTCTACCACATCTTGGCCAAAACAGCAGTTTTAAAAATCATTGCCTATTAAAAATAAGGAGAAATGTTACCTCTTTGTAAATAGTATCTTTGGTAGTTTGATGTTTTTCATGTTTACTATTTGTACTTCTTTCGTGAAGGTTAGTTTGTTAAGGGAAAATGGTTATCTACCCTCTCCACTCCTATTAACACTGGGTTCATCCACTTAAAAGCCATAGCAACTAATGCTGTGAAATAGGAACACTGTGGTAACCCAGATATCTAAGTTAATTTGCACTCTAAACAAAACAGACCTAATTATTTTTTTTCAGTATGAAAAAACATTTCTTCCAGAATGGCCTGAAAAAGTACATTCAAAATTCATTACCATGGAGAAGTGAAAAGATAAGCTGGATGTTAACCCAAAGTCCTCAGTACAGAATGAGTACTGATGAACACCTTCTCTTTTCATCCAAATGAATGAGACAAAGACACAATTTAAAGGACAGCTGCACATTTCTTATGTTGCAAAAGTCCATCTGTAGAATTCATGGCTGTAAGCTAAAACAAGTTAACAGCCCACACTCCTGGGTTGTTGAGCTTTCTCTCCAACTCAAGATGTTGAAATAGATGCCCAAACCCAGGACTGTCAGTTCATCTATGGCAAACTCATCAGGCACCAGCAGAAGGCAACCCCAAAAGCTCCAAGTGCAGGACTGGAGAGATGATTTTAGTTATGAACATAACAGAGCATGATGATGCTATATGCTGGCATTTCTTTTCACTAAAATAGATCGCTGGTGGAGCACCGTTCCTATTCAAGTCCAATAGGCAGAGAGGTGCATGGCCACCTTGTTTATCACCACTAGGCTAATTCAGAGAGCCTTCAGATCAGCTGAACTATGTTAAGGACAGGATCTGTGTGAGATCCAAGACAACCTACTTAGCATTGCCTTGCCTCCATGGCAGAGTGGTAGGGGGAACCCTCACATCAGTAGAGTACCCATGGCTTAGGAAATGGTGACACCTGGGTAGACAAGCTCCCTTACTAGAGTTGGTCCAACTGCATGCCAACCTGCAACAACAAAAACGGTTTTCACTAGTCACCCTTTAGGGACACTGGCTGGCAGACCAAATGTGCCCAGTAAGTACTAGATACTATTCTTAATGAATAAACTCTGAAGTGAGGGAAAAGTTAAGTGAAAAAACTGTTACCAGCTTTGACAAGCTTATAGCATAGCTGTGGACAAAAAGGCAGCATAGTGTGTGTGGTTGGTGAGCAAGGAGCAATGCAGCCCATCCTAGGAAGACATTCCTTTTCTCTCCCTGGCCTTCACTTTCAGCTGGAGATGTGTTCTTAAAAAAAACAATTATCAACAACAAACTGTTCTCAGATACAACATTACAACGAAGGAGCAGCTGACCACCTGACTGTTTCCTCTAAAATGGCATGCAAATGCTCCCTGCTATTATCACGGTTCCTCCATTACTGTACCAGCCCAAGTGAAATGTGCTTGTTATCTGTCTGTCTTGGGAGGGGGATGGGAAGAAGGGAACCATACAGGGTATAGCAGGACAAATAAAACGACTAAGCCAAGTCCCTTGGAAATATGAGTGTGAGAATTCTACTAAGAAAAACCGGCAGCTTATGTGCCATAAAGGTAGGAAGTTGTTCATTTCTTGTTCAAATGCTACATAATGTGAAATGGGCCCGCTGTAATTGTTTTTCAGTTTAGTTTAGTTTTGTTTTTTGACTTGACAATCCCAACAGAGAAATACAAGCGAAACACCATGGGAAAACTTCAACATTACTTTACCTAAAATTCTTTTTTATTCTAATTCAACACTAATAATTCCAGAGGAATACTTGATTTTGTGTATTGCTAAAACAATTAAGATATACAGGGCTATGGAACTTCATCGATCCAAACACCAGAAGGGAGGAAACTGAACACACGTTAAGTCCCAGATAAGCTCAAACCTCACCACAAATATGTGTTCTGACTTTTTCCCTAGTTTATCTCCTTCCAACCACAAACAGCCCAAAGCAGGAAATAGAAGGGCAGGAAAGGAAGGAGATACAGCCAGACAGACTCAAGAACAGCAGACTCAAGAACGGAACAGGATTCTAACTGCTGGGACTTGGAAAACCTTACTGACTTGTTCAACATCAAACCTGTGCTGGATTATGAACTAAACACATTCAGAAATCAAAATCAATGCAAGCAGTTAGATATTCTTTTGGTTTCTGTACATGCTCAACTCATCACTTCAGAGCATTTTAGCTTTCAAATACATCGGTTTTTACAACTCTACTCCCTTAAAGTTTTATGAATACCCAAGAGTTTTTGTGGGCTAAAAGCTAAAACACGCGATCACTTCAGGCATGGGTACCACCACAGCGACTTCATCATCAGCCTCTCCTTGATCTCACAGCATCTCTTCTTTTTCCCTATTTCCTAATTCCCACTCCTCTTCCTTCTCCTCTGTCTATAGTAATTACAGAGGTTGTTTAGAAAAACACTTACTAACACCTATCCAATACAAAGGGCTTAAAAGGCCACTACTAACTTCCATCTGAGAAGGTCTCCTAGAGGATGCAAGGCCTCCTAAGCAAACAAAACTTTTCTAAAAATGGTGGATATCAGGCACAGTCCTTTGCAGCTTCAGAATGACTGGGTTTGATGAATTCTGGCTCTGCCATTTACTAGCTGTCTGAACTGTTATTTAACGTCAGATGGAGCTAAATATCTACCTAATAAAGTTCCTAAAAGTAACTGGTACATTATAGGTGCTCAATAAAAAGTAAATTCAGCTTAATACCCTCCCAACATCTGAACTCCTTTAGAAATTTTTAATTCATCCCTAAATGCAAAATCAGCTGCACTGTTGCCCAAAGAAGATTGTACAGAATCCCAAGATGCTTCTCAAATAGTTCTATGGTCAAGTAAGTTTGAAAAACCCAGTATCCAATACCTGCCTCTCTTGGAGAGTCGTAATTTCACATGAGCATAGTAAAGGCTTGAAGAAATCCTGCAATAATCTACTTCCTTTTACCATGGAATCCTTTTTGGGGGTGAAATCTATAAATAGTAACTCCCTGAAGAACTCCAGAGCCACTGAAGAACTCCAAACCTCTTTGATATTGAAGAGTAAAACATGAGGACCAGGTTTGAGAACTGTAAAGATAAGGAAACAGACGCTAAAGATACAAAAAGAAGGCAGTGAGTAATTAGCAGTCCCACAGGGTCTCCAGAGAAGTGGCCTGGCCCAGCACATTGACGAGGTAGCACAATTACCACCCTAGTTCCTGTCCTCCCCTACCCCAATTAGGCAAACTCTTATATTCCCCTCACCCATTAGGGTAATAGGTAGGATGCTGAGTTACCAGTAGGCGCTACCTATTCCCATGTACTGAATCTCCAGTCCTTTCCCACTTTCTGATGTGCCCCACCCACCTCCACCCCAGCCCCCCACTTCCTTAGAAATGCCATCTTACCTGCACTCAGCAACCCACACTATGCATGACCTTGAGCTTCTCAAAGCTGAGTAGTTTCCCATTCTGCTTCAACTCTTCCCCTCAAACTTCACAGATGTTTCTAAGATTAATACAGCTAATATTTACTGAGTACTTACTATATGCTAGCCCCTTTCCTAAGCATTTAATACACTAAAACTCATTTAATCCTCACAACTCTGAGGTCAGTTTTATTATTTTCCTTCTTTTAAAGATGAGAAAACTGAGGCAGAAGTTAAAAGAACTTGCCCAAAATTACATAAGTATTAAGTGGCAGGTACTAACCCAGACTCCAGAGTTGAAGCTGTAACTTGCACTTACTCAGTTTTGTCAATTTCTATTAGTCAAGGTCTAATAATAAACCATTGTTCCAAGAGGAAGAAAACCAGTGGGTCAATGACTGCAAAGCCTTCCCAAGAGGTGTACCCTGAAGTACAACCTGACAAAGTAGAACCAGCAAACTTAACCAAGCCCTGCTCTGTGCTGTCAGAGTACAGCCAGGGCACTCCCAAGCTATGGCAGTATTGGTAGCCTGCAGAAGCTGAACACTCGAAATAAGAACAGGTTCACTGGAAAAAGTTCAGAATACCTGGTCCAGTCTATTTCTATACCTCTAAAAAACTATGTCTAAGCCATTCCATGCAAATTCTTCCTATTACATCCACAAAATACACTATACAATCCTAAGCAAAAAGCTCACTTTCCACATTCAATTTGCCAAATAAGGATTTTAAAAGCCTCGTCATTGACTTTTAGATAGCAGATGTGTATTATCTGATACTAAAAGCCTGTTTCTTCTTGTCACCCTTCCCCTTTGGTCTTCAAACAGAACCTGGGACCCCAGGACAGAGATGAAAAGGTTGAGTCCTCTATGTACATTGCAGGGATCTCAATAGAGCATAACAGTTTCAGCTCTCAGGTCAGAATTCTTAGGTTCAAATTCTGGCTTTGTCATTTACTGGCTGTGACCTTGAGCAAGTTACTGAATCTTTGACTCTCAGTTTCCTCATTTACAAAATGGAAATACTTCAATAAATGGAGATCACAATACTTTCTTCACTAGGCTGTTATAGACAGTAAATGAGATAAGGAACATAAACTATTCAGCAAAGTACCTGGCATAGAATAACCAGTCAATAAATGTTAGCTATTAATATTGCATGTGCCTTTCTAAAACTCAAAAAGTCTTCTGTGTGGTTTCCCAAAAAAAAAGAGCTTGATGGCAGAGGGAGAGAACAAAGTTGAAGTAATCTTTATAAAGACAGCAAATGAATCCATTGCCCTATGTGGAAAATAGGGCCCCTGGCAGAAAGCAGAGTTATCACAATGCCCATGAACTTTCCACATGCCATCCACAAACTCTGGCAACCTTCACCTTGGGCCAAGGATCTGAACTCCAGAGGAGGAGCTCAGTGTCAAGGTAAGCAGTGAGATACAAAGTCAAAATGTCAAGGTGTAGAGAGAGCTCAAACAAACCCAACTGCTGCCATCTCCAAATTTCGCAACCAACAAAACACAAGGTTTTACGAAGGGAAGACTGAGAATTCAGCTTCAGTGACACTTTGTCATCCTGCCACTGTACTCTAATGCAAAACTCTAGATACCACGAAGGTGCTAAAAAGTAGAATGCATCTGGTTTAGGACAAATATATGTTAGATCCATATTCCCATCTCATGTTATCCTATTAGACCAAAAATAGTTTGTGGGCTTAAAGATCCCATACTCTTTTTAAGTGGGTATGTGTTAACAAAGAGACTGACTATACCTTCTCCCCATTTCTAGCTGGAGTGAATAAATCTAAATCAGGACTCTCCTAAAAGAGCAAGTCTGCAAAGGCTGGCTCAAGCGCTTCCTAATTCACATGAGACTGGCCTGGATCTAGTCTCAGCTGGTCAGGAGGGAACTGCTTCAACTTGGGAACAGTGACAAGGCACTAGGACTCTTGGTGTTATTACACAGATAATGGCAACCTCAGAATTACTTTGTATTTCACAAATATCAGGTACTAAGTGCATAAATCTTAACACACCCCAAAACAACTGCAAATCCATGGGTAAGACACTCATGTCTCAATGATCCTTGGCAAGAAAGGCCCGGTGCAGAAAATTAAATTCTCAGAGAGTCAGTTCAGTGGGGTCTTGTTCCCAAAATCTTGGAAGACTCAGGCCACAGACCCCACTTAGTGAGCAAGGAGAGGCCTTGAAGTGCAAGACCAACTATGTTTATGTTCAAGGAGAAATTAAGTTCCATTCACTTTCAGGGAGGGGACTGTTTCTATTGTTATTGGCTTATTTGTTGGGGAAAAAAATCTGTCCTCCACTAAACACTTTGAAAACTAGAACCGCCTCATTATGAACTAAGAACTCTTGGACAGTGAGGGGGGCACCAACTTATTCTGGGCCTAACACAGGCAGCTTTCTTCTATCATAAAAGCAGTCAACTCGCCACCTTCGTCCTCCGCAAGGAAAAAGGCCGGTAGAAGTATTTTGGAAAAATGCCCAAGAAAGGAAAAAGCTGACCGGTTTCCTGAGGGTGTCTCCATCCCTCCCGGCCAGTATGTGACTTCCTATCAAAGGCCACCAGGGGAGTACAGCCAAACCCGGCTCTCCAACACTGCAGGAAATGTTTCATGCCTAAAAAGCCACTTGTAGGATTATCGGATTCATTCTGGGCACCGCTGCCAAGTGATGCCCCCGCAGTGCCAACATCCCCCTCAGCTCTTTGTCCCCACGTTACCCGGCCCTGCCCTGGCGCTAGCCCCACCCTGGACCGAAGCAGTTCCCCTTCCCCTGGGCTGTCCTCCCAAGTCACACCCAGAGGCCTGGGTCAGCGGCTCTTCCACCCCCACGCATACTCCCGCTTGCCGGTGGGAACAAGCCCCAGCAGCAGGGCATCCCCCTGCTACGGTCACTCCAGCCCTCTGCCCACATCCCTCGTGGAGGTCAGCTCTCGAGCAGCAGCCGGCCAGGCTGGGGAGTTCGGCAGCCCTCACCCCCGCCCGGGGCCTCCCATTCCATCCCGTCCGTCCCTCACCGGGCGGAGGCTGGGCGGGCGACGGTGGCACCGGCGGGCGCGGGCCGCTGCTGTTGATGATGTAGTGGGAAACGCGCGAGTTCTCGGAGACGCTGAGCACATAGTCCCCGGGGCTGGTGCTTGAGTCCCGCACCAGGAACACCCCGTGCCGCTGGCCCTGCAATAGCGACACCGCTTCCTGCCGGCTCAACCGCCCCCAGTACCAGCTACTTCGCTCCTCCGAGTCGAAGTTGCCCGCCATGGCCGCCTCCGCGCCTACACGCTGGGCCGCCGCCGCCGCCGCCGCCGCCGCCGCCGCCGCCGCCGCAGCCGCAGCCGCGAGCGCCCCTCCAGCCCTGGCGCCCGCCGCCCAGCGGACCGGCTCGGGTCTCAGCCTCACAGCAGCACCCGAAATGGCGGCGGCGGCCGCGGGCCTTCCTCACCGGAAATGACGCGCCCCCTGACCAAGGAAGGATGCCGGGAAGGGGACCGCCGCCCGCCATTGGGAGAAGGTCTAAGAACTTCAAGAGAGTACTGCGCATGCGTTCTCATGAGCGTCTCTGCCTGGCGAGGACCGGGACTGCAAAGGATGGAGAGGCGGAGTCTAGGGCCGAGGGGTGGGGCCTCAAGCAGCTCTCGGCAGAGGTTTGTATCTGCGTTGTGTTGATGCGATTCTGCGCTTCAACAGGCTTCAGGTTCTTGGAAGGCCCAAGACTCCTAGGCAGCGTCTCCGAGACCGAATTGGAGTGGAAAAGAAAGATGTGGCTCCAGGGCCTGAGCTCCCTGAGACACTGATCTTCTACTGATGGTTCCTCTAGCTTCTCCCCAGGATGGCTAAAGGTTTTTCAGTGATTAATTCAGCAAACAATTCTTGATATCACATTTGCCCTGCAAGTGCAAAGGTGTTCAAGCCTGAGCCCTGCCCTCACCAAATTCACAGAGCAGTGGAAGGAGCCAGGAAACAGTAACTGACAACGAAATGCGGAGTGCTATGATAGGGAATGGACAAGGGGCTTTAGTAGCCCACAGCAGGACTCCCTAATCCAGTCTATAGAGGGTTTCAAGAGGGCTTTCCCAGAGGATGTGACTTGAGCTGAATGGCAAGTGGGGAAGGGCATTCAAGACAAAGGAAACAGAATATGTGAAGTGAGGTAGAAGTATGGGATTCTCTCTGTTGAGTCTGTCAAGACATCTGCCCAGATTCTTCTAAACCCTACTTGTGGCGATGGGTACCCTCTACTCTCCCTGCCGTCATGACCATCTCTGTCTCTGTGCTCAGTATCTGTGCCTGTGTTCCTGTGAATAGCCTGCTCACTGGCGCTCTATAGTTTTGTCTCTCCTGAGGTCCACACATCTGCCAGTGTGCACACTCTGAATCACAGCTGAGTCTATTGCTACCCTCTATAAAACTTTAATAGTCTCTAGGTGTTAAAACTCCCAGTTTAGCTCACAGCATAAAACTGGGCCACAGTCTCACTTTAACTGCTCCTACATGCACCTTGTGTTTCTTCCTGGAATGCCCTTCCAGTCCTTTGGGGATCTCAAACTCAAATCTCTTCCCTTTCCTGACCACCACATGGCTCCCTCTCTGCATCAACAGCACCATGTCCAAATTATCTCTGCTGTAGTTCTTACCCTTTGCACTATAATCTTTCATTTACAGGTCTGTGTCCCATGCTATAGCTCCTCAGAGGCTAAGCATCTAGTATAGGAGGCACTCCATAAATGTTTCATAACACACCTAACATTTACTCAGGGAATACTATCTGCCGGGCTTAGCGCTAATTGCCCTTCTATGGTTCATTTAATTCTCTCAATAACCTATTTTACAACTATCCCCATTTTACAGATGAAGCTCAGAGAGGCTAAGTAACTTGTCTAGAGACACAGCTGCTGAGTGGGGAGCTGGAATTCAAATCCTGGGAGGAGAAGAGAGCTATGTTCACTGTGCTATCTCCTCAGACTTCTGGGATAAGAAAGGGGGGCGGTGATAGCAAAAATAGACATTAAAAAAAAAACAGTCAGCTCTGGGTTATGGTCTTATATGAATAACATACCTCTTGTGCACCCAATTCACACACCCCTGAGCCTGCTCTGGGAAGGGGAGGGGAGCAAGGGTACCTTTCCTGCTGTGAATGACTCATCATGACCATGACTTAGTTAGAGCACATCACACAAGCCAGCAAGCAGCTGAAGCCACCCCAGTGTGAATTCTGGTCCTTTGGGAAAGAGAAGTGCTTGTTCTTCACTTCCCCAGGATGGCTGGGCTTTGAGGCAGGATCTTACCCAGAGACTTCCTGTGGGGTTCTGAAGCTATGCCTCTAAGCCTCCTCCCAGACATGACAGAAAAAGTACTTTAACAGAAGGGAGGGAGTGAGGAAGGAAAAGAGGGATAGAGGAAGGAAGGAAGAAAGGGGGAAAAGAAGGAAGATGGGAAGAGGGAAGGAAAGAGGGAGGGAGGGAGGGACGAGAGAACAAATCATAACTGAACTGGAAATAAGCAAGGAGATTGGCAAAATGGAGAGAACTGGCCCCAGGCAGCTACTGGAGGGTGTTCTTCCTTGGAGCATAGAGAATCTTACCAATTCAAAGGCCAACCAAGTAGGTACAAGAGCAGTCTTGGGACAAAAGGAAGGCAAGTCCACCCTACCCCTCCCTCCTTTCTCTTCTCTTCCTCTCTCCTTCATACATCAATATTTACAGCTATAATGGTGGCTTTTGCCCCCTGATAAGCCTGAGATCTGCCTTACAAAGAATGGGACCTGCTTGTATAGGAGGGGCTCCTAACAAGTCTCTAAACAAGTTACTTAGTCTCTCCGAGCTTCATCTGTAAAATGGGGATAGTTGTAAAATAGGTGTTGGGGAATGAGGAGAAGATACCTGAAAGAGAAGCAGAGTTGAAAGGAAAAGAAAAGGAAGGCTGCCCTGACCAAGAGAAAAGCACAGCCAAGTCCTCCACTTCCTTCCCTTCTATGCAAAAAAGGCATCCTTATTTTAGCAATAGAGGAGAAGCAGGGGTCCCATGACTGCTTGCTTGCCTGCTCTGTGTTGCCTAAAGTGACCAGAGCTGCCTCATACAGCTGTGCAGGTTGTGCACTGCACATCTCCAGGTACTGTGTAAAGGGAACTGTCTGGAGTTAAGCTAGTCATACCTACTTTTCCTTAAAAAAAACAAACAAACAATTATTTGTTCCAAGATGACAAAAATTGCCATTTAGAGAGAAAACTAACAGTATCACAGTGTGTGAGAGGGAGAGGGAAAGAAAAAGTGGGTGAGTGTGCACAAGCACAATTTCTATTCGTGGGGAGATGTACTTCTGCTCTGTTCTCAGCCATGTATGGAGACAGAGAGAAAGGTGACAGAGCAATTTCTAAGCCTATGCTGGAGTTTCTGAGCTACAAAAAAGTGAGATGCCTCACCTCCCAATGGATAGCCTTTGGTGATGCAGAGACAAGAAGCAGTCTTAAAAGGTGTGAAGGTAAGATCTGGAGGCAGACTCTAGGGAGAAATGTGGGGGAACTCCAAGGGGGAAGAGCATGCTGGGAACTAAGGCAGGGGCCCCACCTTCCCAGGAAGGTCAGTGAGATGTTCCCAGCCCCCACATGCTGTGGGACTATTGAGAATGAGCTGTATGCCTCACTGCAATGTCAGTACCCTTCAGTGCCCCCATCCTTTAAGAAAACGGCTCACAGGGATGCCTTGTGGGGAGGAATACAGGAGAAGGTGCTGACTTCCTTGTCTTTCCTTGTCCAGATGAGGCAATCAAGAACATCTGAAAGAGGTGAGATGCAAGTACTCCATCTATCTTCTTTTCTCTTCTCCCCCATCTCGCTCCTCTCCAGCCCCACTGACCTTCCTTCTCTTTCTCAAACTGGCCTGCACACTTTGCACTTCATTTCCCTCTGCTGTGTATCTGCAGTCACTCCCTCATCTCCTTCACATCTCCACCCCAGTGTCACGCACTCACGGAGGCCTGCCCTAACCAGCCCATTTGAAACCGCTTCTCTGCTATATTTATGTTCCTAGCACTTCACTTCCTTCTAATCTATTATCTATTTTAGTATTTGTTTTATGTATTGCCCTCTCTTCCCTTCTAGAATGTAAGCTCCAGAGAAAAAAGTACTTTGGGAGTTTTGTTCCTGCTATATCCCGAGTGTCTGGCAGAGAGCCTGGGACATAGGAGGTATTAAGTAAATATGAAGGAATGAATGAATGGAGAATCAGGTGGTAGCTTCTTTCCAGAGCAAAAAATTAGCTTCCTACAATTGGCAGATACCTCCCGGAGGACGTTGGACTTCCTGCAGGATGTGAGCAGGGGATGCAAACCATTCTTGGTTACATCTCAGGACAGGTTTCTCAGTCACATCTGGGTTACGTCTGTGACATTATCACATGCATTCCAATTGGCTAGAGAAAGGAGTGCTGTTACAAGCTGGTAATTGCTAAAGCAAAGCTTATCTTATCTGTGCACTGGAGCCATTACTACTGATAGTGTGGACAAATTACTGTGGTGGAGGTGTCAAAATCTAGGTGTGTTCACAGGTCACAGGATTGTCAAACCCAGGTTGGCTATTCGTTGGGTGGTATCTCACTCATGAGAACTTCCGCCCTAGGTGGTGTATGCTCACTCCTCAGGTAGCCAGACCCCAAAACTGAACCATTTCTTGCCTTTAATTCCTGTTCATTTAATGCCACTCCATTTTCCCAGAGCGCCCCTCCCACTTGGGGAGACTTTTACCATCTGATGAGTTCTATGGATGTAGTCTGCAATACTCATTCCCTTTCTGCTAGGGGCAACACTCTGTCTCATTATGAGAAGTCACCTGCCCCCACTTTTGGTCCTTGAGGTCACGTGTGGTTCATGCTGCTTCTCTCTGGGGCAGGGGAAGGTAAACACATGACCCAGTCCTGGCAGGCATATATTAGAATATTTCCCTTAACTATAATGACTGGGTCATAGAAGAGCACCTCCTTCAAGTTGGTCCACTGAGAGACTCTTGAACTATTAGGGAAGAGGCAGTTTTTGGTCTTGCCTCCAATGCAAAAGCCAGAGTGAAAACCTGGAGCTGCTGGTGGCCATTGCTGCCAGTACATACGGAGAGAAGCCAGCAGAGGAAGGCTGGGCCAAGAGATAGTCCTATACCCAATCCTGCCAGTATTATTTGAGCACCTGGGAGCAGCCCTCCTCTGGGACTTAGCTTGCTAATGCTAATAAATGACCTTCTCTGCCGAAGCCTGTTTGGATTGGAGTGTCTCTTGCAACAGAATTTGGAGACTCTCCTTTGAGATCTGCTTCAAATCATCTTCTCTATGAAGGGTTTACAGCCCCTCTCCCTGACCAGAGGCAGTCTGGGCAGGGTGCCCCTCGGTGCCTGCACTTCCCACACTGGGCTGCTTTTCCATTCACCAGCCCTGCCTGCCAGGCTAAGAACCACACAGGCAGGGACTGTGTGTGATGCTTCTTCCCCCCAGCCCACAGCATTGGGCCAGGCTGAGCAGCCCTTTGATAGATGGTCAATGGAAGATTGAGTCCGTGTTGCAGCTACTGGTCACTCCTCTTTCTCCTGGGAAGGGAGCCCTCCTCCTCCCTCCTGGGGACAAGGCAAACACCCTGGGTGCCTTTTCGGGGTCCTCTCCCTTCTCTAACAAAGAGAGACCAGTGTTGGCAGACACATATTGCTTTATTTAGTGTTTCTCTGGATTGCAGAAGTGTCAGCAGTGGGCCGAGCCCCCAAGAAGGCAGAGGCAGCTGAGCAGCCCCCAGGCCCTCTGGAGAGGTGTGGGGGGGGGGAAGCAGCAGAAAGAGGTGGTGGCCCTGTAGTTCGTCCCAAGGCCAGCAGCCCCTTCCCCAGGCCCCCAGGACAGTGAGGGAGCCAGGAGCCAGTAAAGGCCCTATATGCTTGAATTGGGGCCAAAGTGTACGGGCAGGGTGTTTGTCGTCCTAAGGCATGGACTGAGGCAGGAGTGCTCCTCCCACCTGGTGGCCCCCAGGGGTGATTGCTGGTCAGGGGGCCACATGCACCCTGAAAACATGAGCCTGCTTCATGGGGCTCCTGTCCCTGGAAGAGGCAGTGAGGTGTGCTGAAGACAAGGCGGCAGTCCTGGTTCTGCCCCAGCTTGCTAGGTGAGGAGCAGGCCCTTCCTCCCAGTCTCTTGTTTCCCTGTACCAGCAGGCTAGACCAGATGATCTCTCAGTGTCTAAATTCTATGGTCCAAGGCTCCTTCTCCAACTCCAGGACACCCTCAGGCTGGGGTGATATTGAAAGGGCATTTTTAAGGCAGGAAGGAGGAGGCAGGCAAGGGTGGTCCCAGCCCCCAGGGGGATGTCAAAATGGGCTGCAAAGAGTACAGGTGGGTGGGCAGGCAGACAGACAAGGTGCCAAGGGAACGAGGAAAGGGTGGCCTGGGCAGGGAAGACGGCACCAGGGCCCAAACCACCCAACCTCTCAGCTACATTTCCTGCCCTGCTGGACTCAGGGAAAACACCAGCTACATTCCCTGCCCTGCTGGACTCAGGGAAAACACATCCAGTGTGTCTTGGGTGGGTAAATGGCTTTTTCAAAAAATAATTTCCTATAAAGCATCAAAAAATATCAGAGAAAACCTCAGCAAAAGTTCCCTTCTCTCAAATATATGGCATCAGCAGTGGGGCTGGCACAGCTGCCTCCGGCCCTGGCTTTCCCATTGCTGTGTGCCAGCCTGGCCCACTCTAGGGCAGCTCCCTGGCCCCTGCCGCTCCCTAAGAGAGGGGTGAGCAGGAGGCAGGGGTCTGTCGGCGGGCTTCGAGGTGCCCCTGGGTCCCTGTCTGGAAGCTCGAGTCTTTGGTAACTGGGATGGGGAGGAGGGGGTGAGCGGAAAGCATTGGGAAGTGGGAGGGGGTCCAGTGGGTGCCTTCATCACCGGGAATTCAGCCGTGGGGCCACCTGTGGGAGCAGAGGGAGAAGCTCCAGTGGTGAACAGGAAGCAGAGGTGTTCCTGGCACTGGTCTTCACAGGTTAGATGCAAGCAATAGCAGTTTGCAGGGGGCTTGTGGCCTTGGTCCCAGAGACACTGCCCCCACTTCCAGAGGAATCCCTGCCTCTCCTCCAGCATGCCCTTAAGCCCCGAAGGTCTTCCCCATCTCCCCGTGCTGCCATCTTTATGACCCTCTGCATTGTGGGGGCTCAAAAGTTTCCTCTCCCCGACCCTCAATGGGCACTGGGATGAAGGGGGCTCTGGACTGAGACCCAGGGTGAGGTGCTCAGGCTCTGCCAAGCACTGCCAAGGAAGCCTTGGCCACCAAGGCACCATCCTACCCCTAGGGCTATTAGCAAGGAAGCAGGGTGCTGCCTGCCAGGCCCTACTCACCACAGCCAGGTGCCCGTTCTTGGCCTTGGTGATGAGCAGCTCTGAGCCTGGTATGAAGTCAATAATGCCATCCCTGCCAGGGCCCCCTGCAAACGTGATGCTGGAGGGAAGGGGGTAGGTGAGGACTGTCCACATGCAACACACAGCCCACTCTAAGGCTGCTTCTGACCGTCTTACCTGCCCTGGTTGATGTTGACGTTGCTTACACGGTCAGCACTGAGGGCTGTCTTGGTCAGTGTCTCGATCACATGGTCGCTCTGCAGCACCACATCCCCCTGGAGGCCCAGACAGGGAGGAGGGATCAGGCCCTGCCCGGAGCTGGAGAACCTGTCCCCACCTTGCCTCCAGGCCCAAAGGCGTACCTTCTGCTTATTGTCCTCACGCTGCACATGCAGCACAAAGAGGCTGTCGCTCAGGCTGCTGACAGAAATTCCTGAGGGGGAAAGGCAGAGGTGAAGGATCAAGGGTCAGAGCAGGGGCCCTCCCTGTGCTGCCCTGGACTCTGGCTCACCGGTCAGGTTGGCATAATCAATCCTCTGCTTGACTTTGGCGTCCTCCACGATGACCACAGCACTGGGTGTCAGCAGCAGCTGCCGTGAGCGGGGCTTGTAGCCCTTACGGTCATATTTCACTACAGGTACTGCATACTGGGGACAGAGGGCAGGACAATGGGCAGGGGAGCAGCTGAGGAGGCTCGAGGGATACCCTCCTTACCCTCTGCCCAGGCCCTGAGCTCCCATCCAGCCTTAGGCAGCAGGACTGCTGGACTCAGGGCTGCAGGCAGGGTCTCACCTGGATGGTCTCAGAGCCGAGGGCCTGCAACACCCTGGGGCTGATTTCATCTGTACCTGCAATCCAGACAGGGGAGGGGGATGTCAGAGGAGGAGAGAGAGGACTAGGATGGTAGTGAATGGGTTGAGCACTGGAAGTTGGGCTCACCAAGTCGTGTGCTGATGAATAGCCTGGGGACGCTCTGGGGGTAATTGTCCTTCTTGCCCTTGAAGATCTCACTAGCTACGGCTTTTTGCTGGAGCTGAGGAGAGAACCGGAGGGAGGGGAAGATGCTAGGAGGGGTGAGGACTACCAGAGAAGGCAGGCCATCTCGGGAACTGAGACAGCCTCCCTCACCCTCTACGGCCCCAGGAGCAGGAGACTGAGCCCGGCCACCACACTCCCCTTGGCCCCTCCTCTACCTTACCCTCATCCCCAGCAACCAAGGCAGAGGGCTCCCCAGAAGGGTCACGACAGCACTGTCAGAATCCAGGTCTGACTTTGGGGACAATTCCCCCCCATATCAGGCCCCGGAGACTCTGAGATTCCACTGCCCTGGGGTTCTTAAGCTGGATGATTGCTAATACTCAAAACTGCTGCAGGTTGTCCGGACCTGGTGGGTCCTCAGCATCATCCAATACTGAGTTGGCAAAATACAAGGCACAGCGGCCACCGGCGTCTGCCTCTGAACCGTGGCGGACGTCACCCATCAGTCAGCCCAAAGCTGCAGCCTAGTCGGTATAGGGCTCTGGGCAGCCTCCACCAATCCAGTGGATTTGGTCTAGAACACGAACCCCATTTGCCACCCAAAATCTACTCCAACCTTGGCTTCATACTTGAGGCCAAACAGGTTGGCATCCATTTGCGGTCACATTGTATATCAGGGGTAAAGTGCTCTTCAAGGCCAGCATCCTTTAAGAGGTGCCTGCTGCTCCCCTGACCCTGCTGGAGAGTCCACACCTGCCTCCTTGCCCTTTGTACCTGCTGCTTCCACTCAGGGCTGATGCTCCGGCAGTACTTCCACACCATGTTCTTCTTACACAGCTCCCGTAGAAGTTCTGAGGCCTGTGGGCATGAGGGGAGTCAGGGCACCTGGACAGCCTGGCTCCCTTCCCTCTGAAGACAACAGGCATATGCCCACCACCAAACCTTTGTCTAAGTGACACCCCTCAACCTGGACTACCCTTCCACTCCTGAGTAATTTCTCTGAGGAGCTCATTCAACATAGCCCAGCTCCTGCTCCCCTCCCTCGGGGAGCCCCCCTGACTCTCCTCTGGCCACATGATCTTTGGGCCCCTCCACTGAGTGCTTTGATGGTCCCTAAGTGACCAGGGAAGGCCCACAGACCTCATGCAGGGCAGGTGGGGGTGTGGGCCAGGAAGTGTCCAGGACGTTTCGGGGCAGCTGCCGCCGCAGGTTAAGCAAAAAAGAGGTGCGCACGTGGTCCAGGAAGAAGGCGTTCTCAGGGCAACGAGGCGCATGGCGCAGGATGAAGCCACGGATAAGCCTAGCGGTGGGAGCCCGACAGGGACAGGAGTTAGACGTCTGGCTATGATCTCCACATACACCCTGCTCTGCCACCCCAGCGGTGCCCCATTGCTCACCGCCGGATTGTCTGTGCCGCCCACTTCCTCTTGGCTGCCTTCCTCCGGCCCAGAGTTCCACGCCACCAAGACTGGATGCAGATGGCTGTGGAGACCACAAACAGCTGACCTCTGTCTCCTCACCATGGTGCCCTCCCTCGCCCCAGACCCTGCTCCTCCTGAAGACCCCTGGTCCCCAAACCTGATTGCTTCACCCGGAGGAATTTTTGCCGCCAGTGAAAGCCCCTCCAGGCAGCCTGGATCTTCGTGGCTGTGGTTGGGAAAGGAAGTCAGTAGGCCAGAGCTCAGGGGAACCAGCTGGGGGCCTGGTGCTGGTCAGAGCTCTGTGAGTGTCATGAATGAGGGAGGGGCTGAACGAGCTAAGTGGATGAGTAAAGGGCGAGTAAATGAAAGAGAGTGGAAGGGAGCAAAGGAATGTGGGAACATGCTCAGTTTGCATCCAGGGGCAGCAAAGAGAGCAGATACTGGGCCTGGAGCTGGTGTGGAGGGCGGCTGAAGGTGGGTGTGGCAGACTTCCTGGAGAAGGAAGTCTTCCTGCTCCCAGAACAAATCCCACTGGGACAGGAAGGGTGGGGCCTCTCTCACCCAGGCTCTGCCGCCGGACCTCCAGGGCATCCTCTGTGGCAAACAGTGTCTTGGGGAAGCGGATGAAGATCTTGGTCCTGAGAGGGCAGCAGTGATCAACCCCTGGTTGCTACTCCCCTGCCCTCCAGATAGCAGGTGTGGGCACCACTCACCTGCCCATCTTGTACTCTTCTGGCTTATAGCCAAGGTGCCTGATCAGCACAGCCACCCCATCCTGGGGCCGTCCTGCCCATGTGGGCCATGTCTCTGGGCACAGTGACTTGTACCTGGGGACAGGAGCAGAAATGGACCCAGCCCCCACCACAGCTGGTGCCCCCTGGGGGACTCAAACCAGCTTTCCTGGGCACCTACGGGGCGCTCCCACTGACTCACAGCTCACAGAAAGCCCGGGAGGTTGTTCTGTTACTTCCCCCACTTTAAAGGTGAGGAAACTGAAGTATGCTCATTTGACACATGGGGCCATGGGGCTAGAAAGTGGCAGAGACAGGATTCACATCTCACTGACACCCCAGATCCCTAGCTCAGGATACCCACAAAGCTGCTATAGCCTTTCTGACCTCATCAGAAACTCTGTCTTCCTCATAGACTTTTACCGTATCCTCTGGTGACAGGTCATGTGGATGCAAACCCCAAGGACCCCTAGCCCGGTGCTCTTTGAGGGCAGAGACTTGTGGGGCTTGTGACATTAGGTCTGTAGCATGCAGCGAAACCTGGTGTGGGTTCCACAGCAGCTCAAATCTCAGCACCCTGGTTGGTTGGTCTCTGTAAAGGAGGGGAGAATCCCTGTCCTCCCTCCTGGAATCTACCCTCCCGCCTTTTCCTGACGCTAAGCCAGGCCCCGCTCCCACCTCTGCAGGAACGCCTCGTATTTGCGGCGATAGGCAAAGCCGGCTCTGCGCACGCGCAGGTTCTCCATCAGCCCCAGGTATTTCACCTGGTGCCGGATCAGCACCTCGTCGAAGCGGCCTGATGGAGGGGCAACAGGGTGGTAGGTGGGTTTTCACCAACGGTCCTAGCCTCTGCAGGGAAGGCCCAGTCCCCACCGGTCAATGGGGTGGGAGGGCCTACCAGGCTGTTTCGCATCATTGGGCTTGATGCAGCGGATGTAGGCAGGCTCCTTAGACTTCAGTATCTCCACCAGCTGCAAGAGGCTCATCTTGAACTGGGTGGCAACCTGGTCAGCCAACGTGAGAGGAAGGTTGACCCAAGTTGAGCGGAGTCCACTGAACCCTGAGCTGCCCCTGGCTGGGGCAGAGCTGCTGAACCCTACAGAGGCCCCTTCCTCTAAAAAGCAGCAGCAATTCCTACGACTACCCCCTGCCCTGCTTGGGCCCTTACTTCCTCCCATCTCCCCTAAGTTGGTCCACTGAGAGACTCTTGAACTATTAGGGAAGAGGCAGTTTTTGGTCTTGCCTCCAATGCAAAAGCCAGAGTGAAAACCTGGAGCTGCTGGTGGCCATTGCTGCCAGTACATACGGAGAGAAGCCAGCAGAGGAAGGCTGGGCCAAGAGATAGTCCTATACCCAATCCTGCCAGTATTATTTGAGCACCTGGGAGCAGCCCTCCTCTGGGACTTAGCTTGCTAATGCTAATAAATGACCTTCTCTGCCGAAGCCTGTTTGGATTGGAGTGTCTCTTGCAACAGAATTTGGAGACTCTCCTTTGAGATCTGCTTCAAATCATCTTCTCTATGAAGGGTTTACAGCCCCTCTCCCTGACCAGAGGCAGTCTGGGCAGGGTGCCCCTCGGTGCCTGCACTTCCCACACTGGGCTGCTTTTCCATTCACCAGCCCTGCCTGCCAGGCTAAGAACCACACAGGCAGGGACTGTGTGTGATGCTTCTTCCCCCCAGCCCACAGCATTGGGCCAGGCTGAGCAGCCCTTTGATAGATGGTCAATGGAAGATTGAGTCCGTGTTGCAGCTACTGGTCACTCCTCTTTCTCCTGGGAAGGGAGCCCTCCTCCTCCCTCCTGGGGACAAGGCAAACACCCTGGGTGCCTTTTCGGGGTCCTCTCCCTTCTCTAACAAAGAGAGACCAGTGTTGGCAGACACATATTGCTTTATTTAGTGTTTCTCTGGATTGCAGAAGTGTCAGCAGTGGGCCGAGCCCCCAAGAAGGCAGAGGCAGCTGAGCAGCCCCCAGGCCCTCTGGAGAGGTGTGGGGGGGGGGAAGCAGCAGAAAGAGGTGGTGGCCCTGTAGTTCGTCCCAAGGCCAGCAGCCCCTTCCCCAGGCCCCCAGGACAGTGAGGGAGCCAGGAGCCAGTAAAGGCCCTATATGCTTGAATTGGGGCCAAAGTGTACGGGCAGGGTGTTTGTCGTCCTAAGGCATGGACTGAGGCAGGAGTGCTCCTCCCACCTGGTGGCCCCCAGGGGTGATTGCTGGTCAGGGGGCCACATGCACCCTGAAAACATGAGCCTGCTTCATGGGGCTCCTGTCCCTGGAAGAGGCAGTGAGGTGTGCTGAAGACAAGGCGGCAGTCCTGGTTCTGCCCCAGCTTGCTAGGTGAGGAGCAGGCCCTTCCTCCCAGTCTCTTGTTTCCCTGTACCAGCAGGCTAGACCAGATGATCTCTCAGTGTCTAAATTCTATGGTCCAAGGCTCCTTCTCCAACTCCAGGACACCCTCAGGCTGGGGTGATATTGAAAGGGCATTTTTAAGGCAGGAAGGAGGAGGCAGGCAAGGGTGGTCCCAGCCCCCAGGGGGATGTCAAAATGGGCTGCAAAGAGTACAGGTGGGTGGGCAGGCAGACAGACAAGGTGCCAAGGGAACGAGGAAAGGGTGGCCTGGGCAGGGAAGACGGCACCAGGGCCCAAACCACCCAACCTCTCAGCTACATTTCCTGCCCTGCTGGACTCAGGGAAAACACCAGCTACATTCCCTGCCCTGCTGGACTCAGGGAAAACACATCCAGTGTGTCTTGGGTGGGTAAATGGCTTTTTCAAAAAATAATTTCCTATAAAGCATCAAAAAATATCAGAGAAAACCTCAGCAAAAGTTCCCTTCTCTCAAATATATGGCATCAGCAGTGGGGCTGGCACAGCTGCCTCCGGCCCTGGCTTTCCCATTGCTGTGTGCCAGCCTGGCCCACTCTAGGGCAGCTCCCTGGCCCCTGCCGCTCCCTAAGAGAGGGGTGAGCAGGAGGCAGGGGTCTGTCGGCGGGCTTCGAGGTGCCCCTGGGTCCCTGTCTGGAAGCTCGAGTCTTTGGTAACTGGGATGGGGAGGAGGGGGTGAGCGGAAAGCATTGGGAAGTGGGAGGGGGTCCAGTGGGTGCCTTCATCACCGGGAATTCAGCCGTGGGGCCACCTGTGGGAGCAGAGGGAGAAGCTCCAGTGGTGAACAGGAAGCAGAGGTGTTCCTGGCACTGGTCTTCACAGGTTAGATGCAAGCAATAGCAGTTTGCAGGGGGCTTGTGGCCTTGGTCCCAGAGACACTGCCCCCACTTCCAGAGGAATCCCTGCCTCTCCTCCAGCATGCCCTTAAGCCCCGAAGGTCTTCCCCATCTCCCCGTGCTGCCATCTTTATGACCCTCTGCATTGTGGGGGCTCAAAAGTTTCCTCTCCCCGACCCTCAATGGGCACTGGGATGAAGGGGGCTCTGGACTGAGACCCAGGGTGAGGTGCTCAGGCTCTGCCAAGCACTGCCAAGGAAGCCTTGGCCACCAAGGCACCATCCTACCCCTAGGGCTATTAGCAAGGAAGCAGGGTGCTGCCTGCCAGGCCCTACTCACCACAGCCAGGTGCCCGTTCTTGGCCTTGGTGATGAGCAGCTCTGAGCCTGGTATGAAGTCAATAATGCCATCCCTGCCAGGGCCCCCTGCAAACGTGATGCTGGAGGGAAGGGGGTAGGTGAGGACTGTCCACATGCAACACACAGCCCACTCTAAGGCTGCTTCTGACCGTCTTACCTGCCCTGGTTGATGTTGACGTTGCTTACACGGTCAGCACTGAGGGCTGTCTTGGTCAGTGTCTCGATCACATGGTCGCTCTGCAGCACCACATCCCCCTGGAGGCCCAGACAGGGAGGAGGGATCAGGCCCTGCCCGGAGCTGGAGAACCTGTCCCCACCTTGCCTCCAGGCCCAAAGGCGTACCTTCTGCTTATTGTCCTCACGCTGCACATGCAGCACAAAGAGGCTGTCGCTCAGGCTGCTGACAGAAATTCCTGAGGGGGAAAGGCAGAGGTGAAGGATCAAGGGTCAGAGCAGGGGCCCTCCCTGTGCTGCCCTGGACTCTGGCTCACCGGTCAGGTTGGCATAATCAATCCTCTGCTTGACTTTGGCGTCCTCCACGATGACCACAGCACTGGGTGTCAGCAGCAGCTGCCGTGAGCGGGGCTTGTAGCCCTTACGGTCATATTTCACTACAGGTACTGCATACTGGGGACAGAGGGCAGGACAATGGGCAGGGGAGCAGCTGAGGAGGCTCGAGGGATACCCTCCTTACCCTCTGCCCAGGCCCTGAGCTCCCATCCAGCCTTAGGCAGCAGGACTGCTGGACTCAGGGCTGCAGGCAGGGTCTCACCTGGATGGTCTCAGAGCCGAGGGCCTGCAACACCCTGGGGCTGATTTCATCTGTACCTGCAATCCAGACAGGGGAGGGGGATGTCAGAGGAGGAGAGAGAGGACTAGGATGGTAGTGAATGGGTTGAGCACTGGAAGTTGGGCTCACCAAGTCGTGTGCTGATGAATAGCCTGGGGACGCTCTGGGGGTAATTGTCCTTCTTGCCCTTGAAGATCTCACTAGCTACGGCTTTTTGCTGGAGCTGAGGAGAGAACCGGAGGGAGGGGAAGATGCTAGGAGGGGTGAGGACTACCAGAGAAGGCAGGCCATCTCGGGAACTGAGACAGCCTCCCTCACCCTCTACGGCCCCAGGAGCAGGAGACTGAGCCCGGCCACCACACTCCCCTTGGCCCCTCCTCTACCTTACCCTCATCCCCAGCAACCAAGGCAGAGGGCTCCCCAGAAGGGTCACGACAGCACTGTCAGAATCCAGGTCTGACTTTGGGGACAATTCCCCCCCATATCAGGCCCCGGAGACTCTGAGATTCCACTGCCCTGGGGTTCTTAAGCTGGATGATTGCTAATACTCAAAACTGCTGCAGGTTGTCCGGACCTGGTGGGTCCTCAGCATCATCCAATACTGAGTTGGCAAAATACAAGGCACAGCGGCCACCGGCGTCTGCCTCTGAACCGTGGCGGACGTCACCCATCAGTCAGCCCAAAGCTGCAGCCTAGTCGGTATAGGGCTCTGGGCAGCCTCCACCAATCCAGTGGATTTGGTCTAGAACACGAACCCCATTTGCCACCCAAAATCTACTCCAACCTTGGCTTCATACTTGAGGCCAAACAGGTTGGCATCCATTTGCGGTCACATTGTATATCAGGGGTAAAGTGCTCTTCAAGGCCAGCATCCTTTAAGAGGTGCCTGCTGCTCCCCTGACCCTGCTGGAGAGTCCACACCTGCCTCCTTGCCCTTTGTACCTGCTGCTTCCACTCAGGGCTGATGCTCCGGCAGTACTTCCACACCATGTTCTTCTTACACAGCTCCCGTAGAAGTTCTGAGGCCTGTGGGCATGAGGGGAGTCAGGGCACCTGGACAGCCTGGCTCCCTTCCCTCTGAAGACAACAGGCATATGCCCACCACCAAACCTTTGTCTAAGTGACACCCCTCAACCTGGACTACCCTTCCACTCCTGAGTAATTTCTCTGAGGAGCTCATTCAACATAGCCCAGCTCCTGCTCCCCTCCCTCGGGGAGCCCCCCTGACTCTCCTCTGGCCACATGATCTTTGGGCCCCTCCACTGAGTGCTTTGATGGTCCCTAAGTGACCAGGGAAGGCCCACAGACCTCATGCAGGGCAGGTGGGGGTGTGGGCCAGGAAGTGTCCAGGACGTTTCGGGGCAGCTGCCGCCGCAGGTTAAGCAAAAAAGAGGTGCGCACGTGGTCCAGGAAGAAGGCGTTCTCAGGGCAACGAGGCGCATGGCGCAGGATGAAGCCACGGATAAGCCTAGCGGTGGGAGCCCGACAGGGACAGGAGTTAGACGTCTGGCTATGATCTCCACATACACCCTGCTCTGCCACCCCAGCGGTGCCCCATTGCTCACCGCCGGATTGTCTGTGCCGCCCACTTCCTCTTGGCTGCCTTCCTCCGGCCCAGAGTTCCACGCCACCAAGACTGGATGCAGATGGCTGTGGAGACCACAAACAGCTGACCTCTGTCTCCTCACCATGGTGCCCTCCCTCGCCCCAGACCCTGCTCCTCCTGAAGACCCCTGGTCCCCAAACCTGATTGCTTCACCCGGAGGAATTTTTGCCGCCAGTGAAAGCCCCTCCAGGCAGCCTGGATCTTCGTGGCTGTGGTTGGGAAAGGAAGTCAGTAGGCCAGAGCTCAGGGGAACCAGCTGGGGGCCTGGTGCTGGTCAGAGCTCTGTGAGTGTCATGAATGAGGGAGGGGCTGAACGAGCTAAGTGGATGAGTAAAGGGCGAGTAAATGAAAGAGAGTGGAAGGGAGCAAAGGAATGTGGGAACATGCTCAGTTTGCATCCAGGGGCAGCAAAGAGAGCAGATACTGGGCCTGGAGCTGGTGTGGAGGGCGGCTGAAGGTGGGTGTGGCAGACTTCCTGGAGAAGGAAGTCTTCCTGCTCCCAGAACAAATCCCACTGGGACAGGAAGGGTGGGGCCTCTCTCACCCAGGCTCTGCCGCCGGACCTCCAGGGCATCCTCTGTGGCAAACAGTGTCTTGGGGAAGCGGATGAAGATCTTGGTCCTGAGAGGGCAGCAGTGATCAACCCCTGGTTGCTACTCCCCTGCCCTCCAGATAGCAGGTGTGGGCACCACTCACCTGCCCATCTTGTACTCTTCTGGCTTATAGCCAAGGTGCCTGATCAGCACAGCCACCCCATCCTGGGGCCGTCCTGCCCATGTGGGCCATGTCTCTGGGCACAGTGACTTGTACCTGGGGACAGGAGCAGAAATGGACCCAGCCCCCACCACAGCTGGTGCCCCCTGGGGGACTCAAACCAGCTTTCCTGGGCACCTACGGGGCGCTCCCACTGACTCACAGCTCACAGAAAGCCCGGGAGGTTGTTCTGTTACTTCCCCCACTTTAAAGGTGAGGAAACTGAAGTATGCTCATTTGACACATGGGGCCATGGGGCTAGAAAGTGGCAGAGACAGGATTCACATCTCACTGACACCCCAGATCCCTAGCTCAGGATACCCACAAAGCTGCTATAGCCTTTCTGACCTCATCAGAAACTCTGTCTTCCTCATAGACTTTTACCGTATCCTCTGGTGACAGGTCATGTGGATGCAAACCCCAAGGACCCCTAGCCCGGTGCTCTTTGAGGGCAGAGACTTGTGGGGCTTGTGACATTAGGTCTGTAGCATGCAGCGAAACCTGGTGTGGGTTCCACAGCAGCTCAAATCTCAGCACCCTGGTTGGTTGGTCTCTGTAAAGGAGGGGAGAATCCCTGTCCTCCCTCCTGGAATCTACCCTCCCGCCTTTTCCTGACGCTAAGCCAGGCCCCGCTCCCACCTCTGCAGGAACGCCTCGTATTTGCGGCGATAGGCAAAGCCGGCTCTGCGCACGCGCAGGTTCTCCATCAGCCCCAGGTATTTCACCTGGTGCCGGATCAGCACCTCGTCGAAGCGGCCTGATGGAGGGGCAACAGGGTGGTAGGTGGGTTTTCACCAACGGTCCTAGCCTCTGCAGGGAAGGCCCAGTCCCCACCGGTCAATGGGGTGGGAGGGCCTACCAGGCTGTTTCGCATCATTGGGCTTGATGCAGCGGATGTAGGCAGGCTCCTTAGACTTCAGTATCTCCACCAGCTGCAAGAGGCTCATCTTGAACTGGGTGGCAACCTGGTCAGCCAACGTGAGAGGAAGGTTGACCCAAGTTGAGCGGAGTCCACTGAACCCTGAGCTGCCCCTGGCTGGGGCAGAGCTGCTGAACCCTACAGAGGCCCCTTCCTCTAAAAAGCAGCAGCAATTCCTACGACTACCCCCTGCCCTGCTTGGGCCCTTACTTCCTCCCATCTCCCCTCCCTCACAACAGAGGAAGGGGCCAGATTCTGTCCACAACATCCCTCTGGCTAGGCCAGAGACCTCAGCTTAAGCTGAGTACCTCACTCACATCTAAAATTCTTGCTCAGGTCTCCCCACAACCTCAATCCTACATCTCCCTTTGGCAACCACTCTGTTTCTAGAATTTCAGGGGCACATCCCCAGATAATGAGTTCTACACCTATGCATTTAATCATTACCCTGTAGGCTGCTCAGGAGGACCTTCCAGGATCTTAGGCCTGTGAGAGAAGCAGACTCCTCAGAAAAGACTCACAACCCAGTGGTCCCATTGATGCCAAGAGTGTACACCTGGGGGTTCTGGGAGTATCAAGGAGGACCAACTGATCCAGGCTGTGGGGGAGTGAGCACCAGGAAAGGCCTTCTGGAAATGCCCCTTCAGCTGAGTTTAGAGGAGGAGTAGGACGTAGCCAGAAGCAAGAGAGGAGAGAAAGGCATTTAGGGAGATGAGACAGCCTGAGCAAAGGCTTGACGAACCCAGGGAGCTACACACACTGCAAGTATCCAGATGGGGAGTAAAAAGGACAGTTAAGAGGCAGGCAGATGCAGAATCACAGCAGAACCTGTATTACACAGGGAGACTTGAGTTTTAGCCTGACAGAGGAATAGAGTCACAGATGAATTTGGAATGAGGGAATGACAAGAACAGTTCTGCATTTTGGAGTATCTTTATAGCAGATACATGGAGGATAGATGGAAAGCCAGGAGACCAGGGAGGAGGCTGGCTGGCTCAGAGTACTGGATTGGGGCAGTGGTTATAGGGTAGCGCCAAGGGGAGGGAGTTAAGTATTCAGGCAGCAGAAATGGGTAAGATCCAGTGGCTGTTTGGACGAGCCACACAGGGGAGACTGAAGAGTCAGGGATGCTATCCATGTTTCTGGCCTATGGGACTGGATGGAGGGTGATCCCTGTCTTAAGTTAGGGACACAGAAGGAGCAGTCTTGGGGACTGGGTAATCAAGGGCCCATTATACATCAGGGGAGTCAGGGGTATCTGGGTGCCACTTGGAGGAGATCAATGGCTACAGGAATCTGTGGCTTGGCTGGAGGGGCCGGGACAGCAGTGTGTGTATTCCCCCAGTGGGAGAGGATGACGGCGCTCAGGGAGGGAGCAGAGAGCAGGTCCCAGGGAGCCAGACGAGCGCAGTCTCCACACCCTCCCTGCCAACACGTCTCAGCCTGCAGCCCTCTGGCTTCTACCTCTTCCTGGGAGGGCCAGGCTCTCCTCTTGCCAAGCCCAACAGCCACGCCTGTCCTCAGCTTACTGAAGCTCTCCCGGATCTGCCACCACTGGCCACACCTGCCTTTCCAAGCCTCCCTCTCTCCTCAGAAATGTCACTCTCCTGTCAACCTCCTGGGTTTTTTTTGGCTCTGTGTGTTGGGCCCCTCACTGCCTACAGTGCCCTCCCATAGGTCCATCCAACAAGCACCTACCCACTCCCAGGAGATTTCAGATGCTTCCTCCAGGAAGCCTTCCCTGGCCCCTTCACCCCTTCTACTCCCTCAGGCTATTTTCTGCTCCTTGTTCTACGTTTCCAAAGCACCCTGTGCACATTCCAGAGACAAGAATGTATGTGTGTGTGTGTATATATATATACACACACACACATATATATATACATATACATATATATGGACATCACACAGACACAGGTGCACACACACAGGACCACACTTAGAGACAGTCACACAGACACACACGGAAGAGGTCACAGATGCACCCACTGTCAGCCTCCTAACACACACAGATGTACACACAGGCACCAATGAAGATACAAGCTCACATGCGCACTGCCAACTCCCAGGCACTCGTCCACACATGCGTGCACACACAACCCCTCAGGTGTCCCAGCCTTCACACCGTCTCTGGTCGCTTCTTGTCACTGAGCTCACTCCGGTCAAAGCATTGGCTCATGATGGGATTCTCTGAGCTGCACATGGTCTGTGAAAGCAGAGCAGGGCTCAGGGTGGGGCCCGGGAGCAACAGGACACATTTCTGGGGCAAGAAGCCATACAGGGCCCACCCCCAGGCCCTTCCCATGCCTAGTTCTCCTCACCTCCTTCAGGTTCCGGAAGAGAAGGTCATTGTTTTTATCCAGAAACCCTGGGAGGACAGAGCAGATGTGAGGGAGAGCTCCTCTGCCTGCTCACTGTGAGGACCCAGCCCCAGGATCCTTACCGGTCACACTGTAAGTCACCTCCCCAGCATAGTGCAGAAGGCGGAACTCCCCACGACCCAGAGATTTCCTGGTCCGCTGGTCAGCCAGCTTGTGCCTGGGGAGGGAGAGGAAGCTACAGGTTGCTGGCCCGAGCTATACCCCTTTCCTGCTGAAGAGACTTTGATGGCGGAACCAGGCATCCCGTGAAGAGCAGGCATGCCCCAGGGCCACCCCACAATCCAAAGGGTAGCAGACAGGGAAGGGCCGTCAGCCTCCCTGAGCTCAGGGAGGTAGACAGCCTTGCCCAGGGCCACACAGTGCCAGGAGCAGGACCTCGGCCTCTGCACTGCCAGGGCACACAGGGCTGAGGCCTCCTTTCACTGCATCTGGCTGCTGCGCCAACTGCTCAGAGGGCTGAGCACTGCCCACTACATTTTAAGAATGGAATTTGCCCAAAGAGATTGCTTAAGTCTTAAGCATGTTTATACCCTTTAGCCCATTTTCTACATTTAAGAACTATTCCAAGCAACTACCCAGAGATATAGGCAGAGATTTAAGACACAAAGATGTTTGTGGCAGCCTGTTACCCCACCAGAAACCTGGAGGCTGGCCAGTGGCCCCCGGAGACCAAGCGAAAGCAGGAGAATATCTGTGGGTTAGAGCCATTGGAGGAAGTGTTTTGAGGAAATTTTTCTGTTGGATGATACTGGAAAATACTCAGGATATAACATTATCCTGAGCCTTATACCTAGTAAGTTCTCAACTATGAAAAAAAAAATGTATAGAAAAAGGCAGGAAGGAAATGCCTCATATTGTTAACAGTGATGACCTCTGGGTGACAGGATTATAAGTGGCTTTTGCATACATTCCAACTTTTCTCTAACGAGCAACATTATTTTTACAATCAGAGGCAGGTTCTTATACTGTTAAGCAAAAAATGCTCAGGGCTTCGACATTCAAAAACCCAGGGAGTAGGTCCCAGCTCTGCACCTTACTAGACATGTGATAACCTTGGGCACATGGCTTCACCACTTGGAGCCTTGGAAAGGGGAGAAAGCACCACAGATACCTTCTTGCAGGGATGCTTCAGGTTAGAGGAGATGATGTGCACCAAATACGTGGGACAGAGCAGGGACGGGGATGATGCCCGTTTCTCTCCCCACAACCCTCCTCACTTTCGGAGACTCCTTGAATAAAAAGCAATTTCCAAATAGAGAAGCTTAAAAATCTTAGCAAGTTTCATCCTCAATAAAAGAGTCAGGAAGAAGCTATGCTTCCAGCTTCTTATGCTGTGGGTGCTCCACGGCTGTGGCTTTGTGTGCCTGTCCTTACCCCGGCATCTCCCATCATCTCCCTGTGGCTGGTGTTTTAGGACTGTACAGGGATCCCTAGCTTCCAAAGGCTCTGCCCCAAGTGAGCCCTCACCCCCGGCATCCCTGCAGCCCCACTCACGTCAGGAAGTGAGGATGGTGCTTCACTGTGTCCTCCAACTTCTCCAGGAAGGTCAGATCTGTGGCCTCCCCAGGGCGTAAGCACTCCTCATCCTGGGGGGTGTGGCACAAGGTGAGGGATGTATCAGGGAAGGGACTGGAGGGCCCAGGAGACTCGGGGCACCATGCTGGGAGGCACAGACCCAGGGGAAGGGGCAGGTCATAGGGAGCCTTTCACAGACAGCTTCAACCAGGCAGCACCTCACCTCACCCTCTACACATAGCCCTGCCCTGTCCTTGCTCAGCCCCAAACAATGGCCCTCTGTGGGCAGGCCTGGAGAGAAAGGAGAACAGGGTGATGTCCTCCTACCCAGCTCCCAACACAAAGCCTCGGAGACACAGAGGACTTACCAAAATGGAAATGATGCCCTTGAACTTCTCTTCCACCAGGTCACAGATGATCTTGTTGTTGAAATATTGAACAGGCTCCCACTGAGGGGCAAATGGGAAGGAAGGCATCATCATGGGGTCCCAGCACCTCTCTCAAGGAGACCCCAATGCCTGGGCTTCTTAGAGACTTCACCGGGGGACACTTGCGGCTTGCACTCACCGCGATGCCCTCTGCCTCATATTCTTCCTGTTCCGACTTGAGGGTGAGCTCAATGAAGAGCTGCTGCAGCTTCTCGTTGCAGTAATTGATGCAGAACTGCTCAAAGCTGGGAGGGAAACAGAGGAGCCCACAGTAGTTGTGTGTGTTGGGGGGTGACACAGGACCAGGAGCAGGGAAGAAATAGGACAAAACCCTGAGCAGCTAAGGGAAGAAACAGAACAGGACCCAAGGTGGCCGGGGGCATCAGCAGCAGAATAAGGGAGGCAGGGGTTAGAGGAGAGGGACCAGGACAGGGGAGACAGGCAGTGGGGGAAAGGGGGAAGCTGACCTGTTGTGCTGAAACACTTCAAAGCCATAAATGTCGAGGAGCCCAAGGACTGTGGTGCTCCGCCAGCTGGGGCTCTCAGCATCCTAGGGCCGGTCATTTGACCAAGAGCATGGTCAGTGTTGGCCAGCTCCCAGCCCCAGGCCACCCAGACTGCCCTCCTCGAGGCCTTGGGAGCAGCCCTCACCTTGGAGGCCAGTGACCTGTTGATCTTTTCAACCAGCCAGGTGAAAGTGCGACTGTACACAGCCTTGGCAAGGGCGTCTCGGGCATAGGCAGCCTGTTCCAGGTTCAGTGGGCTCAGGAGCTGCGGGTGAAGGGCGAGACAGGGACATGAATGGCATGAACCCCCTTCCTTTCCCCCTCCACTTTGGGCTCAGGCCGACCACCAGGAAACCATGACCTCTCTGCCCTCCTCACTCCCTGTGAGCCTCAGGGTGAAGGACACCCAGGGAAGCCACAGTGGCCACCCTACGGGGAAGATGGTAGAGGGACAAGGGGCCTCATTCCCAGAGGTGGGAGTCTTGGTTCCAGCCTTTTGTCCTCTTCCTGTGTGATCTTGGCTGGCTCCCTGTGCCCCTCTGAGCCACCTGCCTTATGTCCTTTTAGCACTGCTGCACAGACCAGGGGAAGGGGAATGATGGAAGTCGGGCTGCCTCAGAATACTGGCACCCCTGTCCCCACCTCCCAAGACAAGGCTCACCTCTTCTCCCTTGGCAGTGATCTTCCTGTGTGTCAGGGCCTCCCGCAGTGTTGAGCCTTCCACTCCAAGGAGCTGCCAGGAGTGGAGGTGGGCCTGGTGAGCCCACACAACCCCCTCTCCCCAGCGCTCTGCCCCAACCCTCTGCTCACCCCACTCACCCTACTCAGATACTTGAGCTGGTGCTCGGTGGTCACCTGGGCGTTGCTCTCCTCATCAGCAGCAAAGTGGGTGTTGCCCAAATGCAGGACGCTGGCCACGATGCTCAGCAGGTCCTGGGGAACAGAGAGGGGGCAGGCGGGGATCGCAGGAAGGACAGGAAGTCCCACGAGGACAGCTAGTGGACAGTCGGATGGTGCCAGGCCTAGGTGGCAGAGCGTTTGAGAGCAGGAGGGGCTACACATGGAATTGGGTTGTAAAAGTGGGCGCGGTTTTCAGGGTATGACAGGAGGGAAGCGAGGTCCCCAGCAGAGGGCTCACCTCCACCTCATCCTCAGTGAAGTCAATGACCGTCAGAGCCTTCCTGACGACCTTCCAGTCACTCTTGTCATTGATAGAGGAGACTTTGGCACACTGGCCCTGGAGGAGGGGCAGAGAGGAGTTACTGGGCTCCAGCCCTGGGCTCCCAGGGTGGCACCTGCCCTGCCTGCTGCCACACACCTTCACCAGGTACAGGTAGCTCTGGGGGTTGCGCTCCAAGCCCAGCCTGAGCAGCGTCTCCTCCTCACCCCCCTCCAGCAGCTGGTAGAAGACGTGGAAGTTCCTCTCCCCGTGGTTCTGGTGCACCACTCGGGACTTCTCCAAGAGGTAACTGAGGATGTGGCCGCCCACGGGGGCCCCCTGCGGGCAGGGAAGGATGTGGCGGCTGCTCAGGGGGGCTGGGAAGTGGGCCCATCTTGGCCTCCCTCCCCTGCACTCTTGGGCTCTAATTCCAGCTCTGCCGCTAGTGGTGCGGGTTCAGGCAAGCCACCGGCTCTGGCCTCAGTTTCTGCACCTAAGCAATGAGGATTTTCAGCCCTATCTGCTTGGCAGCTCTGCTTGGATGTCCAACAGGCATCTCAACAGGCTTGACACTGAACTCCTGATCTCCTCCTGAAACTGGCTCCTCTTCCCATCTTGGTCAGTTTTTCACTCCATCCTTCAGGTATTCAGGCAGTCTGAACAGAAGTCTGCCACACCTCATGCCTACTCCTGCTAACCTTCAAAACATCCAGAATCCAACCACGGCTCACCACCTCCACTGCACCACACGGGTCCCGGCCACTGTCACCTGTCACCTAGATTTAATAATCATCAGCTTCCTAATTGATTTCCCCGTTCAGCCTGGTTCTCCAACTGTCTCAACAAAGCAGCCAGAGTAATCATTCAAGAGGAAAGTCAGATCAGGAAGCATTTCTGTTCCAAGCCCTCTGATAGTCCCCTTGCCCCCTTTCCACTGGTTTTTTTTTTAAGTTCTTACAGAGACACAAAAGGGCCTGCACCACCTGGCCTCTTCTATTCGTTGGCCCCTGGCTCTCTTCTCCAGCCACCCAGGCCTTCTTGCTGTCCTTGAATATGTCAAGCACCCGCCCACCTCAAGGCCTCTGCATTGGCCTTTGCCCTCTGCCCTGGCCTTTGCCCTCTGCCTACCCTCTTTCCCTCAGTTAGGTGCACAGCCTTCTCCCATCTCCATCAAGCCTTTACTAAAACGCCACTTTCTCAGTGAGGCTTACCCTAAATGCCTTATTTAAGACAGCAGCTGCCCCCACCCACCCTTCCCTCATTGTCTTTTTTGCCATGGCACTTATCACCTAAATCACATTTTTCTATTTACTGTCTATTTCCCCAGAGGCAGGATTTTTGTTGTGTTTCACTGCTGTACCCACACCTAGAGCAGTGCCTGGCACACAGTAGGTGCTCAATAAATATTTACTGATGCCAGAGACCTGGCCAGTGGGAGCCTACCAAATGGGAATACCACTCTCCCCACTCTGCTGTGGGTACCTTGAAGTCAAACTGCACGTCCATGTACTTCCCAAACCTGCTGGAGTTATCATTCCGGAGGGTCTTGGCGTTTCCAAAGGCCTAAGAGCAGACAGAGGAGTGCAGGATGCCTGCGTTCCCTCCCTGGCCTTCCCTCCCTTCAGATGCTGCTGTCTCCTCACCTCCAGCACAGGGTTGCTCTGCAGCAGCCGGTCACGCACAGCTCCCCCCCGCTCAGGGGCTGGGCAGGTCTCAGCATAGAACTGCAGCAGCCGCTTGGTGGCCTCTGTCTTGCCTGCCCCGCTCTCCCCAGAGATCATCACTGCCTGGTCCCGGCGCTCCGTGCGCAGAGCCCGGTACACAGTGTCGGCCACCGCGAACCTGGGACAGAGGCTTGTCAGGAGCTCAGAGATGGGAGTCCAACAGAGAAGACTATGGGGGGGCACTCCCATACCTGGCTGGAGTTCATTTGTGAGTGGCAATTAGGTGAACCCTTAAGGTTGAGCATTGGACCCTCAAGGGTTGGGTAAAAGGAGAGCCTTCGCAGTTGAGAATGGGGATCACTTTCAGAGGGAGGACTGAGGGGCTCACTCATGGGAGTACTGGAGGTCATTCAGTGGAGGTTGGGTCACTGAAGGTCACTGAGGCAGGGCTGGGAGGTCCCTCAGTGGTGGGGGTCAGAGAGTCACTAGGGTGGGGGGCCATGCCCAGGTAGAGTTGGGGAATAAGTCATGGATGTGAGTTGGGGTGGGGGCTGGGGAGGTCCGCCCACATGGAGATGACTCATCTTAGGTGGGCACTGGGGTCACTCTAGGTTGAGGGATATAGGAGTCCTCACAGATGTGAATAGTGAGTCATCCCAAGTGAGAGGTCAGGGATCATTTTAGTGTGAGGGTTGTGTGGGTCCATCTCAGTAGAGATGGGAGACCTCTCCTGGGGGGGATGGTGGTCACTCACAGGTGGGGGGGCACCTCATAGAAGCTGACACCACGGTAACGCTCCATGTGCTGCCGACTGTAGATCTGCAGGTCCCGGTAAGGGTTGACAGAGACCAGCACAGGGCCAATGTAGGTCTGGGGGTTGGGGGAGGAGGGTCAGAAGTTTCCTCCAGAGGTCCCTGATGCTTCTTTGCCCCTCAGCCCTGCATCTGTGCCCCCCAGTAGCCCCACTGCCTTCCCACTTGGGCCTCACGTAAATGAGGTTCTCCCGGAATCGTCGCCGCAGGTTCTCGATGAAGGCTGCCTCACTGGTGAAGTTCTCCAGCAGCACAAAATCCTGTACCCCCACCCGGTCACGGGCGGTCAATGCACTCTCCATGGTCACCCGCACCCCGTCACTGCCCAGGGCCTGCAGGGAATGGACCACACACGGGAGCAGTCAGAGCCAGCAGGGTAAGTAAGGTAGAGCCACTTCTCCCCCTCCACCACAGCCTGCCAGACAGAGAGGGCACCAGGACACAGGAGACCTGGACACAGGCGACAGAGAACACCCAGGATGGATCATGTTGGGTACAGCCGGTCTGGGTCCCAGGAAGCTGGCCTTTGGAACACTGAGGACAGGGGTCACAGAACAAAGACCACATGGGACACATGAGACCTGGACACAGGACATTGGAGCACAGAAGATCGAGGGGACAGGGGATCAAGGCCATTGAGTCCAGGGAGGCGCTGGTTTTGTGTAGAGAAAGGGGGTCAAGAGAAGGAATTCCCTAGAATAATAGAAAGAATGTTCTTGTTGACCTTGGACAAATCCCCTCCTCTCTCCAGGTTGTTTCCTCCTCAAGGAGGAGGAGTTGAGTTAAACCAGGTGACTTCAGGTCCTTTAGCTCTGGGCCACGTGTGATAGGTGCTTGGGAGGACAAATGTCTCAGAGTGAATGCTGCAGGCAGGGCTGGGCCCTCTCCCACTTCAACCCACCAAAATCTCCAAGGGACTGTCAAGCAAGAGAACACCCCCAGGCCACAGGAGAGGGATTCCCCCTGAGGGCCACCCACCCCAGCTGGGCCAACACCCACCCCAGGAGGGGGGCCCTCCCTCCCACAGGAGGGCCACACCCTCTGCAGCTGCCAGGTTCCCCAAACACCCTCCTCTGCTGAGAGCCCTGAGAAGCCTCCAGGGGGTGGGGGTTTTACCACGGAAAGCCCAGCTGCCTCTGGAGCCCATCAGAGGGTGAGGGAGAAGTACAAGCATAACAAGGCCCTCACCTCACACCACACTCTACAAAAGAGGGTCTGGGGGCTCTATGAAATTGACACCAAGAATGTCAAAGGTCAGAAAGAGCAAGGTGGCCAGTGGTGGGAGAAGGGTGTAAATCCCAAAAAGGCCCTAGGTCTCCTTCAACCTCAGACCACCCAGATCTCTGGCCCGGAGTACTGTCAGGCTCTGGCCAAGGTCTGCCTCTCCCAGGCCTGACCCTCACTGCACCCCCTCTCCCAATTCTGTCCCGAAGCTGCTGCCAAATCTGGCCAAAGCTCCCGCCCCCTTGACCTCTGGTGACGGGTCTCTGCTCTCAGCCCTCCCGGAGGCTACTCTTCGGCCCCGGGTGCGGGCGGCCCGCGGGTCTCCCTGCCTCGGCCTCCTCCCGCTGCAACTTTCCGGGACGTTTTTCCACCCGAAATTCCTGGGCCGCGCCCGCTTCCTGGCGGGACCGAGGCGGCGCCGCGAGGCGGGGAGGGACGACCGGGACCCCCGCCCTTCCTGTCGCCCCCGCTCACCGACGCCCGGTAGCGCATCCTGCCCGGCCGGCCTGACGCCCCGCTTCGCTGCCGGTGCTCTCGGCCCGGGGCGCGGCGGCGTCGTCAGCGAGGGAGGGGCTGTCCCGCCCCCGCACCGCCCTTTCCGCGAGCCCGATAAGCGCGGGACTCCCCCGCCGTCCCCGCCTCCCTCGGGGCTCGGACTCCCGGGTCCCTCTCCAGCTGGTGGGGGCGGGGTGGGAACTCAGGGGGATTTGGGGGGGAGGGGACAGAGGCGGGGAGGGGGCGGGGCTCCCCGCCGGGCAAGGGCTCCGCCTGAGTCAGGTTTTCCAGGAGGGACGTCGTTGGTTCCAGGGTGGTGCCCGGAACCCGCGCGGCCTCCGCGTCTATACGGACCCAGAACTCACTTCCGGGCTGTGTCTACAGTACGCACGAGGCCAGGCGCGCGACAAGGGCTGAAGCCCGTGGGTCCCGGAGGAAGTAGGATTTCCCTCCCCCTTCACCACTACAGCAAGTCCCGGGAAAGTTAAAAATAGAACGAAATGTCCAAATACGGCCGGCGCGCCCAAGCGGGCGGAGCCTCCGTGCGGGACACTGTCCATCCCCATACACTCTGGGCGGTGGGCTCCTTACAAGTCTGTAAGCCCCAAGAAAATCTCTAGGTTCCCGCGTCAGCGCAGAGCGCGCGCTCCAGGGACAGAGACTGCCACAGAGCGCCTTTGCCGGCGCGGTGTGTGCCCAGCCCCTACGGAGGTCTCAGTTTTCCATCTGCGAAATACAAGTCTGACTTCCAGCCTTTGGGGCAATACCCTTCTACCCTATCCCGGACACCCAGACTAGGGCCTTTGTGCCTCAGGGGCCCCGCACCTCTTTCCCTTGAGTGGGCCTCCCTCTCTTGCTTCTCTGGATTCCTCCATACTCTGTCCAGAACTCCCTCCCTCTCCCCAAACCAGCCCCCAGCAGCGCCACCCTCAATGGGCTCTTGGAAACACCAGCCTGAGGGGTGAATTCTAGCTCAGACCCCAGCTGGCGGGGCTGGTGATGGCTAGTGCTTGAAAAATGCTGGGCTATTTCTTATAAGATGTGTGACTGCAGGCGAGAACTTCTCGGGGCCTCTTCTTCATCCTTAAAATGAGGCTAACACCTGCCTAAAGAGGTTGTTGTAAAGGCTAAGATAAAGCGCTACGGTGCCTCCCACTTCCCTTTCTCCGCCAGACATTTATTTATTCCACGCATGCTTGGGGCAGACCTACTAAGGGTCAGGCCTTGGGCTAGACGGGTCACACTTCTTATCTAGTGGGGAAAACCCCTCAGGCGTGTCTCCCAGTTACAAAGAGCTCTCAAGAGCTTCACCTGCCCCCCACCAGACAGATAAGGAACCTGGCACGCAATACGGCGGACAGTGACTTGTCTTAGGGGCAAAAAAGCAGAGCCAGGACCCAAAGCCCCGGTGGACCCCACCCTCGGGCCCCGGCTCCCCGGGGAAGGGGTGAAGCTGCTGCAGGTGCGGGCTGCAGCCTCGTGGGAAAGGCTCATTACCTCGAGAACAACAGCCCGGCTGGAGCCGCGGCTCGGGGGACCCTGCGGAGGCGGGGAATGGGGGCGCCAGCTGGGAGATGGGACCCTCTGGAAGGGGCAAGGGGACTGGCTGCCGCCGCGCAGCTGGGAGATGGGTCGGAACGGAGGTGCGGGGGTATTAAACGCCACCGGCAGAGGCGGGCTCAGGGCGGGAGGGGGCGCCCTTTGCGGTGGTCCAGGTTTAAAATCCAGAAGGGAGCGGGCAGAGGAAGAGACCCAGCCTCTAACCTTAGAAGAGTGGGGGAAAGGGGTCCAGCAAGCCCCCAGCAGAAGCATGGCTCCCAGCGCGAGCTGCTACGGCTAGCGGACGCCGGGAGAGTCGGGTAGCGGGGCGGGGCTTCGCGGCCGCAGTGCCCGCCTTGCCCGCTGCCGCGTCAAGCGGCTGGAATGAGGGGAATCCGCGTGCGGAGGGGTCCAGCCCGCCACCCACCAACCCGGAGCCGCGCTGCCGCATTCCCGGGATGCCCGATGGCGCCCCCGCAGCCAACGCCCGGCAGCGGAAGGAGGGGGGGTCTCCGTCGCCGGGAGGACCTGAGGGCCGTCCCAGCCTCGGCCACAGCCCCTGGCCACCCCCCTCCGCCCGCCCCACCTCCCTCGATGGTAACGCCGGCTCCGGAGGCCGGGTAGGGAGGCGGTAACTGTCTGAGCGCTGCCTCATCACACTCCTTCAATGTCTCCAGCCAGGCCATGAGGTCTGTATTATTATCCCCTTTCTACAGATGTGAAAACCGAGGCTGGGCAGACGAGCGACTTGTTCAAGATCCCAGGACTAGAAAAGGAGGGGTGGGGTTTGAACCGGGAACTTTAGCACTCACTACTCCTGCGGTCTGTCCTGAAGGAGAGAGGCCAGCCTAAAGCTGGCAGATTTCCAAGCTTCTCTCCAAGGGTTAAGAGGCTACCTTGCCAGGCTGTGACCTTCTTCAGTGACCCTGTGACAGCAGTGCTCAGTACACAACCCTGTGGGTGTTGCCTGACTATTGACATGTAGGTTTTAGGAGTAGCAGCTAGGCAGCTTCGGGTGGGGGCCACAGCCCTGGACCTAGGGGCTGGCTGCAGGCTGGGATGAAGCCATGGTCCTTGAGTGACCCAGGACTTACTTCTCAAGGCTATCTCTGGGTCTCCTCCCACCTGAGTGTTTCCAGTAAAGTCGGGGATGGGGCCAACCCAGTAGATCTAGGTCATCCAGTGTCCTTTACCTAGTGTAGGCCAGGTGCCCCAAAGCCTGACCTTTGGAGGAGTGGGAGGGCAGTGGGCAGCCTCAAATGTCTCCCTAGCCCAGAGCTACACAGATCTAGAGAGGGTGTTCTGAGGACTCCCAGATGGCTGTTATAAATTGATTTCCACTGAGGCAGCCTCATGGCCTATTGGGGCAGCAGAAAGAACCATAGTCTATCTGTGTGCAGGACAGTGCTGGTCACAGAACAGAAGGTCGATTTATATTTATCAAACATATTGTAGATCTGGACTCAGGTTGCCCCTCCAAAGACTGTTCCAGACTCAAGGGAACTGTTGTGAGGGAGAATGAGAAGGAAAAGTGAGGCCTTAGGGGCTCTACCTGATTGCTCTCAGGACTCTAGTCCAGGCTGGAGAACTATGGAAGTTTGGCCTTCTAGATACCTCTGCTTGGGGGTGCAGCAGAAGTAAACAGAGCACCTTACCCCCCTAAGCTATCCTCCTTGTTCAGTATTCTGTATGTTGACAGGAGGGAAGCACCTCCAGCTAGACAGGAGGGCATCTATAGGCCTGCTGTCCCCCCTCCACTCCTCACACTAAGGAGTCACCACCACCTGCTAAACTTCCCCTCTGCTCTTCCATCACTGCTCTGTTCCTGGGCCAGGCAGTAGCCTCCAAACCGGCCTCCTTGCCTTCCTTCCTCCAATCCAGTTTCCCACAGCAGCATGTGTTATTTACAAATGCAAATCAAGTCAATTAACATCTCATGTTAATAATGTGAAAGTTTATAGGGCATCCCGTGCTTCACACTTACTGCTTTTTGCCAGGTCCCTGCATATAGACTCCAGAAATCCCGTCTGTCCTCACTTTACCCCACCGCTCCTGCCTTCCTATGTGACCACAGGGGTGGCTCTCTCCTCAAGCCTCCCTCACCACGACACACCCGCCCCCACCTCCCATGGCTCTCTAAGCTTCTTGCCTTTGCACCTGCAGCTTCCTTGGCCCGGCGCACTCTCCCCCTCCCCACCTGACTGACTCTTAGTCATCCTTGAAGGCTCAGCTCAGGTATCACCTCCTCCAGAACCCTTTGCTGACTTCCCCAACACACAGTCCCCTCCTTATCTCAGTACGCTCTACTTGACAGTTTCCTTGTCAGTCTCTCCTGGGAGACTACTCCCGCCCCGGGCGTGCACCCAGCCCCTCACACTAGAGGACCTTAATGACGCCTGGTGGACGCCTGTACGAATGAATCAATCACACAGCCGGCGAGCCTGAGCAGGAGGCCTGAGCGTGCCGGGAGTTGAAGAACTCCCATTCATTCTTTCATTCATCTCGGAGCCCCCCATCCGCCACATTCACAGGCGCCAAGGCGCGTTGGGGCCACGGGCGCTGCCTGACCAGGGGGTGGAGAACGGGAAGGGGCGGAGCTCGCGAGGTTTCTCCGGAACCCCGAGGCAGAGCAGGGTTGCCTTTGGGGCCCAAAGGGCACGCAGGGTGCCTGCGTCCGGCGATCCCACCACTCCTCCCCGCCCTTAGGTTCTCTGCAAATAATCTAAGTCCCTAGCAGGCCAAGTCCTGGCGCTACCGGGTCCTGAGTCCCGCACCAGCTGGGCCGAGCTGATCCTCCGCCCCAGCGACTCCCGAGCCGGCGACCCCGGTCTCTCTCATGGTAGCTCCAATCCTGGCTTGGCGCCTGGTCGCGTGCCCTTTCCCCCTTCCTGCCCTCCAGCGGAGGCCTTGGGGTCGCGCGGCAGGTGCCCGCTCCGCGCCCCGCGTACCCACCGGCTCGGGTTTTCGGGTGCGCGGGCGGGAGCCAGGTTGGGTGGCGTGGTCGGCTCTGGAGTTCCGCAGCGCGGGTACGCTCTCCCCGCCCAGGGTCCGCCCGGGGCCGGGCTGCTGCCTGTCGTCATCCCGGGCAGGGCTTAGGCCCCGGCGCGCGCGCGAGCGCGCGCACCCTCCAATCCCGCCCCTCCCCGACAGGCCATGGCCCCGGCCCTAGTCCATGGAGACTTGATGCTGCGCGCTCCGCAACCAGCTCCCTGTGTAGGGCCCATCAGAGTCATTCACACACACACACACTCACTCACGCACCCTCCTCCCTCCGAAGACCGGCCCCACAGGCTGCTGTACTGGGTGGGTGGGTAGCCTGTTGCTGTTCTTCCTCATCCTAGGGCCAGTTTGCATCCCCAGAGCAAACCCGACCCTCCCCTGCGTGTAGGCCAGGTCAGCTCTTCCCCATTTGTTTCCCTTCACCCTCCTTCCCGTTCATTTACTGCTCTGAGCCCGCCAGGCCCAGTTCTTTCGGCCAGAGGTGGAAAGTAAGGCATTACCTGAGCCTGTTACTATGCTCCTGGAGCTTTATATTCCTAGTCCTTTGACCTCAGAGCAGCCTGTCCCCTAGGTGTTATGCTCAGTTCAGAGGCCAGCCAACCGAGGATCAGGCAGCTGGAGGATTCAAATCAGAGCTTTGAAAAACCTTGCTCCTAGGTATGTAAACCCTTATCCCTTCTGTCCATTTACACCCCCTTTCCAGTCTGTCCTTGTCCCACCAAGGATCAGAACCCATCCCTTTGGCTCACCTCTTTCCCTAGGGGTTTGCTTGAGAGGGGGCTGCTGGGCCCTGGGGAGACACTGCCACCCTTCCTCCCAGCCCAGAGCATTCCAGCTTACAAGCTTGCAGGGCCTGTGGGGATGAACCACGCGGATGATCTCCCCGGTGGGTATCAGCTCTACTTGCAACGCCATTCTGCCTGTGGATAGCCAGCGTGCTGAGCAGAAGCCTGCCTGCCTGTCCACTGGCTCTGGCTGCTCCTGGAGCCAGGAATCTGGTCTCACGCTGGGATGGCCACTTGGTTCAGCTTCAACTCCAGCCCCAGGGGATGTGTCTGGTCCAGCTCCTCAGGACACAGCTGGAACAGCCCAGGTCTGATTGGGAGGCCTCTTGGCCCAGCGGGTTAGGGCAGGAAGAGGAGGGGCTGAGGGATGGAGGAAATGCCTGTTTTCCCAGGTAACCAGAGGAGCTGATACAAGCCATCAGAAAGGGACCCTGGACTGCAAGTTAAAGAGTGGGAGGCTTTTCCCTCCAGCAGCTCCATGGCCGGGCCTCTCCTGTGGCCCACTCAGTGGTGTCGGTGGTCAGGTACAGTGCCCACTCCCGACTAGAGCTCCTGTGCTGCCGCAAGCCAAGAGAATCCAGCAGTGGGCACTACGCCTCCTGCACGTCCCCCAGCTTGCCTGCCGCCCACACCAGCAGGTGAGCCCCTTGGGTTTAAGAGACCAGGGCTGCTGGGGGCTGGACATGCTGGGTACAGGGGTTGTTCGGAGAGTTAGGAGGGCACTGTGAGGAGGCCTCTATCCCACCCTTCTCTAGAGCCTCAAGTGTTTGGGGGGCTAGTCCCTGGGTTCCTTGGCAGTGGGCAGCATTAGCCCTGTTCACTCTACTTTTCCATGGCACCCTCAGGTGCCCCCCACCCTGAATGTTCCTGTTTTTTTAACTTCATTGTTGCTAAATCACAGCTGACACTTTCCTGGCCTGGGACTGAGGCCTTAGGTCTCCAGCAATTCCTTATAGGAAGTGAGAAGGGGGAAGTGGATGTGGAGAAAGCGACCTTTCCAGAGGGAGAGGATGGCATGGGAGGGGTGGAGTCCACTGGGCCTGCGCTGGCCTTGACTGCCCAGGGCAGGCACCTTACCCCCAGGCACCCTTCCCTTCTCTCCCACAGCTTCGGCCCCCGCCCAGGAAAGGCCAGCAAAGCTTCCTTCCTTCCTCCGGGAAGCACATCTATCCAGGGCAGGCTCATCCCCGGTGGCCACACAATGGCCCTTATCAGCCACGGAGCCAGGCGCAGAGACCCTGCGCACACACCAAGCCTCACTTATTTCCTGTTTCCACCCAGCGGGTCAGGGCTGGCCCAGAGCGGCCATATCCTGATGGGGGCCAAGAAGAGAGCGAGCACTACCCCTTCCCTTTCCCGCCTCTCACTCGCTTCTGGACTCACCCCACCCTGGTGAGAAGGGCCCTACAACCAGAGGCATGGTAGGAGTGTGTGAAGACCTAAGCGGGAAGGGGAGGGGGGCACATGGAGGACAAGCACCCCACAAGCAGGAGAAATGGGGTATGGGACCTCTGGAGTCAGGAGCCCAAAGATCTAGCCCCAGGGCTACATTAATCAGAATGAGGCAGGTATAGCATTGTTTCGTGGTTTTTGCAATTGTTTTCTCACAATACTCTTGTGAATAGGCACAGCAGTTGTTATTCTACAGACCAACTGAGACTCCTATGTGGGTAGAGATGGAACTGATTCAAACCCAGGTCTTGACCTCGTTCCTGTTTCTGGTCCTGCCTGACACCATAGCTGCCTGCGTAACTTCAGGGGATCATGCCACCTCTCTGAGCTTCGGTTTCCTGTCTGCCAGGTGAAGGGTGCTATGCGGCAGCGCCCATGATGGGTGTGCGAGAAGAGGCGGGCAACTCCAAGGGTTCAGGATTCCTCAGGTGCACATGTGTTGGGGCAGGAACAGAAGTTACTCTGGGGACCTTGGGGTTGGGGGTCTTGCGGGTGAGGCAGAGAGAAAAGCTGGTGACATTTCTGGATAGCTTAACTCAGGACCAAGGCTGAGAGTAAGGCGTGAGGGAGCAGCTGGTGAGAAAGGGACAAGCCGGCGCGAGCAAAGGAAAACACCTTTTCTGAGTTGTCAGTTCCAAGAAACGCATTCTACTGAGCAGCAGAGTTAACTGAGTGCCCAAGGGCATAGGTGGCATACTCCAAATGGGCCAGGGACCCAGAAGGCCACAGTCCCAGAATTTCATTCCATTCCCATCTGTGCAACATCGGCCACCCTCACAGAAAGTCTAGTCTGGATCTACAGGGTCCTTGTCCTGGAGGCTAGCAAGGGCTCATCCCCATGTGTCCCTGCCCACCACTATCATGAAGGAGCCACACACAAGTATGAAAGCCTTGCTTCTAATTATCCTCCAATGCAGAAAACAATGAACACAGCTTTGGTCGGCCAGACCCAGGAGGACAGTCTGTAATAGGACACATGGCTCCCAGGGTGGAGTCTGGAATGTAGGGCCACTGGAGGATCCATCAGTTTCAGGTAGCAGGATAGGCATGGCAGTCACGGAGCAGGCTCCCTGAGGGTCTTCTCGGAGAAGTGCCATTGAGTCACCAGTGGCTGGAGGCAAGTAGTGGGAGGGCCAGGCCATGACCACATAGCACCTGGAGAATGTTCTCTGTAGACTCCGAGGACCAGATGCTCCACAACAGCTTGATCCTGGCTTTCCTTTTTGCCTGCCCCTGCTTCTAGGTCCCAGAGCAGTCCACAGAGAAGGCAGGTTTCTGGCAAGTGACTGCAGGCAAGGGTAGGAGCAGATGAGCTCGATTAGGCACAGACTGCCCTGGAAACGCCTGCAGCCATAGCTCCTCTACCTCCTGCCACCTCTTCACAAGAGAGCAGGTTAGGAGCATGGAGCCAGACCCACCAGCAGAAGCAAACCTGGGTCCAATCTCTGTTCAGGTCCTAGAACTTCCTGGGTCAGACTCCGTGGGGGCAGGGAGGGCTGTGCTGGCACAAAGACATTCACCAACCTGGCCACAGCCTCTACTTAAGAGCCTGGCTGGAGAGGCCCCTCCATCCTGCCCACTTGGTCATACCAAGCTTCTGCTGAAAACAGGGATCCCAGACCCTCTGCCCATTCCTGAGGGGACAGGCAGTAAGATGCCAAGACTCCTGGGACCCAGTGTTGCTTGTGGCAACCAGTCTGTAGAGCCTGTACAAATGTGAGCATCTCTCCATCCCAGGCAGCTGGAGGCTAAGGATGGCGTGCCAAGAATGCAGGCCTGTGCCAGATAGGGCATGTGCCTGGCAGGCCTGCTTGGGCGGGACTGGGAAGTATGTGTTTGGGGAAAATCAAGAAATGAGATGCTGGCTGGAGGGTCCTTCCTACATCCGGTGGAGTGTCCCCAGGTCTTCTCTGTTAACAAACTAGTTCGTTCCACATACATCTCAGCAACAAAACCCTGTATTTAAGTGGCCGATTCCAGAGACCTGGACTGGAGAGAGCAAAGGAGTGTGGCTAGAGCTCCCCCTGGGCGATGGAGGATACCTGCTGCCTCCTCAGGCGGCTGCGCTGGGCCCCCAGTGCTTCTGGCAGCGGTATACAGAGCTGGCTGCCAGCTCTGGCCTCCACCCTGGATCTAGTTTCATCCTGGCTCAGATCTGTGGTTGAGCTTCACCCAGTGGGTCCTCTTCCAAGAAGGAACGAGGCTGGATCTGCAGGGATGAAACAGCAGTGAGTAGCCAGGGAAGAGCAGGTTTTCCTCCACGCCTTTCCTTCACTCCCATTCCTCAACTGATGCAGCTCCATGGGACGGGTTGACTCCTAGTCTGGAGGCCATGGGGAACTGACGAAGGCCTCCAGTCCTCCGCAGTACTCTTCCCTTCCCCACCAGCTTACCTTGAAAGGCTTGCTCATCCCCACCACAGAATGCTGACTGTTGCTATAGTAACAGAGGAGAAACTGATCCTCAGTCTCAGGAATATCACTGATGTTAATGTATACCTGGACAGGGGGGTGGGGGTGGACAGACACAGACAGGAATGGGCTCAGCTCCACAGCCCTGGGCTCCTCCCAGCTCTCTGCCACAAGTTTTCCAGCCCTCTATTCCTTCCAGAAGACAGAGGAGTGCTCAGGCAAGCCCCCCTGCTGGAGATGTGGGATACCTCCCTTAGGCAGGGGAGCAGGTACCTGGTACAGCCCACTGTTGGAGGAGACTTGGTTGTCCCCCACCCAGACATAGGACAGGTAGTCATTGATGTGGCGCAGCCCCACCTATGGAAGAGGGGATTGGGTGGTCAGTCATCTTGGAGGACACAGGACTTCAGCAAGTCCGAAGGAGAGGATGGTCTCATTCCTAGGGCTGGCTGTTACACTGTATGCCTCCTGCCCTTTACTGTCAGCCCCTAGGTAGGCAAGGACCATGGGGTGGATACGGGCCAGCTCTTCAGTCTGTGCCTAGCTCCTGTGAACCCTCAGGACCAATAAACCAGAGGGTGTGGCTGACAGGTTCCCTGCCTCACCCGCCACATCACCTTGTACAGTCCAATCCAGTCCCAGGGGCTGCTCAGGAAGTCTGCGGACAAGGAGTAGCTGATCAACATGTCGTCCTCCATGGTCCACAGGCCCTCGGGTAACAGGGTGATCAGGGGGGCAGATACCAATGGTTTCAGCTACACACAGGGGTGGGAAGGGGATTAAAATAGCATCTTTCCCTTCTCTGAGATCAATGTCCTTCCTATGCTCTTATACCATGTCCGGGTTGTGGAGTAGGATGGGCACACAGCCTGGTGGGCATGGCATTCCACTAGGCTGCCCTGATAAAGTATCAGACCTGGGCTAGACAGCCGGACAGAGAAAGGGCCAAAGGCTTGTTGGAGGTGGCCGGCCTTGCCAGGGAAGATGGGGCTGAGGGCTGGTGAGTAACCATGCAGAGAGCCCAGTCCTGACAGGTGAGAGCAGGGAATCACTGACAGGTTTAAGAAAGGAGCCAAGCAACTGCTCTCAAGCCTCCAAAGTTCTTGACCCAAAGGCCCAAATCCAGTTTTGCAGGACGTGAGGGATGGGGGTGTCTGGTGAGAACAGCTACAGGCATATGGAGGGACACCAGGGTATAAAGACAAACCAGTAAAAGAAGCAAAGGTGGGGGGCGTCCAGCAGGTCCAAGGGCCACACTGCTTTGGTCATTAGATGGAGATACAATGATAGAGGGAGCTCACTTTGTAATCTCATCCACATAGGTTTAGGACAAGTAAGTCGGTCCTACTTCACATAGTATGTAATAAGTATAATGGAGTTCCGCCCCAAGGGACAGGACCAGGAGAAAATGGAAACCTAGTCACAAAGGGTTTTTGACAGACAGAGCCATCAACAGCTATTAAGGGCTGGGATACCTGACCCAGGAGGAAAGACAATCAAGTCCTCTGAGGGTTCTCCCTGGAGCTTTGCTGACACTGGGGCTGAAGGGTTGGGGATGATGGCTCAGCATGGCTGCTTCTCTGCCAGCCCAGGAGTTTACCTCCAAGTCAAATGTGCCGGTGACAGGCTTATGATCACTGATGCTGTACACCATGTAGCTGACGTAGCTTCTCAGAGACAGGGAGAAGTAGGCCTGCTGACTGGGGACATGGGGGCTGGCCTGGGGCTGCCGCTTCAACCTCCACAGGATCCGGTCAGTCCAGGCAGGCTTGCGTTTTTTCTCACTGAGGGGTGAGGAAGAATGGGGAGAGAAGAAATGGTTGGCAGGAGAGCAAGTGGGTGCCCCCACAAGCCTGCTGGAACCCCTGCACCAGGGTCTGTCGGCAGCCATGAGCCCCTGGGCAAACTGGAGCACAGCACAGCGGCCGGCAGGAGGGTGTCCAACAGAACCAAAAGTAGGCTGGCCTTCCTCAGACACTCAGTGGGGGATGCCAGTCTAATCTATCTTTCTATGAATCAAATTGTGATTCCAGAACATTCCATTTCAAAGCTTTTCTTGTTTTTTGAACAAAGACAGCAAGAGATCAAAGAAAAAAGGTTGGGATTTTGGAGTTCAGACAGACCTGGGCTTGAATTTGGCTTCTCCCTTCCTAAAGGTGCAACCTTAAGAAAGGAAGGGGAAGCATTTAGGGAATGTTCACCACACACCTGCTGTTAACACCATTTATTTTGCTTTTTACAGGTGAAGAAATGAGTCTTAGAGGGGAAGTAATTTTCCCAAAGTCACACAGCTACTGACTGGTGGAGCCAGGATTCAAGACCAGGTGGCAAGGACCACACAGGTGTTCTTCATCACCAGGCCACCCTCTCTTAGGCCTCACTTTCCCCATCTGTAAGATGGAGACAATGGTAGTCACCTGTAGTCACCTTAGAGGGTTGCTGAGATAATTAAATGAGATAAAACACAAACGTTTAGCACAGTGCTTGGTACAAACTAAGCTCTCTACAGACACTGGCTACTAGGATTCTTTGTTCTCCAGAGCCAAGTGAGACTGCCCGCCTGTTCTTCACTTACCAGCTTCCCTGAGGAGCATGAGAGGCCCTATAGCCCCTGGAGACAGGACTGCTTTCCTCCCCTACATGACCCAAGAGAGTCCTAGTCTCTGACTCCTAACCCAGCCCTGCCCTAGCAGCATCTAGGCACACTCTAAGACCCGCTGGGCATTTAGAGCCCCAGTCCTGAAATGGCTTAGGGGGAGGAGTTGCTACTTCTGGGTTCCTCCCTTCTGGTTTTGAGTCAGTGCAGAGTAGTAAAGCCTGATGGTATGGTTCCTGATTTTAAACCTTCAAGGAGTCTTCATTGCCTCCAGAGTAAAGCTCAAACCCCCAAGCATTCTCAGGAGGCTGATGCCCTTGGCTTACCTTATCTCCCACCGCTGCCCCCAGTCCCAGCCACCCTGCCAGCTCTCTCAAGCTTCTGGACTTTTACTCTGGAAGTTTTTGCAGCCTGGAATACAGTTCTCAGGGAGAGGCCCAATGCAATGTTGTCTTTGTCATAAAGCCATCCCTGACCTCCCCTTTCTGCTTCCAACACATTTTAAACCAGTATCTCTACATTAAACAGGCACACCTCAGAGGTATGATGGATTTGGTTCCAAAACCACTGCGATAAAGTCAGCAACCAGTATCGCAACAGAGAAAGCTGAGCGAAGTTTTTGGCCTCCCTGTGCATATAAAATTTACATCGATGCTATAGTATAGTCTATTAAGTGTGCAACAGCATCATGTCTAACAAAAAAATGCACATACCTTAATTTAAAAATACTTTGTTGCTAAAATATGCTAACCATCACCTGAAATTACAGTGAGTTTTATCACTGATCACAGACCACAACAAATATACTAATGAAGAAGTTTGAAATACTGTGAGAATTACCAAAATGAAATACAAAGACACAAAGTGAGCAATTGTTGGAGAAATGGTGACAACAGAATTGCAGGGTTGCCACAATCTTCAAATTGGTTAACAAAACAAAACAGAACGCGGTACCTGCGAAGCACAACAAAGCGAGGTATGCCTGTCCTGTACCTCTGTTTCCCAGTCAGTGTGGACCTGGAAGGCAAGGGCTGGCTCTGGGAGTCTCCTGTGTATCCGACTCAGCATTAGTACAGAGCCTGGCACACAGCAGGTGCCGAACAACTGCTTGTGAAATACCAACTAGAAAACCCCGTGTTCAACCTCTCTCCTCAAAAATGTCCATTTAATAATGTATACAGTTTCATATGCTTCTAATCAGTTTGAAATGCTACTTTTGTCTTCCAAGTCTTTAAAGCATTTCCAACACACTGCTGTCACTTCAACAGCAATATAGTTTTCTAGTAATAAAGGCAAATTGGCATTTATCTGTGTTGAACTCTGACTGTAGATGCAGAGACTATTTTGGGGAAGGTTCTGTCCTGTTAAAGAGCTCTGTGGTTCTGGGATGGTGGACACATGGAGATTTGGGGAGAGTGGTGTGTGCAGCTCACGGAAGCTCCGTGCCCTCTCCACATACCTTGTCTTATGTATCTCTTCCATCTGCCTGTTTCTGAGTTATATCCTCAGTTTCTAAGACAAGGTGTTAACAGTACTTACTTCAGAGAGTCAGAGTGAGGACTGCATAAATTAAGGCGTGTCAAAGGAGTGGTCAAGAAGTAGTAACTGGCTACACCACACATCTGCTTGGGGTTCCTTTTGACCTTTCACCCTTTTGAGGGTTGTCCACAGGACATCAGAATGTGGCACTTCCACTCAAGAGACTACAGACACTGAATCTCAGAATCTGGGAAGGTCAGTGCCTAGCAATATTTAAAACTTGGTAATGACCCACATGAATATATTCCTCTCCCTTTCAAAGCATTCCCTCTCTCCAGCTTCCCTCTTATGGTTCAGAGCCCATTCTTGCTGCATGTCAGGATCCTCCCCAAGTTCCAACCATAGCCTGGCTCTCCTCCTTCCTCAGCACCTCTCAGCCTGTCTCCCTCTCCTCCTCTCCCACAGCATGGCCTAGGCTGATCACTGGGCCCCTGTACTGTTCATTCTGCAACAAGATTTACTGAGCCCTTATTACATGCCAGGCAACTGGGGATCTGATAAACAGGATTGACAAGGTCCTTGAGGAGCTTGTATGACCAAGAGAAGAAACAAAATCAATGTGTACGAATTACATATTACACATATTCCCCTAGTTCTCCATTTCTAAAAGTAATACCAGCTAAAAACAGAGTCCTTCAATGCATTAGGCACTGTGAGAGATATCTCACAGATTGGTCCAATCCTTCCAACATCAGAAGAAATTTTCCAGGTCACATTTTTTTCCTTCTACAAGATGCTCAAGTCTAGAGAGGTCACTCTGTCCAGGTGGAAGCCAGATGCTTGCCCAGATCTGCTATGAGGTCCGTGCTCCTTCCACTGCACTCCACTGTCCCCTCCAGCTTTCCCTGCTGTGGCAGACTCCCAACAGCTGAACTGTCTTAAAGGGTACGACCCCAGAATGGGGCCTCACTAATGTTTTTTGGCTCAATGGTGTGACTGAGTGCAAGAATTGTTTCTGGAAATTAGTGTGTCTTTACTTTTGAAAAATTAAAACCAAGTAGCTCTGAAAACTGAGCCAATTTACTGACCCAAAGTACTGATGTGTTCCATTTCTGGGTCGGAAAACACTTCTCTGTTTGGCTCCCTATAGATGGCTTCTACATGTTTCATTGAACTCTGGACATGAAATCTTGACTAAATTGATCAAAACATCCTCTGCTCATTGTCTAGCGGGGAGGCTGACTGCGTTCATGTTGACTGTAACAAAACCCTATTACAATCCCTGACTTCAACAGGATTTCCCGCTCTCAGCCCTTTCACCCTCCCCTGTAATGGAGCTGACCTCGTTTCTCATTACATCTTGGCTCAGGGACACTGCTGCGGTTGGGCAAAGCTGTGCACCACGCCGTGCACATGGCTCGCTCACCGCCACTCTGTACAGCTGGGTCAGGCTCCACTCCAGGGGCCTCTCATCAGGGCTGCTGACCGACTGGAATGCCTGCCCTTCTTTCTGCCAGACTCTGCTGCCTCCTTGACAACTCTGATTGACTCCTCCTGGCTTCAGCTGCCATCCTCCATGCCACTTACTTCAACCTCCTTCGGAACTTCCACAGAGTTCTGGAATCTTCTGTCGGCCAACTCCTGGACTTGTTTGGATCTCTTGGCATGGCAGGTCCCTCTACTAGACTGTCTACTCCTTAAATATCAAGCTTTTTCTTTTGTCCTGTCAGGCTCCCAATTCAAACTTATACCAGGCACTATGCTAAATACCAGGGATAGTCATAGATCCAGTCTCTACTTCAGGCACTCACAGTCCAGCAAGAATGCTACACTAAGTCTTAAAAGCAATACTAAAAGCATGGGGTGTGCAAGGCTTGCAGACAGCATAAGGGCAAGAGAGAACTCTCAATGAGATGAGGAGGGATCAAGGAAGGCTTTCTAAGTAGAGATGATGTCTGAATGGATTTCTAAGGATAAACGACAATCTGACTAGACAGGAATGTTTTGTTCTCTACGTGGGGCTCAGGCCCTGCCCACCATGGGAAACCCCAGCTGCCTCTGGCCCTAGCCAGGAGTATTTCGATTATGATGTTCCCCACTTCTTCCCTCCCTGCCACAATTCCTGTGCAGACATTCCTTAATTTCTTGGGTTCTAGGCAAGGTGAAGTGCACGGGTGTGCAGTCACACAGACTCTAGTCAATTCTTGCCCAATAACTTACTTGTTACAACCTTACTTAGATATCCCAAAACTCTGTTTCCTTATTTGAAGAAAGTCAGTAATAGTGCCTGGATTTGGTACAAATTAAGTGAAGTAATGCAGGCAAAGCCCTTTGCACAATGCCTGGCACATGGTATATGCTCAATGGTGCCAATCACAATTCAGATTTCATCTATTCTGTGGAAGTAAGTATCTGTCTCCTCCATAGCAACCCTTTGCTGTCCCAATCTTGCCCTCTGCCTTTTTGCTGCTGCTGGGAGGACAGGTATTGGGGCTAGACAAAAGCATCGTGGGCCACAGAGCCCAGAGAACGAGATCTGAGCCCTAGTTCCACAGTAACTAGGCTGAGCCATGTGGGAAAGTCCTTTAACATTTCTGAGCGTCTCTACCCAATCTCAGTCCCTGCCAGCTCCAGCCCAGGCCCAGCTGTTTGCAATGACTTCCAGTGCCCTGGTGGTTTCCCTGCCATACCTGGGGGTAGGGCAAAGGGCCACTTGGCCATATGGTCTGTCAATAGCTCTCTTCCTGCTGGCAAGTGAAATTTTGAAGTCAATTGGTAGAGGGTCCCAGTCTGTCCTACAGAGATCTGAAAACTCCCATGATGACTGTCATTTCCAATAGCTGGCTGGCAGACTGGCCCTGGGCCACTGAAGCCTGCCCTCTTACCTCCTTTCTGGACTGCTCTGTTGCCTGGGCTGGACCCTGTTTCCAGGGTTCATGGCCTCTTTTTGTGTGCACTGCCCTGGCTGTGACCCCACTCCATCTTGCTCCACACTCCTGAAATGGCTCATGCTCTCCCCTTCCTTGGTGGGGACTCGGTAGTTCTGCCATACCTCTACCTTCTGCCCTAGCATGGCTGTGGAGATCCCCACTTCCCCCAAAAACCCAGAGGCCCGGGCTGCCCTGGAGTTACCTCCTACCTTCCTCCTAAGACAGTCCTGCTGGAAGGAACAAATGAAGAAGCTGGACCAGAAGCCCCCTAACATGTAAGGGGTTCTCCTTTTTCCTCAATGAGATGAGGGTCCTTGCCTGAAACCAGGCCAGCGACCTCATGCCACAGCCACATTTGCCCCTGGCCTGGGAGGTTACTTGTCCTTTCTCAGGTTCTTAGCAAGGTTTTCAGTAAATCTACCACCAGAGGACATGAGTTTAAAAATGACAGGGGCAGTGGGGTGCCAGCCACTGGGCTACACCTATGTATCTCATTCTACCCTCAACTGGTGAGGCAAACACTGTTATCACCTCAATTTTATAGATGACAGAATGGAGGCTTAGGTACCTTGTCCAAAGCCAAGTAGCTGTGCCGGATGCTCTGTGTCTACACTGCGGCCCATAAACCTTTCCCATGATGACTACTACTATCTTCCTAAATGGTACCCGACTCCCTCACAGCTGGGGTGGGCTACTTAAAACCAGTGACTGGCTGAGCCAAGCTTTCTGCCTCCGGTCTGGGGGGTTGAAGCTGGGGTTTCCAGGATGCTGAAGAATCAGTGTCCACCCCAACTGCCATCCCTGCCAGCACGGACTCCCCTCTGCTCTCTCTGGGGACAGTGTGGGACAGTTCCCACAGTACCTCATGAAGGAGGCAGGAGGCACCACTCCTGAAAGGTGTGGTCTCTATTTCTGTTTCTCAAACACTTCTATTCTGAGGCAGCTCCCACTGCCACTAGGGCCACACAATCTGATCCCCAGGCCTTCTGGCCCCCGTTTCCTCCTCACTGGCTAATCTGGGACCCACGGTGGGCTGACCTTGGTGCCCCTCACCTGGTGTCATAGTCGTTGGAGTTCTTGTCGAACTTGTAGGTGGGTGGGAAGAGCAGGGGCCCCTCGTGGAACTCCCGGAGCAATGCATCATGTCTCTTGGCAATGCTGAGCTGTTGAGAAAGGCAGAGTCCCATCTCCCAGAAGTCCCGGCCCAGTGGCCCAGCACCACACCCCATTCGAGGGATCAGCACATGCCACTGTGGTGGGGCAAGAGTCGAGTGACACCACTTCACCTCCCCAGAGGCAGCCTCAGCACCTCACCACCACCCTGAGGAAAACAGCTGAGTTCTTTTGCAAACATTACCCCACAGTCCCAGGGGAGGCAGCTGCCTGCCATTTCCCAGTCCTTGGATTACAGGGACCAGGCTTTGAATTCCATCTTTCTTAGAGCCACTAGCAAATAGGTATTAGAGGGGAGGTTGGGAGAGACAGGATCCCTCAATGGGGTGGTAGCTCATCCTCCAGGAAACAAGCAAACCTGGGGATGAGGAAGATGACAGGGATACAAGAGGGTTGGTGCCTGGTGCAGACCCGTGGCTGGCTGAAGCCCTTCTTGCTCCCTGTTCTAAGGCACACCCAGCAGCTCCCCAGCTCCCCAGGTGAAGAGGAGGCCCTAACAGACTGTCACCCCACCCACAGTGTGAAGCCCTATCAGGCTCCTCCCTGCCTGGGAACAGGGACTCTGGAAGCCTGGGAAAGAGCAGCATTCTCCACACTTCATGTCATGGGCTCAGATCACCCCAGGGACCCTCCCCTCACTTGATACCTGATCCTTCTCCCATAGGTCACTGTAGCACCGATTTTTTATGGATTCCCGAACAAAATGCAACCCAAAGTCCTCGATCCGAAAATTCATGTCTCCAAACCAGAGAATGAGGCTTCAGAAAGAAAGGGAGGCAGCCTGAGGGTTTGTGATGAGGTCAGAGGAGGGAGGGGCAACAGGTGGCTCAGCCCGCTCCCTCCAGGGGATGCTGAAGAGCAAAAAGCAGGAAGGAGCAAGCAAGAAGCCAGATGCTGGGAGAGGATCAGGCGACAACAAAGGCATGGGCCCAGTGGAACTGTTCTCATGGCCCCATCACTTAAGCCAAAGAAACCAGACCTCAGGGGCAAGTGGCAAATATGGAGCAGGCTCTAGCCCTCCTTCCCTCTCCCTCAACCTGCCATCAGGTAAGGCTGAGAACCAGCTCTCTGGGTGAACTTAGTAACCACGGGGTTCTGGATGTTCAGAGGTATCCAGGGTTTCTAGGCAGAACAGAAGAGCCAGGGAAAGGGAAGGACCCAGACCCCAGGCAGGCAAAGCTGGATAGGAGAGCAGATGAGGCATCAAGGAAGAGGCTGGGCGAGGCTGTGAAACAGCACAAACCGCCTCTGGCTACGGAGCGGTGACCAGGCAGAGTAAGCTAGCCAGAGCCGGCAGGGGGGAGAGGGCAGGGCAGCAGTTTGCAACTGCCCACTCACTCATGGTCTAGGATGTTGGGAATATCATGTCCCTCAAAATTCTGCATCTCCAGGATCCGGTCAAAGTGTTCCAGCCGCTGGTCATTGTTGGCAATGTGGGGGGGCAGGTGGCAGTTGATGACGCTGACATAGTAACCATAAAGCTTCAGGCAGATGCTGACGCCCCCTTTGTTGCCCTGGGAGGACAGGTGGGCAGAAGTGTGGGACACACCTCTTTTTTCCCATCCTAGGACTGAGGGAAGATGGTCTCACTTCCCATAGGATCTCCCAGGGTCAGATGTCTCACCAGAGGGACCCCTCCACCCACAGGGTGCAGCTCACCCAGCCTGCAGTCTCAGGGATGCTAAGGACCCCACTGAGGTGGGAGAGCGGGTATGCAGGGCACTGGCCTGGACAGAGTGTTAATATTCTTTTTGCCCCCGTTTCCAACTGCCTAGCTCTAAAGCCCCCAGCCCCTTCAAGCCCAGTGATAGTTGGCCTCCCAGCTCATGACTCTTCCTTACCCAGTAACCGAAGAGGCCAGTGGGGGTGGATTTAGTAGTGAGGATTTGGACAAAGGGCAAATGCTGATGCTTGGCAAAGACCAGTACAAGAAGCCCCTGCATGCGGACACTGGAGACCTAGAGGACAGAGAGGGCAATGGTCATTCATTTCCCTGCACAGGCTGGGTGTGTACCTGCCAAGCCATGTGCTTGGGGCTCTACAGAGCCCTCAGCCACACAAATGCCTTGCCCCAGGGTCTCAGAGTTTTGGTGCCCTTAGCTGCCAAATGATGCATTCTGGGAGCTAAGCAAATTTCAGTTTCTGTTCTTGGGCTTTAGGGGGGAAGAGAGAAGACAAGGCTGCCCAGGCACCCTGCCATCATGAAGGAACTGACTCCTCAGCTCCAGCCCCATATATGCCTAGGCCCTCCTGACATCTTATGGGTACTCTAGGCTGCCACCTGCATGGGACAGGGCCTCCAAGAGGAATGCCACTATACAGGACAGGACAGGGGCTGAGGGCACTGGATTCCAAGTTAGCCAGATCTACGTTCAAATCCCAATTCAGGCTCTTAGTATTTGATGTTGGGCAAGTTTCTCAGCCTGTTTTCTCACTGATAAAGCAAAAATCTGTATCAGAGATGCTAAAGGATTAACTGACAGCTATTATTTTTTGGCTTGAGGATTCTTAAAGGTAAATTCATAGGAACACAAGAGAGCCTTCTAGGGTGCTAGAAATATTCTCTATCTTCATTTGACTGATGATTAATATGGCTGCATATGTATAAAAATGCATCAAACTGTACACTTGATTTCTACATTATAGTGCAGTAAAAAAAAAATGCCCCCCAAAATAATTTCAGACCGTGGGCAGCTGGATGACCACGAAGGCAGCACAGAGGGATGTGTTCACAAACTGGGGAGAATAGCTGCCACCTACTGAAGGGCTTCATATTACATTTCAACTTCACACAGACCCCAGTGCCATGAGGAACGACTGTCTGTTTTGCAGATGAAGGACAGGGACAAGGAGACTGAGGAATCAGTGGGACTACCTGGACAACAGCATCAAAGGACCAGGACTCCCTAAATCCCTGCTCTCTGAGGCCATGTAGAGGGCTGGGAACGGGCTGTAGCCAGTGACCCTCTCTCTCAGCTCCAGGTTGTCAACACCCACTATCCGAGTAGCTGTTTCCGGAGCGTGAGGTACAGAGGCCAAGGAGGAAATCCCCGGGTGGGGAGCGTGTGCGGGGGCCTTCCAGGAATTATGAAACTTGATCTCACAGGCCAGGAGCTCTGGCACATTGGAGGCGTCAAAGCTGGGGGAACCCCAACCCAGGACTGTGCAAGGGAGGCATGAGAACCTGTGGTTGGGCAGAGGTTACTACAGGTGTGGGCTTAACTCCACCCTCCACCCGCAGGTCTGGTCTCTCGCATTCACAAGCAGATTTAATAATGCAAAGGGAGAATTTCAAGCTTAATCCTAACACAGAGCAGATCTGAGCCACTTTGTGGGGAACAGGGAGAGGTGAGGGGTGGTGGGAGGATGGGGTGGGGGTGGGGCAGGAAAGCCTTAGACTGGGAGAAAGGGTGGGGCTATGGGGAAAGGCTGGAGGCTTGTAGCGGAAGCTGTGCTGGAGGAAATGAAGTAGGAGGAGCTAAGGAAGGGCCCAAGGGAGGTAGCTAGGAGCCCTGGAGGCGACAAAGGGGGTCAGTCCCCCTGCTTCTTAAGCTATTGCTAGCAAACTTCTGCCAAAGGAACAGGCTGCAAGCAGGGCTCTGAGGGAAGGAGGGTCATCTGCTCTGGGTGCCAGACCCTTAGGCTGGCCTCTTGGTCACATGGGTAGCATGGGTTGTGTCCCTGCCACAAGCTGAGCTCATTTCCTTGGCTCTATTCCACTCTACCAATCCCTTGCCAGTTAGCTGAGGTGCAAGGAGGGAAGGAAGTCTTGGGAAGGGAGTGGGTGGTAACAGAGAAGTGGTTCTGCCCTCTGAGATGATCTGCAGGAAGAGGCCTGAGTTAGATCTGGAGGGAGCCAAGGGCTGGGAGGCTGGCCTTTTCTAACCTCATCAGCAGGACCAAATCTTGTATTTCCTCCTCCCAGCTTGGTCCTGCTTTGGAGGCTCACAGCTCCTGCCTCAGCACCCTAAGCAAACTAGGATAACAGAATTAATTCTGAAGAAATCCAGTCACTCAGGGAAGGGAGCAGAGGGATTCTGGTATTTTCAAGGAGCACAGAACTAAGAGATTTGAATGGGAGTGTGTTTCATTCCCCAGATATGCAGGGATGAAAGGGGATGATCCGGCAATCTAGAAGCTTCCTGTGGATTCTTCTATGGTCTAAAGATTCCTCAAAAAATCCTGGCCCTTCAGAATGAGAACTGTTTTCCCCCATTACTCATCTCCTCTCTCCTAACCTCTGGGTCCCTGAGAATTTGAGGTGGATGTGCCCTTTGATCAGAGTACACCCTCTGATACCAGTAAGCTAGCTGTCAGCCTTAGAGCTCACCAGCATAACAATAAAGTATAGTAGTTAAGAACATGGTTATGAAATTCAAAAGATTTGGATTCAAATACCAGATAGCCTGTGTGACTTCTGAGTCTTCGTTTTAGTTGTAAGATACCCATATTTCAAGAGAGTAGTTAAGACTTTAATGTGTGTAGAGTTTATTTATGCCTAATATCTAGTAAGCACTGGATAAATGGTAGCAGTTATTAGATGCAGACTTCAGGCTGGGCATGTGAGCAGAGACTAGAGGCTGGGGGCAAGGTAGGCACTGAGGTGTTACTAAGCCCTGCTGCACCTCCCTGAGGAATTCTCCCAACCTGAAAAATATCAAGTGTTAAACTAATCCCTGGAGTCCTGGCTTAGCCCCAGCTACCTGGGAAAGACACAAGGTAGGCAGGAGTTCTGGGGAGCCAGGTGCAACTGAGGTTTAGGCCTTCAAACAAATAGGACAGAGCATGAAAGCCTGAGTGGGAGACCAAAGGACTGGGGGTTATGACACATTTCCCAAGAGGTGAGACACATTTCCCAAATGCCCATGAACTTGTAAGTTACCTTGACAAAGCTCAGAGAGGAAAGCACATCCATGAAGAAACTGCTCCACGGGTCTTCAAAGGCAGTGTCAGAAAGGAGGCTCATGATTCCACAGTTCATTTCCTGCAAACTGCCCATCCAAGGTCAGAGGCTCTCCCCATGGCCTGGAGGGCACTGCCTGTTACAGACATTTAGTACTGCCCTCAGCAGACTTTCAAGACTTGGATTCTCATAACCATGCTCTCTCCCTCCCCTGGCTGTTAATCACCAACGCCTTACCGCTGCTGACCTGGGACAAGAGACAATGACTGGCCCTGATGCAGACTGAAAGCTCCTAGCCTTCAGACTCCAGGGCAAAGGAGGACAGATTACCACAGTTCCCCACAGGGACAGCTTGGGATTGATCATGCTTACCTGATCTCAAGATACAGGGACGGTTGAAGGGGGCTGGTAAGATACCTACCCAATAACATACATGTCCATATTCAGGTTCTGGTTGTTCAGCTGAAGCAGATCACTGAGGTCTAAAGGGGGTGCTGCAGAGGCTATGTTCCATGTCACAACATGTATGCTGTGGAAGATATGCAAAGGGAAGTCATGAAGAAGGAGGATAAGACCTTGTCTGGGTAATGGACAGGGGCCTAGGCCTGCTACTGGTGCACCACAGCCCACGGCAATCACAATGGGGTTGTGCGAGTTTCTGCATCCGGTGGTGGGGACAGGGGCCCTGAACTACAAGCCCTGTGTCTTCACCTCTGTTCCCTGAAGCAGGAAATTCCCACCCTGGATTGGCTTTGCCAGGCAGGCCCACAGCTGCCCATACCTGGCAGCACTGGTGCTGCTCACACTAGGAAAGCTGCCAAAGGGCCCAAAGGTTTTGGGGGCAGGCAAGAGAAGGTTTGGGAAAGGGGAGGATAGTTAGGAATTAATCCCACCAGCCATTCACAGCTCAGCAATCATCTACTGCTCAGTCGGCAACTTCCCTCCCTCAACTCCTCAACCTTAGGTTCCTAAGACCAGAAAGATTCCGGAGGTTCAGTTTTCACCCTGTGAGAGGCCTCAGCACTAGAAGACAGAGGGATTTAAAAAATAACAGAGAGAACACCACCACATTCCCTTCCTCACTCCTTCCCACCAGATCCCTGGAGCATATCTAATTCACCAAGCATTTCAAGGAGCCCAAGGAAAAGACTCTAAGTGACAGGTTCTTGGCATCTCTCAAAAGAGTCTGCCCTCCCTGGGGAAAAGTCATCAGTTGACTAACATCCTCCATCTGAGTTTCTTATAAGCCCTAGAGAAGCAACGGAACTAGATCAGCAGCTCTCAGTAACACTGGATCCTGTCAGAAGCTTGGGGAAGGAGACACTTGCAGATCTCCTTCAACTGAGTAGTTGCAGCGGCACTCCAAGGTGACCCCAGACTGTGCTGAGTATGGAGCAGTCAGGGGCTACAAACCCTGCTGAAACCCAGGACAGCCACCTAACCTGTTGAGTTCTAGGTACATCATGCCGAGGAGGGCCTGCAGCAGTGGAACATCTAGAACGGGAAGAGGTATGGGGAGTGGGAGAGGTGGGAGAAAAGGGCAGGATGTCTCACAACACCTCTTCTCCACTCGACACTGTTCTTGGAAGTCCATGTTCTAAAAAGCACAACTTGAAGAAATTCTTAGCCGGCTTAAAGCAACTTCTGCTCCCTATGAATATCAACAAAACAATACAAACCACCTTCCAGGCACTGAGCCAGAGGTTCTGTGCTTCGTTTGTTTACGATCTCCCTCTGCTGTCCAACAGGATTAAGGAAGGCCGCCCTCTTATTCAAGGTTCCCTGTTTTCCCAGGGACCTGCTCCAATTGGATGGAGAGCAAAAGTCGGCATTTCTTGCTCCCACTCTCAGGTCCAACTACTAAGCAGCAAATCCTTGCATCGTGACCTGCACTAAGTTGGTGATTAGCGTTGTTCCTTGTTAAAGTGCAAGGGACCTATACCACTTCACTGAAAGATCTTATTTAAATCTGCTTTAGGGTTTCAGGCGGCAACAAGGGGATCAGGCAGAACCCATGATGTATATGCTGATCAAAAATAAGAACAATATTTCTACTGTAGAGCTGAGAGGAGAATGCTTTGCTAGGTCTTTAATTTCAAGCAGCCCAACACTACTGCTTCCTTCGGAATCCAACTGGAACACTTGCTTGGGGCCCCCAGGAGGAAATGAGCTCGGCCGCCTGGGTCTGGACGGGGCGCAGAGCTTCGGCCCAACACAGCCTGTTCGACACTGACCTGGGAGAATTTGGGAGGGCCTCTGAATTAGAAGCAGCACTCGAGGCCTGATCACTTCTCTCCCCGTCTGGTTCTGCCTCTGATCCGCAGCCCCGATTGGGTCGGCGGCCGAGAACCCGCTCGCAGAAGTCCAGCCCGCCCGCAGCCGCCTTCCTCACCTGAGCTTCCTGCCACTCGGTTCGGTCGGCTTCCGCGGGCTCAGGGCCGCCATCGTCTGCGCGCCCCTGCCGGTCCTGTTCCAACCGTCCTCCCTGCGGCAGCAAGTCCCCACCCGCTCGCTCTCGCCCAATTGTTTTTCTTCCGGATTCTGATCCGTTGCCGCGGCTCCCGTAAGAGGCGGGGCTTGACCGCACGCAGACCTCCGGGTGGTGGAGCCCCGGGGAAGAGGCGGGATTCTCCAAGCCGCGCCAAACGGTGAAAGGCGGAGAGCGAAGGAACTTAGGGGATTGGGGCGTGGGAGAGGCGCGTCTGGGTGTGATCAGAACCCGACGCATCATTGCTCCGCCCGGCGTGCGGGGGCGCAGCTCCCAAGGTGCCACGCGCGGGGCCGGCCCGGAGCCGCCGTCTTCCGCTGGGGGCGGCCGGCGAGCCCCCGCGAGCATCCCGGGCCGCACCCCTTTCCCCTAGTACCGAATCTGAAGTCTCTGACCTTTGCGCTGTCTCCTTTCCCCTGCCTAACGCCGCGGCTCAAAGGGCGCAGGGGCCGGGAGAGAGCAACCAGCCACTGTCCTGCCTGCAGCGTCTGCTCCTTGCCCTTAACTACAGGTAATCTCTTCCATGTTGGTCATTGAGCTCCATTCTGAGTTCTCCATTCCCGTTTTCAAGTATTTTTCGCTTTTCAAACTCATTAGGTTACCTATTACACACACATTGGATGTTTGGGGGTTCCTGGACTTTTTAGAAAACTAACCGTCAAGGAATGAAGTCACTGCCTCTATTTTATAGCCAAACACGAAAGGGTGACTATGATTTTCTTCAGGTCACTGGTTCTCAGTCTTACTTATTTTGAGCGTGGGAGGACGGTGCTTTGAGGATCTGATGCGAGCATGACTCCCCAGCAACGTGTACCCAGTTTTACAAACAAGCTTCATGAGGTTCACAGGTTAAGAACTCCCACTCTAAATGTTTGCTTGGTAGGATGGGAAAAAGAGGGAGATGTGGCAAGGAAGAGAGAAAAAGCAAAAGGAACTACTGCCAGTAGAAAATGGCCAAATTACTTTATAATATGTGATGTTTGCATAAGGAAATGACAAGGGGATGACTTAATATACAGAAATCTACCTGTGAAAAATTCTGGAGATATCTTTTACTTTTTCCCAATCCTCCCTGGTAAGTTGGGGGACATCAGCAAGAGTTTGAGGATATCTAAACTGTAAAGTGGACATACGGACATCATCAATAAGCTGGACTCCAGAAAGCTCTGTCTAGTATTTTATTTGATTGCTTTTTTTTCCCAATATACCTGTTTGGAAGATTGAGACAAAAAGGCACAAACTCACATTAAATAAACAAGGTAATCTAATCAGTTCTACAAAGTGTATGTGTAAAAGAAGTAGCACTAGGAACCAACCAAAATAAGTCAAGGAGTCCCAGTAGAGACTGTCACAGAACTTGGGAAGATAAACACATGCCCACAATACTGACCCTGTCCCTGACCTCTCCAGAGAAGGCCAGAGCCCAGCAGCCTCCCTACAGAGGCACCGCTGCTTCCAGCTGGGACTGGGATCCTGGAAACAGCTGGTGTGAAGGGCATGGCACATCCTCAGGGACTACCCATGAGGCTGAGCCTTTCATCATAAGCCCCTCAGAGTGCTAGTCAGTTCTGGGGTGGGTGAAGAGGGAAGGGGGTACTTAAAAGAAGCCACCACCGTTGCCCAGCAGCAACACTATCCGTGGGGATGGAATAAACCAGGGACAGTTCTCCTTAGGTTTATGTGGGCTGGAGTCCCAGATCCAGCTGACCTCAGGAAATTCTAGCTCAGCTCATGTGGATGCTTTCAAACTGGGCAGCAGATGGAGGTGGGAGGAGCCAGAGAAAAGGCAGATAAAGATGAGCCCCCACTACAGCTGGAGTGATATGCTTGGATCGCAGAAAAGATCTGAAGGAAGGAGACTGATTTAATCTGCTGACTCTCAAACCACATAAACTGCCTGCTTTGAATATGTTTGCTTCTCCCAGGATAACCCACATCTGGACTTAACTTAGTTAATGAGTGAAAAAGGGAAAGCTTTAAGCACAAATATAATTATAGCTAATACAGAGTGTATAGGAAAACATTTACATTCTTTCTCCAGTAGGAATATCCCTTCAACTTTCCCAATCAAATAAATGCTACCAACAGTTGGGATACTAATAACCAACTGAACTGCCTCAGATCCATTAACCTAGACCCCACAAGGTAAGGAGACAAAAGAAAAGTGTAATAGGCCCCCTCCTGGTCCCAAGGAGGCCTCCATAAAGGTGAGAGCTAACCATGCTGAGGGGTCTGAGTCTGTCTACCCTTGCCCCAGGAGGGCCCCAGGGAAGCATCCATCAGGATGTCACAGGTAACACTCCTGTGAGACACTCCCTTATTGCACTTTGAAATGAGTAAGGCAAAATAAACCAACAAAAACAAGAATAAATCTTCCCATCCTTCTCTCACTCCCCTAGCAGAGAGTTCGGTCTCTCAGCAGCAGCTGCACCCCGGCCAGCATGGACTTGGATCACTGCACATTCTGCCAACAGGCTTCTCAAGGTTTGGGAAATGCCAGGTGACACCGCTGCTATCTCATCTTCTCCCAAGGCATAATCAGTTTCTACCAGGTCACGGAGAACTGAAGCCTTCGGCAGCTTCTGTGCCCCTGGAGCCTGGACTTCCTCAACTGCTTCCTTTGGTAGACTTGGTACTGTGATCACTACTTGCTTTTGATTGTCCAGGACAGAACTCAGCAGGGGGCAGGACGAGCTGAGTTCTCCAGCCCCAAATTCCTTTCCAGCAACTGGAGACAAGAGGGAACATGTTCTGGTGGGGAAAAAGCTTTTTGCATGCTCATTTTGTGCAGCATGAAAAGATCAGGACTCTTGTGTCCTGACCAGCCTCAAAGACAGAGGACAGGAATCTATGAAAGCACAGAGAAAAGAGGATTATTGCTGTGTGGCAGCACCAGCCCAAAAGGGAAGAGGAGCGAGGACATATAGAGCTCATCAGGAGGCAGACTAATTAGTATATGTGGGGCAGACTCAATTCTATGGGCCACACTGGACAGGTCCCTCCAGGTGGAGTGTTGATTCGGGTATATTAAGGGCTCTACAGAAGTTCAGACAGGGTGGGCAACAGAAGAGTTGAGAAGCCGTAGGTGTTCCTAAGACTAGTGACCAGAGATGCAATGCCTGAGGCAAGGGTTATATGTATTAGTTAAATTTTCAAAACAGAGACTGGCTGGCCTTGGGTACTTCCTTGGTGTCTAGAGCACTCTAACAGTGGGTTACCAGGAGCAGAGGCCAGAGTTAGGAAGCCACAATGCTATTCCTGTGGAACTGGTGAAAAAAACTATTTCTAACTCATTCCCTCTCCCCACGTGAGCACTCAAAGTTGCAAATATCTGCCCAGGTAGCAAAATGCCTCTGTTTATCCCAAGGATGAAAACAAACCAACTTAAATCATTTAAATCACCACATCACAAAAGGCAGCTATTTTGAAAGACTAAAAATGTCACTTGGAAATAAAATGGGGGGGCACAGAGAAATGAGTTGAGAACACAATGGTTGGAGAGGGAGGAGCTGTAAACACAGCAACCTACACGCCACACATCTCAGAGGAGCAGATTCCTGCACACGCAGGCTTCATAATACCAGACGGTCTATTTGTTCACAATATTAAAGGACAACTAGAATTAGCTACAGTAAGGGGTCAAAAGTTGCCTGAAGAATGGGCACAGAAAGGCTGAGTCCGAAGATGGCCTGTCACTCAGGAGGGTGGAGCTGCTGGGCTTTCCTGTTGACCACTGTCTTGCAAAACTAGAGAAGAAATACAATTATTAAGGAAGCAGCAGAGGAAAACAGAAACACTATAAATCATCATTGATGGGGGAATTTCAAAAGGAAGAAGGATGCAGTAGGGGTTGAGGGAGTAACGAGGTCCAAGCAATGACTGAGAAGCTGGCACTGCACTAATGCGCTCAGTCCTACCACCTCTCTCAGGAAGTTCTCCAGCGTCTGGGCAAGGAGAGGGAGCGCAGGGTTTCATTACTGCTGGTCAGACCCCAGGCCCCCTGAGCTCAGTAGTGCCAGAGAACAGCCAAGTGATAAAATAATTTTCTCTCACAGCCTGAAGGGGAACAGGACCAGATTTTTCATTCCATGACCAAGCCCACTCTGAGAGAGTGGAATACCAGTAAAGTGTGCAGGAAGAGGTTTAGGAAGTGCGACAACATGAAACAAGGGACATCCCACCCTGGTCCCATGACCCAGGGCAGAAATCCTCTCCAAGCATCTGAAAGATGCTGCCTCTGATGAGGACAGCTACTTAGTGTGGGATCAGGGGCTATAAAGAGGAAGGAAGTGAAGCACCAGACCCAACAGTGAGCTAGGAGCAGCTGTCTGGCCAGCAGATTTTCCAAGGGAGGCGCAAGGAATGCTAGCACTTGGGAACTAGTAACCAGCTCTGTCATGGGGGCTAGACGGAGTACCCCAGAATGCCAGCTTCAACTTGACATGGCTCAAGGTACGAGATGCAGAATATTACTTGCAGATAAGTTTCCGCTGTGCATCCGCAACCCCCAACCCTACTTCTCACCACCCTGTCCATTTCTCTGGGTGGTTCTTTATAAAATCACATGTCCTGGAAATGTCCTAACAGGCATAACCTCTTTAAAGGGAAGCCTGAGAGCTGTTTAGCATTGCAGCCATCATTGGTACTAGAGGACAGGGCAAGGAATGAAGCAGGTTTTTGGCTTCCATTGAGAGCTGAAGCCTCGAGGACCCAAACTGATTTAGCATCTGTGTGAGAAATTTGGTACATACAGTGCAGAAGGGGCGTGGTGGTGGCTCTAGTCATCCGCTGTCATTCCTTTCACTGGGTCCTTCTGTCTCATCTGGAAGAGAAAAAAAACAGGAAATTGAAGGCTTTTGCTGCTGACATAATTTAATATGTTAGTAAAAGAAATTCTGCCTTCTCAATTCTGCCAATGGATAGAGTGGGGCATTTTTTGTGTACAAAGCACATCAGAAAAAATAAATTCTGCACACACAGAGCCAAGGCCATACCACAGACAGTCCCATTTCACTGGTCCCACCACCCATGATTTCCATTTCTCTCCCTGCACCCTAGTGTTGGCGTATAGTTCCTAAGCTCTTCTTTTATTCATTCACTCAACAAACATTCATAAAGCATCTTTTTTGTGCTAAGAACTGCTCCAGGGCTGAGGATTCAGCAGGAACCAAAACAGACCAAGTCTCTCCTCGAGGGGCTACATATTAATGGGGCAAAATGGGGGAGAACAAACTAACTGATACATGTCAGGTGGGGCTGAGGGCGGCTGGCATGGAGTGACAGTGGGGAAGCGCCACTGTATCAGCAGGCTACGGAAGGCCTTTCTGGTAAGTGTTGTCTGAGTAGAGTCCTGTGGCTCCTGGGGTGGGGAGGAAGCATTCCAGGCAGAGGGAATAGTAGTTCCCTCTCCTGAGCTTGCTTAGAGGCTTGGCCCACTCAGTCACCAGGGCACAATGTGGCACCAGAGTTCTGCACAAGAATGCAGGAGGATAGATCTCAACTTAACAGTAGGGTGAGGCTGTTGGAAAACAGGAATCCCTGAGTGGTCCCTGTCACTGGCACCTAAGTGAACACAACTTCTTTCTAGGGATACCATGGATGGAAGCTCTCACCAATCCTTTCCAACTTAAAAATTCTGTTCTATTTGCAGAGTGTTTGTAACATATGGGTATTTTAACTTCCCATTAAGTGCTTCTTTACTATCCATGAGGTTTCTGCTCGACTCTCATTCTTTATTTCTTCAACACATCTTGAACACATAAGGAGCATGACCTCTGGAATCAAAATACCTGTATTGTATTCTGGCTCCATGGCTAACTGTGGCCTTGAGCAAGTTACTTCACTGCTCTCTAAGCCTCAATTTCTGTAATAATAAAATAGAGATAATAATAGTACATAAGTCAGGACGTTGTGTTGAAGATTGAATAAAGATACTCTTGTAGAGTACTTAGCATGCCTGAGTGCTTGGCATGGGGTAAGCACTGAGTACGTTATCTGGGTTTCTTTTTTTTCCAAATGGCATCCTGAAGCAAGGGGATGTGTGTGTACACAAGCTCCACGAAACCCAGACTTTTAAGCTACAGCTCTCCATAGTTGTTTTATTCAGTAAAACATTAATACTGCCACACTGTGCAGAAGTTTTACCTCAGTAGCAATAGTTCTCTACTGGGGAACACTTTTCAAAATATATTTCCTGCCACATTTCAAACCCCTGTTATTCACCCCCACCCCAACTATTACGATCAGTAAGTCCATGTGGAACCTGGACATGGTAAAAAAAAAAAAGGCTGGTCCTCTGCAGAGGTTCCAGTATTCACTCCCTTTTGATAACTAGTACCCTATTATACCAAATGTCTTAGCTTGGTCTTTTAGGCCAGAGTTTCCTCAAATGTGACCAAAAGAATTCCCCAGGACACTTGTAGATTCTTGAGTCCCAGACCTGATGAATCAGACCTACAAGAGATGGACTGTAAGTGAGTCATAAAATTCATCAGTCTTGTAAGCCTCAGATCAGATGTTACAACAAAGATCTTATCCAGACAGACAAGTCTATTTTCTGACATTAGTAATACATGCTTATTCTTTTCTCCACCTGGAATGCCTATCCCCTGTGGATTTTCTCTCAAACTCACTTTCATGAATGATATCTTTACATTTGTGTTACTCCTGTAACTTCAGGTATTCATATCAATTATACCTGTTAATATTTGATAGGGGTTCAACAAATTCAAGATTTTCCAACAACAAATGTGTTAGGGAAAAGTTTTGAAAAGAAAAAGTTAATATTGTGTTAGGGGGGAACTGGAAGTGCTTGTGTGAATGTAAGATGTAGACAGATACAGAAATGACTATAGGTGTAGGAGCTCCCTAGCTGCGTCCCATGAGGTGAGAATGAGATGAGAAAGCCTGGGAGCAGCAACACCCCCACAGCAATGAGCTCACCCAGCACCCAGACACCACCCTCCACCACATGGGAGCAGGGCTCCTTGGAGAGCCGGCCCGTGCTAGGCCTGGGTCCTGGAGAGAACAAGAGGCGTCTGGAACACTTGGCTGTGCTTCACGTGAGCAAAGGTAACTTCACCAGTAACTGGACAGAAAGAATACAATGACAAGAACACAGTCTGTGACATTCTGGTCTGAAATACATGAACTGGATCTAAGCCTACAGAAGTAGGGAACAAACACAAATTGAAAGACATTCTACAAAAGTCTATAATCTTCAAAACTGTCAAAGCCATGGAAGTCCAGGAAAACTAAGGACTTGCACCAGATTGAAAGAGACTAGAAGGGTGCAGTGTGTAATCTGGGCTGTAACCTTTGCTGTAAATAGGGCTTTTGGGTAAAGGGGTATGCAAGGGTTCTATGTATTCTTGCCATTTTACAACTCAGATAAAATTTTTTTTTAAAGATAAAAACATGTTTATTAAATGTCTGCTCATTAATGACCATTCACATAAATTTTCAATAATCAGCGAAGCTAAAATTTAGTATCATAGGAGCAAAGCTTGAGCCTCAGCCAGTTCCGTGTATACCGTGAGAGTTCACCACCTTGCTTTAATTTACTAAAGTAAAGCCAGCACCTGTTTCCCTATTGCTTGATGTGCAACTTCCTAGCAGAGAACACGATAGCTTCCCATACTCTGAGAGACAAGGTCACCCCCTAGGGGAGGGTGTCACTGAAATAAGAATGCATTATTTCATTCTTACAATGAAATGCTCTAAGAATGCCTATTTCCTGTTTCCTGGGGCCTACATGACATGAGAGATTTTATCTGATATTTGTAGTGGTCTTGGATCAAGCCATTGTAGGCTATATATATATATACACATTTAGTCGAGGAACATGAAAATAGAAACTCTAATCCTGGTTTGTTTGTTTTTAATAGTAGTTTCCTCTAGGAAAGGGAGGCCAGGGGTTGGAGTAAAGGGACTTTTATTTGTTTATTTTATTTACTTTGACTTCTATTTTCAATATTTTCTATGTCTTTTGAAAATTGCTTTTACTGTTAAGTGTGAAATACTCCTTTGGTTAAAAAAAAAAACTAGTGGAAGTATAAATGTATCAAGCATCAATCAAAAGTATCCTGGTTGTGATTTCCTTGGGCAATATGTTGCCAGAGGGAGAAACAGATTTCCCTGTATTCTTTCTTACAACTGCAAGTGAATCTCAAAAAAATAAAGCTAGTAAAAAAAATCAGTTTAAGGCACTGAAAAGCAACTACCAGTCAATTAGCATTCCTGAAGGAACACAGACATCAGACACATGTGGAATTGTTTGGAGAACCTTTCTAGAAAGCTACTCTTTATAAATAGGTTTGGGAAAGAAATTGGGCAATGAATAACAAGACCCTTAAATTCTCTAATTCCATTTATAGGACTTTATTCTAAGGAAATAATCCTAATCCAAATCCAAATAATCAAAAAAAGTGTATTAAAATTTTCATCACAGCATTATTTCTAACATTGAGAACCTGGAAACAACATGAAAGAAAACCTAACAGAGGGTAATGACAGAGCACAGGGTGATACGTACATTGTAGTCAAAGCATGTATGTGAAGACATGTTTCTAGTAGGAAATGCTTTGTTATAATGTTCAGAGAATAAAGTAAGAGTAGCACCTGCCACATGCAATACAATCATAACTAACGTGTATAGAAAGACTTAAAATGTTTATAGTGCTAGTCTTTAGTAGAGTACAAGTGATTTTTTCCTTTCTATTATTTTCTAAAGAATGTCTAATGCTTATATATTACCTTAATATTGAAAAATGAAACTATATTTAAAACAAAAATTAAGCAATGCCTATATTTCAAGATGTTGGCCAACGTTCTAGGTGTTCGGCCCTGGGGTCAGAGGGAATTAAGACCCCACAGGACAGCATCATCTTCCACAGAGATTCCCTAGATTCGCCCTTTGCACACTCTGTGGGAATCTCAGATTCCAATCTCCTGGGGTCTGGCAGGTGAGCCAGGCACTGAGTGGCTTCTATCAGCCTAACCCTTAGAACCTGTATCCACCACAATACCAAACTGAAAACTTTGGGGTGCAGTGTCCTGCCAGGCATTTCACTGCACAGGGATGCTAATACAGTCTCTGGGTAAGCATTTCAGAATTTAAGACTTAAAATCTAAAACAGATTGATGATCCAACAGTCAAAAAGCCACACGATGGAGCAAGGGACCTCTGCATCAAGATCCACCTGGACCCAGAGATGAGCCCCAGACACAGACACAAGGAGACTCAGAGGCAGCCAAGGGCTGGCAGAGCAAGAGTGTTGTGTACCTCTCAGCTCCCTCAGGAAGCACCTAGTTGAGAAGAGATGGCCTATGGATGGATCAGAGGGATCACAGAGCCAACAGGCACTTAGAGAGGAAGACCCACACAGGAAGGCTGGAAAAGGAAGTGCTGCAGAATCTTAATCATGTGCTGGCACAAAATATCTTTGCTGTTTTTCAGAAAATCTTCTAGAGAGTCCAGTAAATGAGGAAACATTTTTAATTGTCTTAAATTTTAAAATTGAGTTCTCTTCCCAGGCTATTATCAACAAAGCTAATGGCCAAAGGCTCAGGAGGCATTTGAACTAGAAGGTATCCTTAACTTCTCTGAGCCTCAGTTTCTCTATAAAATAAAAATTATACCTACGGCACAGGTTGCCATGAGGGTTTGATGGCATAACACATCTAAAACACCACACATGACAGGCACACAGTAAGACCTCAATAAACGTTAGCTTCTATTAATAATAAAAATGTTTTTATTACCACTATGTTCAAGAGCTAGTGAGTTCCCCATTACAGGAGGTGGTCAAGCACAGGCTGGTGGGGAAGCTGCAGACTGGACTCAAACACTGGACATAAACTGGACTATATGGCGGCACCTTCTTCCACTTCTGAGATTATTAGTCTCTTAGGAGAGCAAGAGCAAGGAGGGAGAACAAAGGAAAGAGGGAGGGAGACAGACAGACAGACAAACTCTGTTCTCCTACAGGCACACATTTCCTGACATTTTTCTTTTTAGGGTAAAGGACTAATCTCTTGACCCCATCTCACAGATCCTTGAGTCTTATCCAGGAATGATGCGTACACTCCCTACAAGGACTAGAGTTACAGCAGTGGTTACTGTGGCCTTACAGTGGCCCCTCATAACTTGCAAAAAACCCACCCACTTAGACTGCTCAGTTCTGGTTTAAGGAGTAAAGGCCACAATTCCTATTGCAAACTTAAGAGTTAATCATGGCATACTGAATACATGCATTTATTGCTATTCCTCCCCCAAACTCTATTATGATGTTAGTAAAAAAATAAAAAAAGATGTAAAACCATGAAAACAAACAAGAACAGGGAAGACGACGGCAGATGAGAGGGTAACAACTTTCTAGAAGATGAAAAAAGGACGATGAGTAGCCACTCCTTCACAGAGCACCAGGAGCTGACACCCAAGTGTCTGTGAGAAGGGGAGTCGAGAAGAAGCAGAGCAGCTGTAGTACGGGTTCCCAGAAGGCTCGGGGCTGGAGGCACCCGGTACCTCTCTGAAAGTGGGAGTGCAAGTGGGGCTGAAAACAGTGAGCTGTTTGGAAGTGTGAATAAAGAACAGTTTGGCCCTGGCGTGTCCTGGTGTCCTCTCCCCCAGTTCCTATAACCACTCACTCTTCTCACAGCAAAGCCAGGGCACTCATTCTTGGGAGGCACTGAGGGGAGCCTGAACCTACTGGGACCTCAAGCTCAGCTAGGGGCCAAGTGGGTATCAAGAAGAATATTAAAGAGTTAAGTTCAAGCCAATCCATGGCATGGGAGTCTCCCAGGACCCTTCTCCAGCTCACGTCCCAGAATGCTGCCTGACCATCCCACCCCAGCAAGAGAGAACAGGGAGTCTTCTCGAGGCAAAGTGACCAACCCAAGAAAGAGACAGGATCCCAAAGCAGGGGTCCCCCAGTGTGACCACCTGACCACCTCACAGTGAAGCTGATCCACTGATTCAAACAGCTTCCAATCAGCTTTTTGAAGCTTCACTCTGAAAGGTAAACAGATGGCCAAGGATCACCAGTCATTGAAGAAAACCCCCAACATGAAACAGTCTAACAGGAAAAAGGAGCTCAGAGGAAACGAAGAATATTCGGGGGGCAGATAAAGCTCGAAATCCAAAAACAAAACAAAAACTACAACTTCAGAAAAGGAAGAGAATGTACACAGAAAAAAATGGAAAAAGGTACTTAGTAAAAAGAAGACAGAATAAGAAATGCTTTAAAAAATGTTTTAAATTCAGTAGAAGAGACAGAAGTTAGTATTGGAAAATATCTCCTAGAAAACAGACAAAAAGGGAAAGAAAACATAAGAAAATTATTGAAGGTCAATGATGTGGTCCAACTTTTGAATAATAAAAATTCTAGAAACAGAGGGGAGAAAATTATGAAATACATAATACAAAAACATTTTCCAGAACTGAAGAGATCTTTAGATCAAAGTGCCTACCAAGGAGGAGCAAAATGACTAATAGACCAGGCATCAACTACATTAGGCACTGCATATCATGCACCAACCAAATGATTCATGTACAAACCCAAATACAAAACTTAATGATACAGACACATAAGACTAAGTTAACAAAAAGAAGGAAGGCAATTACTAACTTCTTAAAAAAAAACACCACCAAGAACAAACAAAAATCAGAGCAGACCAATAGCTTCAGTTGGGGAAAAGAATGCCAAGGTTGTAACAATATAAACACTGAATAATAAATTAACCCGAATTGTGATATTGAAAGATGGAGAGGAGGAGGGTGGGAGGATGGGAAGAGTCTAACAGCTAAATCTCCCGTAAGAAGAAGTCAACAGTTAGTACGTAAAGCTGAGAAAGCAAGAATTAAAAGCATAAGCACATTATTTGGAAATATGGAGGTAATCACAAAAGAAACATCCATGAGAATTGCAAGGGGCTGCTTCTGGGGGATGGGGAGAAGACTGCAGGGGCAGGGCAGAGGGGGACACCTTCTTCATAAGCTTGGGATACTGAGTTGTAAAACTTGTAAAAAACTTTTGGAGGTAATGAATACATTTACAGCATTGACTATGGTGATGGTTTCATGAGTGTATACCTATCTGCAACTCATCAAGATATACACATTAAATATGTGCAATTTTCTGTATGCCACCCATACCTATAAATTGGCTTTGAAAAAAGTTAAAGAAATAAAACTAAAAATAAAACTTGGATAAAAATACTTTTAGAAGGAGAAAAAAAAAGCCACAGGTCTAGTTAGCATACAAAGGTCTGATAGTTTCTTATGGGGTCAAAACATGCCCCACAACGACATGGTCTTGGTTTTGCTTTCTCCTCCACTGTAAGCTATTAAATTCCAATTTCAAAAGGGTTTCCTGAATTTGCCGTTTATCCTGGAGGATGGTGGTTCCAAGCTTTTGGCACAATGATTCTCCACAGAATGGAGAAACATGCAAAGACAAGGGGTAGGGGCTGAGTGAGAACACCGCGGGCTCTCCAACTTTGGATCTCAGGGAGGCAGCTCCAGTAGCGCCTCTGGAGAGTTCTTCCAGCACCAAGAATGTGAATTCTACCCATAGAGTGAAATGAAAGGCTGTCAGCAAACGCTTCCATGAAGCCCAGTGTACCTTAGGCAGGCCTCTGTCAGGCTGAACCCTGAAGTCTCCATGTCCCTCTATTTGGTAACTTACTTTTTGTCAGGACTTGGATGACCAAAAGACTCAGGCCTCTCTTTTATACAGTCAAAACTGCTAAAGCCCTGGACATTAAAAACCTACCACTTCCTAAAGATCCTTAGCAGAAGAATCAGGAATTGTGTCCAAAATTACACCACTTCCCTGCCAAATGTAGCTGAATGACTAACCAGAACATCTGCTTGATCCAACAGGATCTAACTCAGCATACCACTTCACCAGCGAGTCCGCCCGGCGGTGTCATCCTGGAGGGTAAAACCAAGTCCCCACAGGGCTTCAGAGGGAGGAAGAGCTCCTGGGCCCAGTTTCCACCCAAGACCAGCACAGTGAAGCAGGAGCACCCAAGCAGTGTGGAGCACCATGGGCACGTAGGCCTGGGTCTCACCCGAGGTCTGGCAGGAGAGTAGGGCAACGCTGTGCAAATCAATGCCCAGTGGACACCTGGGCTCCACACTCACCCACCCAAGGCAAGGAGGGAGAAATGGATGGCAGTTCTTATGAAACACAACTTCCTGCCTTATTTTTAGCCCTGAGAAGATAGGAGGGCCCCAAATGGCATTTGGAAGGAGAAAAGGCTGAGTGAGTAAGAGCTGTGGCTCCTCCCCTGACCACCACCTGCAGGCTGTGTGACCCTGGGCACAGTGCTGATCTCTCACAACCTCTACCTCCTCATCCAAGCATGGGGAAAACAGTGGTGCTGCCTCACAGGTGTGAGGGTCATGGGGGAGGATGCCTCACGCACAGTGAGGGCTTTAATGGTATTTACTGATGACCTCTTTGGCGTGAGTCTCGTGGGAAGCAGGAGGGGTGTTAGGTCTTCAGGCTCCCAGGGAGCAGACAGCCTGCCTTCTTGGATCCGGCCAAGGCCAAAAAAAAAGCAAAGGCTCTAAATTCTGAAAATAATTCAAGACAACCTCATGGAGAGTTAGTTCTGTATGTGCTATGCTGTCCTCTGGGTAATGTGCATGGTATCCATGGATCAGCCCAGCCTGCTTCCTCCCAGAGTCACCTCAAAGTCTAGAGCCCAGCTTGATCGCCCACCTGTTTCTGAAGGACCATGGCAGCAACTGTATTACTTGGCATTCAGCGCAGACTTCCATGTTTGTCTCTGGATATGCCAAGACCTCAGCAAGAGCACAGACTGTTTTCTTCCTTATAGTCTCCATGTGCAAGTGTAAAGCCTGGCATTACACCTTACCCACAGTATACTCGGTCATGTTCCTAGAACCATAGGCCAGTGCCCTCATGAACTGCCCCAGCACAACAGTTCCTTAATGTAATTATCTAGTAGAGAGCCCCATGGTTTTCTGGGCACCCTCTTACCTCATCCAGCTGTCTCTTTGTCTCTTCTTCCATCCTTCGAATATCATCCATAGTCAGGTCAACCCATTTATCAAGCCAGCAGAACAGCTGCCTGTGGAAGTTTGTAAACAGACGCCTCTCTTGCTATAAAAATAAGGGAACCCAGTTAGAACCCAGAAGGTGAAGGCCAATGCTGCAGCTCCCCGTCAAGAGCTCCACGCCAACACTCATACTTCACGGGGGAGGAAGGGCAGGAGTGATGCCTGGCTGGCTTACCTGGATCAGCCCCAAGTCCCATAGGTCAGTGACTTTTGCCTGCACATAGTTCTAACAGGCATGGCTTCAGGCAGGATGGTGCCTACCTCACATGAAGCTCTGTGCCCCAAGTGCTCCTAGGACAGGCAGCCCACAGGTAACCCAAGCCCCAAACCATCTGTGCCAAGTTTCCTCTGGAGCCTAAAGCCAGCAGCTATGAAAAGTGGCCCAAGAGTGAGGCTGTTAACACATCTGAGAAAGGACTATAGAAACTCCTAAGGTCTTCCCAGCTCAGTAATTTAGGACACTGGAGAATGAGGCTCACAGTGCCTCTTGTTTCTTGGCTTCTAGAAAATAGAGAAACTGAGTAGTTCAATCATAGTAATAACCCCCTTCCTGTTTTCCTTATCTGTCTCAGTTTGCTTCCGTGTCACATATGGTGCCCTTGGATGGGAAACATTAAGCTGTAAGACAGTTAAGAGTTAAGAGCAAGGGGAAGTGGGAGTCTGTGAAATCAAACTGAAATATTCTGAGGCCAGCCACCCTAGGATACAAGTCACATGGACTATAATCATCTCTTGCTGGGAAAAACTCCCCTGACCAGCACACACTGGGAAGGCCTCAGCCTGGTCACTTACCTTGTGTATAAAGTTTTCCACTTTGTTCTGCAGGCCCCACCACTTGAACTTGACAGTAACCAGTTTGTATGCACACATGTATGGGCAGTCTTTCTGATTTACAAGTTCTTGCTGTATTAGAAACACACCCACAGGCAGGCAGGTGACTAAGAGGGCCAACTCTGGCTCTCCCTTAGCCCATCCCAGTTATTCCCCTCCTCCATGGGGAGAGACCCCCTGCACCCGCCCCCTGGTGGTGAGGGTGTGAACTGCACCTTCCAATTGGGGCCCAAGGGTCCTCTGCCTGTTTTGATAGATTTAAATTTTGCTGGGTCTTCCTCTGCCTTGTAATCCTGAAAGATGTAGAATTTGAATTGGAGGAGGGAGGGAGGGAGAGAGGGAGGAAGAGAGATATCATATTTTCCATCAGAGTACATTTCATACCAGTCTTGATGCTGCTGGCACACAGAAAATAAGGGAAAATGTTATAAACAAGATATAGGACCATTTACATTTGACTCAGGAGAGCTCTGTGTGATTTTTTCTGCCAGAGTTTTTTTACCACTATGAAAGGTGTCACTGGACTGTCTGAGCAAGCATGTATTTCCATGTATTTAAGACAGGGATTTTCAGTGTGGAATAAGCATCCAAATTACAGGGAAGGCTTTTTCAAAATACAGATTTCTAGGCCATTCCACCCAAAATCAAACTGAAATATTCTGATGCCAGCCACCCTAGGATACAAGTCACATGGATCCAGTGATTCTAAAACAGCCAGAGTTGAGACCTGACTGTCATTCCTGAAATCTTCTAATCCCAAATTCCTTCTGGCCTGGTTTTTGTTTTTAAAACTGGCTTGTTTTAATAAAATCATTATTGGAAATGTTTGATATATAGAACCTATCCTCTTGTGTACTACTGTCAGTCTCATTTCACCAATTTATAATGCAGTCAATGTCATGTGTTAATTAACTAATAAAAGTTTAATCTTTGGCTATTCCTCTGCATTGACTAATGTGGGCTCAGGAAGAGCAAACTCTTATAGCGTCTATTTAATATAATAAATTACACACATACTTGCATGGTCATAAAGTATTTCCCAAACCTGAGATTATTTGTTATTATGTGATTATTTTCTCACCTCTACTTCTCTCTATTCCTTCCGTAAGCATGAAATAGCAAGAGTTGACAAAATATTCTTTGCTAATATTTCTTGAGAAATATTTGGGTATGCTCAGTTTGAGAAAATCCATCAAGCTGTACACTTATGCTATATTCATTTTACCATATATATTTCAATTTAAAAGTTTTTTGAAAAGTCCACTAACCTTTTGAGGGTGGGAGTGGGGCTATTAAGCAAGGAAGCATAAGATGGTTTTCATATCTTTTTGGAAATGCACAGATCGAAATATCTTAAGCACACATACCCAGGGGATACAGAGAGCTAACATTTATTCTCACCAATGGGCAGAGAGCCAAATTCTTATGCCCTGATCCCAGTATGCCTCTGTCAAATAGGACAAATAGTGAATGAGGGGACTTAACCCTTTCCTTCCCTAAGCAAATACCTCCTGGGAGCACATAGACCAGTTCCCTGCTTTCTCCAAGTTTATGGTCTAGTGGCAGACTGTCCTTTTCTAGGTGTGTGCTACCATATTTGCTATTCTGAGAAGCTACCAACAACCTCCTGAGGGCAAAGGACTTGTCTTTTCATATATTCTACATCTATCACCTGGAACTCACAGAACAGAGTACTCTAAACACAAAAGGCAGGCCATAAATGTTTTTTAATTACTTGGCTGGAAAAATAAATTTCAGAACTAGCTTCAGATTAAGTGTCATTTCAGCAGGGCAAATCAATCTCAGAACTACCAACAGCACCTACTTTGGTCCAGTGATAATTTCTGGAGGCCAAACAGGACACATACACCTGGATCCCTTTTCCTGCAGATAATCCCAAGTCAAGACAAGGGAATTCTTAGTAGCAATTTAAAAACTGAAACAAACCATACCCAAGGAGAACTTCCCTTGAGCCAAGTTGGGCAGGGTTCCATGGTTTCTCGGGCTCTTACAAGTCATTTCTGCATCTCCAAGGCCACCTGCATCTCTAAATAGTTCCTACCTTGCTAAGTACTTGGCTTCGATCTGCAATGTCTATATATATGGCTTCCACATGTTTCCATGCCTCAGGCTCCAGTTTATGCACCTGCAGGAACAAGGAGGACCACTGTGTTGCTTTTGTCAGCTACAAAGCACCCTTTACCCAGAATGGACACCTAGGAACAGCTGTTCCCACAGCTGCAGATGGGAAATTCCTATTGGTAAAGAATACATACATTACCCAACAGGAGGATGGATTTTAACTGGACATACATTTGAGAACTAATGCTCTGATTTTTCAGGCTAAGTGTAATTCAGCAGACCAGAACCCTTAGGGCTACCTACAGCATCTACATTATACCCTAGGTTCCCCCTTTGCAAAGACTAAACACTAGTGGAGATGTTGCCTGCTTAGCCATTATACTGCTTATTATGATGCTTTAAAAAAATTAATTCAAACAGGCTGTATGTGTACATGATACGAAATTATGACAGAAACTCAAAATGAAAAAAACATTATGATAGAGCAACTCTTTCTCTTGCTTATTTCCCAGTCCCCTCTCAGGTACCACCGCTACCAGATTCTATGCACATACAAGCACCCATGTGCAGAGATTCTTCTGTCAATACAAATGACAGCATGTATACACAATGTTTTGCATCTTGCTTTTTTCATTGAACAATGTATCTTGACAACTGTTCCCTATTGGTTCTTTTAATGGCTGCAGAACATACCACTATATGGTTACAGTACAATTTATTTAAGGTGTCCTACTCATGGGCCCTTAACATTGTTTTTAGTTTTTGGCTACATAGGGAATGCTGCAATTAACCTCCTTGTATGTAAATATTTCACCCATGTAAAAAAAAACAACTGTATGACAAATTTCTAGGTGTGGAACTGCTGGGGCAGATGACAGCTATATTTTAAATTTGAGTTGTTTTTGGCAAATTGTGCTTTACAGAGGTTGTATTTTGATGTTTAAAAATATAGCTCCTGTGGGCCAAGAGTTGCATTGTAGACCAATCCCACCACTTTGAGAAGGCCTTTTAAGAAGTCTGAGGGATCGTACTTTGCAAATTAGAGAAACAGCAATCGCATGCTGGTAGGAAAGATCTAGGCACAGGCTGTTGCCTTCCTGGCCAGGAAAAAGGAGACTACAGAGAAGACCCCATGGCAGGGATGGAAAAACTATGGGGCAGAGCCTCAACACCTTGCCCCAGGGCCTGCGAGCCCTTGGGGCTCTTGGGAAGTGCTACTTACATTCTCCTGGGTGCCAAGATCTGGTTTGTGCCAGGTTTCAATTTTAATCAGAAAGTCCTCTTTCATGTACTCATTCTGGAAGGGGGAAAAATACCTTACAGTCACCAGGCTCAAAGTTGGAGAGCAACCACCTCCCGTTACTGGTCATGGGCAGTGGAGAGACTCCAGCCTCTGCCTTTTAGTAACAGTCAACTTTCCTGGGAGTCCATAATACACTGGGAGCTAATATATTAGCTCATTCACTCTTCACTACAGTCTGCAGTCTGAAGTAATAGCACCCTCATTTTGCAGATGAGAAGTGAAGTTCAAAGGGGTACAGTGTCCTGTTCAAGTCCCCAGAGATAATGACAGAGTTGAGCCTCAAAAATAGGTTTGTCTAACTTCAAAATCCATGTATTTAACCATTCTGCCATACTACCTTATGCACAGAAAGACCTCCTCACCAACCAAAAATGCTCACCACCTCCCCATTCTCCCCAGCCAGCTTCTTGCTAAAGCCTGAAGTTCTATTCTCAGCAATTTAACCCTTCATGCTAATTACCGTCTTACCTCCTTAATGCTTTTAAAAACCTGGAAATACTCAAAGGAGGGACACATTAACCCATTAGTTCCTCAGCAGGAGTTAGGTTCCCAGAGCCTACATTTCCCAGCAGGGACAAGGCAGCTGGATGAGGGTGCTCTAGGGAGGAGAGGGTGGGCAATGATACAGGCAATGATCATGGAAAAGAAACCTTGCTGACTTCACCATTTTGCCAAGGGTCAGTGTCCACTGCGGTCAAGAGATGCCCAAGTAGGGAAGCCACAATCAGGCCAGCTGAACTAAAGTTTCTGAACAACCCTGAGAAGGAATGGCCTGGAGAATGTGGACAGCCTCAATCCACTCTGTATGTTAGGACGTGAGACCCAGAGCTAGGACGCCACATCCTAACTGCTACCCCTTACAAAGCCATGTGCCAATGCAGCTTAAAGCAAAAGGCCCCCTTTCCTCATTAACCAGTTTCTCATTAGGAGTGAAAGGATTATGCCTCAACAGCTCAAAGTCATCCAAGAGAAAGAGAGGAATACCCAGAAACTGCCTGTGCAGTAACACTTTTCTTATTAATCATCTGTAGCTCCAACCCCCCTGAAAATACTTACTGTAATAACTGCTCCAAGGCAAGGACATGAAAAGAAGAGAGAAAAAGATTAATGAGGGTGAATAAATATTTGCCCTCTCATCCCTGGAGACCATGGTGGCCAAGAGGTCTCCACTCCCTGGGGCTCGCTCACAGCCACCCTCCACACCCCAGGGAGTGTACTAGGTACCTCAGATGCACCAACCCCCAGGGTTCACTCAAACACAAGTCCCAAAAAACCAAATTTGGAATTTAATTAAAGTGATGCCACTATCAGCTCCTTGGGATTCTTTCCAGCTGGGCAAGGAAAGGGGACTGGCTCTGAAGAGCTGCAGTCCTGGGACTCATGGCTCTGCCGTCAGCAGGTCCCTGGCGGGCTCTGCTCCCTTCCTGGGACACAGAGCAGGGTGCGTTACACCGGGCTTCTGCATCCTTCCTCTCACTGTAACCAAACCTCTCACCCTCTACACCACTGCTCATTGTAATGAGATGCCCTTAAAAAGCACAGTTCAATTATTTATCAGAGAAAATGACTGCAGCTCTAATGTCACTGGAGAACGGACTAACCCTCCTCCTGACAACAGCCCAGATCATTCTGTACCCTCTGAATCTAGGAGTTACCTCAATTTCTAAAAGCTTTGGACAGTTTACAGAGCTAACAGCCAAACTCCATAACTCCAAAACTGCAAATAAGTGAGACTGAGATGAGGAAAAGCTGAAATGTAAGTATAAGATCCACCTTGTATAGAAACAAGGTGAGAGACAGACTATCAGTAATTTCCCCAAAGCCAATGAAAGAAACTTGGAAGAAAGCACCAGATAAAAGATTATAACTAAAAGGTCTACTAAACTGTCCTCTTGTCAGCATGAAGAAAATCATGTTCATGAAAATGAAGGGTATAAAATCCATCAAGCTGAAGTCCAAAGAGGCCAGCTTGGCTGAAATTCTCCCGCCCTGCTCTGGAGCAGGAGCCTAGAGAGCAGATGGCGGTGTCAGGCTGGCCTGGGTGGTGATGCTGGCCATTACAGTTCTCCAACACACCACCTGATTTTGAGTCCATGTTCTTCAGGCAACCTTCTAATCTGGCTTCAGTAGGGACAGAATGTGCTAATCAACAGACACAGGAGTCTGATCACTTGAGCAAGTAGACATTTTTCACTGCATGTTGGCATTCTTTCTTCTTTTACGCATTCTGACTATACTTTGGTTTCCCATGTAGAAGAGTCCACAGGAACATCTCACTATGCTGTCAGACAGTAACTACACTAGAAAAGGTGAGAATTTAATAATATGGGTAACTGTTGAGCCACCGTGCTGTATTTTGAAACCAACATAAGACTGTATAACAACGATACTTTAATTTAAAAAAATAGTGCACAATGAAAGAATGTCCTAGTCAGCAAACGGGGGTATCTGGTTTCACTAGTAATTTTGTATTTCAATATAATTTAATATATTGGCATTTGGAGTGCTTATACATTATTCTTTCAGAGACCTGAGAAGCAGACCACACAGCTCTACAACTCAAGCGACCAAACCACCTCCCCCTCGTCTTCTCTAGCCCTCCCCATCTCTCCAAACACCTCTGAATTCAGAGCATTCACTTTTCTTCAAACTGCAATTTTAGATACACTGGAAAATTCTCAGGAAACCATTTGCAGCTGGAAATATGACTCTTCAAATAGAATAAATAAGGTACTTTACAACCATGGCTTAGTGAGACTATATTTAGCCCAGGGTTATGTTAGAGGGAGCAGGAGGAAGAAAAAAACATTTATTTCCTCTTCCTACTTTCATTTACAGACAGGTTCCATGGCGCCCCCTCCTCATGTCCCAACCTATTAGCATCAGGGGGAAAGCAACAGACAGAAATAAGGTGAGAGGGCAGAAAGAGCTGATAGTGAGTACAGTATTCCATCCATTTTCATTCCATGCAGAATAAGGTGACAGCCTTCCAAAAGGCAGGCAGAATTTCACTCCATGCACTTTCACCCACCTCATCTCACCCTCTAATCTACTTAGGCCAAGCTAAGAGGTTTGAACTAATAATCTTTCTTCCACCAATCCCCAGAAGGAACAGGAAAGTAGCCTTCCCTGTCTATATCTCTTATTTTAAAGGAGCAATGTCTACCTGAGCAGATCTAAGATTCAACATATTCATTTGGTGTGACAGTGGGTTCTGATGTGAGGTCATCAGCCACTGAAGAAGCCAGCCTTCCATCTCCCACTCCATGCCTCTCCTCTTTATGGATTACTTAGAAATTACATTTTTCTTCTTTTTTTCCCCTTTGGCCAAGGATCAAGACAATACATGAATGAACATATGGCATCTAGAAAAATGCCCACATCAGCTGTAGCACACTCTCCCCCAAGTTACACAAGGACAGAGGCACCTCTCAGTAAGCCTGAGCTGTCTACTCAGAATCCTGCCCCAGGCATGGAAGAGTCCACGTGATCCTTTTGCTCCTTTATGCCAAGGTGGTTAAGGTTCTTATGATGCATGCTTAATGCAGTTCTCTTATACATGAAGAAAACTCACCTTTGGCCCTAGACCAGACACACCCAGACACAGTATACACTGCCTTTTAAGAAAGTGAGGGCATGACTCTCCCCAAAATTTAACAACTTCCTGCCCAATGCTTAAGAAGTAGTGATGTTTGCATTTTCAGCTACAGCAATAAAATGACACACCCCAGGTCCCATCAATGACTGTGCATCTCCTGATACTTCTTGACCCCATCCATGTAAGGCCATTGAAGATCGGGGAGAACAATGACGCTGTGCTCCAGACTTTAGTCATTCCCAAAGTCCACAGGATAAGGACCACATAGGTGGAGTATCCTCATTAGATACAATCTAGGCAGGGCCAGGTCCCAACAGATAAGGCAAGTGTAACAATAGATGTAAGCAGGGGCCGGCAGGAGGACCCCACAGTCGCTCTGTATCAACAAATGTAGGTTGTTGTGGGGAAAGTCTTCAACTCAGTCAAATTCCAGGGGGCCTTTTAGGAATACTCCTAGTCTATGGACCAGTACTGGGTTCAGCTCCCCCAAGAGGTCTACTCTTAAATGGCCCCCAAGACCTAGGAATTTCAGAAAGCTGTATCTGAACTACTCAAAGGGAATCAGAATGTCAAGAACAGGAAGTTCCCTGTGAAGGTTCAAATCTTTCCTTCCAGATAGGGGACTAGCCAAGATTAAGAAAATAATTCCATCCCTACTCCTACTTTAGAAGGTTTAGTATAAACCACCAGTTCGGGACTCTTAGTAGTGACATCCCTCTTTCTTAAACCCCCTCCCCACCAATCTTGCAGGCATACTCTGTGTGTTATGTAACATATTTAGGGGATAGCAGTTTCTAAATCTTTTGTCATAAAAAATTTGGCTTATTTCAACTTTCCCCCAACATCAGGGTCTCCTTTGTTATTTTCTTGGTGTCTAGGCCTGGGCTTTCCCCAGGCAGGAAGGTCACCTATCACCCTACTACAGGCCCTTTCCTATGAGTGCCTTTCTCAAGAGACCCTTTTCAAGCCCAACAAAAATATATCACATTAAAACTGGAAATTTCAGTATTAATAAGGCAATGATTTTAAAAGATCATAGCACATTCATACGATGGAATAGTATGCAGACATTACAGATTTAAAGAAATAGACTATACAGTGACAGGGAAAAAGGTTTTCCATTTACTGAGTAAATATGAGTAACTCAGTAATTAGTATCACTTGATCCAAAATTGTCTAGAAAATGTGTCTGGAGATTATACATATATTTGTATATGCAAATACTGAAAAACAAGATTAGAAAAAAGACCCTAAAATATTAATAGTGACTACCTAGAATTTTTGGCAATTATTTTCTTCTGTTTGTATGTGTCTCCCAAAATTTAAATAGAGAACATTACTTGCATAATCAGTAAAAACAATCAAAATTATCATACCATCCCCAAATAAGAGGGAACTTGGTTCTATACCTCTCAGGTTGTGAATACTTGGTGGCTCCTACTCAGCTGACTGCCACATTGTGCTAGGCAACACTGACCCTCACCCCCAACCTGAAGGGGATCCCCAAGCTCACCCTTTCACTAACTTAAGCCAGAAAATGAAGGTGGGACACTAAACCCCAACTGACCTCCACCCCTGGGCCTACCTGGGCACGCCCTCCATCTACCTTGGGGCCTGAACTCCAACCTCCAGCCAGGTGTGCACTCACCAGTTCTGCAATAAGGGTAGGCATTCCATGCTTTTTCATGTATATTCAGGGCTCCCTCTGGGGCCAGCATTCGAACAAACGTGGGCACTTTGCTATGGTGAGAAGAGAAGTGGAGGTGAAAGTTAGAAGTATGGGGGCTTTTACATCACATTCTTCAGGCCACAGCTCCAGCTTTTTCAATGGGGAGTTGACAGGCAAGTTTCCATGAGATAAGTAGGTTACTCTTATGTGTGAGAAGGCACCTGCCAGAGCCCGATATACCCCAGTTCGGCTGGCTACCAATGCCCATTCACAACTTGCCCCAGCACCCACCAGAACAGGGCAGGTGACATCCCCAGCTACCTGCCATGGCTTATCAGTCATTACATTATATTACCCATTTTTCCAGAGCTCACCGGGCCCAGGGCATTATACTACATACTGCAAGGATGAGATATCACTGAGAACACACCAGCCTTGCTTAATGGGCCAGAGGGACTAGCTGACTAATTTGGAATAGGGGTCCGAGATGATCTGATCTGGATCATCAGTTCTGGGAGGCCAGGAGAGCGTCAGGGCCATCTGCCTCCCAGGAAAATATTTTCCTTTATTCAGTTCTTATCTCAGGTTACAGAACAGTGTGTACAATACAAACCCATCTTGGGTTTTTGGGTTTCCTTTAAAGATGCACATATTTCCCTCCCCTAGTTTTTAACTGATAATCTATGCAGTCTTCAGCAGGCTCCAACAATCTCAGGAGCATTAGTGCCTAAGGCGTAAGGACAAAGAGCTAAACACAATAGAGAAGGAACTCAGAGCAACCTTCTGAGTTACTCACTCACTCACTGTCACACTCACTCAGGTATTCTGTGCACCAGGTACTGTGAGACATACAAAAATCACACAAACATGGCTCCTGCCCTCACGGAGTTTACATTCCAGTCGGGGAGTAATGAACACAGCCAAGGCAGCACAGGAAATGCAGATGAGCGCAGGGCTCCTGGGGACAGAGCACTGGGAGAACTCGGCAAGGAAAGCCCAGTGCCCAGGGAGGCTCCTCAGGGTAACAGGGATTAAATGAACACGCAGAGTGGAGAGTGAGTAGGACTGAGCTGGACTGAGCTAGATGAAAGGACAGGAGTGGGGTGGGAAAAGCTTGGAGAAGAGAGAGAAGTGCAGAGTAGCTGGTGTAAGGTACAAGGGAGGGAGCACAAGAGAACATACAGAAGCTGGCTCATAAAGATCTTGTAAGTTATGTCAAAGAGCATGGACTTTATCCCAAGGGCCAAGGAAAGCCATCAATTGCTTTTAAGTCGGGGAGCAACAGATCTGTCTTCTGGACACAACACTTGAAGCTGTGCAGAGAAGAGGAACGTAGGGGTTGCTGTAGTAATGCAGGCAAAGATGATGGAAAGAAATGGATATGGTGGAGATAGTAAGGAGATGGAGTCAAAAGAACTTGACTTGATATGAGGGACAAGGAAGAGGGTAGCGGTGAACTCACATTTCTGACTGGGCAACTAGATGCCTGTCGGGGAGGCCTAGTCTTCATGAGGACAGGTGGTCTCGGTATTCAGCACTGTTGCTCTGGGGCTGGTATTTTGCAGTTGGGTGTTTTGGGGGTAAGGAAAGAGTAACAGTAGCAGCTCAAAGTCTACATCCTCTCTTTTAAGGAAGAGGGTAAGAGAGGTCGCACCCTCCATTTGTACAGACCACCTCTCTGCCACTTTGGTAGAGCCAACTGAGTCTTGAAGAACCATCTGGCCCCTTCTACCAACCTTACTATCTCTTTTCAAAGTTCTCTTTAAAGAAATACAAATGCACAGATATGAAGAAGGTATATCTTGAGCCCTATTCTAATCAACTGTTAATGGCTCAGGCAGTCAACTGAGTTAGGGATGGAGGGGGACAAGGAGGTGGCGTGAAGGGAAAAGAGTACCACAGCAGGAAATGGGACCGGGGTGGTATTTTTCCCCCCACAGTGCTGCTCTCCTCCTGGCTTCTGCACTCACAAGGCCCTGGGCCCCCTAGGCTAGCATTTTTACATCTCCACAGTAGCAACTACACTAAATCGGGTTTTGCCAGTGGAAAATGAAATTGGGATCAGTTCAGTTTAGTGACAAGAAATTAAAATTCAGGTTTAAGTCGAAGAGTTGGTACAGCAACATGACTGTTCTTAATACCACTGAATTTAAAAATTATGCATTTTGCATTATGTTTATTTTGCCACAATTTAAAAAAAATCACTTATTTTTTATTTATTTATATTTGTACAATTATAGATTAAAAAAATACTTTTTTCCAGTACTGGATACTTTCTAGACTAACTTGGTTCAACTTTCATTCAAGTTGGTGTATGTTTACCATCGCTTTCAACACCCTTTGGTTGGAGATTCAGCAAATTCGTGTGGTTTGCTATGCTTTTTGGTATGCAAAGCACCTCAAGCTTCACTTTTAAACATTTATGTTTTGGATCCAAAGAGATGTACCAAGATTTCTCTGACAGCTGATGTCACAACATCAGAATTTAAAATAATACCTGCCCCACAATACTACTTAGGAACATTTACTACAGATTTATACACATAAATACATCAAAAGATTTGTGCAGAAAGTGTTTCACTAGAGTACTGTAAGTAAATATCTGGAAATGACTATAAATATACACCAATAGAGGATGGGTGAAACAACTTACAGCATATCTGTACAACAGCACCGTGTGGACTTTCAAAGAACAAGACAGACTATGCTAACAGTGATGGCAGCTATGACATGATCAGGACCAAAAGGGCAAAGTCGAGAACAGCATGTATAGTCCAATCCCCTCTATCACACACACACTTCTTTACTCACAGACAAGGGAAGGGCCCACAAGGAACTAAACACTATCTCCTCTGGGGAGTAGGACCTTGGGGGGCTGAAATTTTACTTTTATTGAAAACAAAACAAAACCTTTAAATGAGGGAATAATACCACCTCCACCCACTTTCACAGGTGAAGTGACTTGAGCAACTAGCAAATAACATGAAAACACTCCAATTATCCATCAACTCCACTGCAATACTGGGCCACCTTTCAGCTCTGCTGCTCAGCCACATACCTCTGCAAGTGGTAGATCTTGTGTGTGTACTGGCCTTTCTCGCCGTCCTTCTCATAGGGCTCGTTCACCAGCACCTCCACACCTTCACCACCACCCGTTTCATTTTTGCTGGCCTCAGCCACAGAATACAGCTGCCCTACTTGATACTAAAGGAACAGAAAGACAGGAATTATTGTCAGCGCAGAATCTTCTTGACAGTTGCGCAGTCCAGTTGCTGGTAACTGTCCAGTTAGATCCCTCTGGGATCCCCTCTTTGGGAGCTCTTTCTGCAGTGTCACACGGACCTTGCCCAAATCCACCCAATGCAACAGAGAAAGCTGCTCCATGGCCTCTCTTTAGACATCATATGTGTTTAATTTCATCCTTCCCATTTTCACATCCTCCATCAAGATGAAGGAGAGATAGAATACACTTAACCTCACACCACTACCCAGAAAACAGATTATATAGAGAGTCCAAGGTAGCTTTTTCCCTGGACCTGCCTCTAATATTAAGACCCCAAAACAAGATCTGGGTTAGTTGCTAGAAGTGTCTTTATTCCTTCATTTAAAGAGATCCTAAGATATGACTTCTAGTCAAAGAGAGTTGCCCAGTGCCCTGTGAAATCCACAAGCTCTACTGTAAAACACCGGCTCACCTACTTGCTTTCCTCTCCAGTGCTGGGCCCTTCCTCACCCTGCCAGCAGCTCAGAAAACAGTCTTGCAGGCCGCCAATCTCCTGATGCTTTCCAGATTCCTGGAGGGGCTGAAACAAGTGCCCTGCTTCTCATATTAGACAGCACAGATTCCCAGCTTACAGTTTGTGCTGGCTGGGTACACCCTCTGTGTTGGCACTTACTAGATGGCAAAAGCCTAGTTTTCCTTTATTTAGGTCACATGTCACCCTATCAAGTCACCAGTCAAGATCACTGGCCTCCTCTGACCCCCACAGGACAAGTCAGTGTTATGGCCAATGACTGGACAGTGCCCAGGCCTGGCCCTTCTGTCCCTTTTCCTCTGAGAGAAGCTGTCTGGAGAGAAAAATAAGGTGAAAAGAGAATGAGCAGCAGCACAAATGCAGGAAGGTGCATCTTCCCTATCACTGCTAGGGCCACAGTCTAACAGTTTAGGGAGTATGCGAAGAAAAAGTACTAGACTGCATATTGGGGTGGTAAAGGTTTTCCTCACCTCTACACCCTATCCCCTAGCTCCTGGTACTTCAGGCTGAGCAGTAGAGCTGAAATAAGGGTTTTTCTCCCTTTGAGATTAAAACAGAGAGGCTGCATCTATGAGCTGCTGCCACTTATGCCACAGAAGGGTCACAGGCAGCATCTAGGGTTGCTTCACCTCAAACATGGAAGCCTGCTATGCCAGGCAGCTTCATTAGACTGCAGGGAAATTTCTCGGCCAAGTCTGGAAAACGAGGCAGTAGACCAGGACAATTCACCACTCACCATGAAAGCTGAATGAGCCCCGACTTCCAGAGCAACACACAGGACTAAATGCCAAGAAATGGCCCAGGCAAGTGATCAAGGCTCAGTTAATCCCATAAAGAGGAACATCTGGGTGAGAGCGAGTCCCCTTGACCTTGCTAATCCTGAGCAATATCAGTGCTGCCTCAGTGCCCCTATGGAGTCCCAAGCTGTCTCTGTGCCTCTCCAAGTCCACCCCCTGGCCAAGGCACACATAAAAACTGCTATCAAGTAGGCCAGGGTTTGGCTGAGCCATGGGTTCCTACAAAGGAACAGTAACTCTGTTTCAGAGAAGAGTCATAAGAACATCTAACTACTAACTCAGCGGTCCTAAATGGCAGGCTGAGGAAAGGTCTGGTGGAGGGGACTGGGTGCTGCAAGGGAGGGGCCCCCAGGCAGAGACTAATTCCCTTTATTTGGTTCCTCTTCAGCTGCAGGAATCAGAGGGACAGGCTCTAAGAGGATCAATCTGTTGGGCTGGCATCTTCCCCCCATAATCTCTTTTGATATTCTGATCCTTTAATCCCAATGAGACAAGTGTAGGCACTTTTGTTAATCCAGAGGGGTAAGACTGACCTCCACAAGCTACAAGTGGGGGACACTTTTCAAGTCAGAGGGTTCTCTTTGGCATAGTGACTCCACACCTTGGGAAAGGAGGCAGCCAGGCTCAGGTGGGGACAGGGGAGTGGTCAGACCAGTAAATCAGATAAAGAGCCCCAAGGAGACTGGGACTCCAGCCTCCTCCAAAGGCCTAGTACCCTGTTCCCTGCAGTGAGATCTGTTCCCTTGTCCAAAGAATTAAGACACTCGACTAAGAAAAACAGACTCTACCACTCTGGCAGTCTGGGAGTGGGAGCCCAGGGAGATGCAGTGGGTGGGCCTGAAAACACTGACATGAAACGTCATGAAACATAGCGCAGCTCTTGGCCCTGTCAGACTGGGTACCATAGAGGGATGGTTGGGGAGGGTGGGCCAGCCTGAGCCAGGAACCACAGGTGGACACACCCATGTGAATCAGCCAGGACTTTCTTGCTCTGGGGCAGAATGCCTAGAAAGCCTGTGGTGCTGGGCCAAAGGCTCTAGCCAGGGAGAAGCTAATTCCACCCCAAAATAATGATTCAGGCCTTCAGGATGGTTATAACGACATGATTTTCTCTTTTCCCCCTAAATCAGAAAGTTCTGAGGGCCTCAAACCATGGCCTCCAATTAGGAAGTGAATCCAAAAGTCACATGATGCTGGGCTGTTCCCATGGGAACCATGAGTCAGGATGGGGTTATTGATAAAGACTCAGGTCAATCACTTCTTGCTTCTTCTTCAGCCTTCCCATTCAAAATTTTCTGATTTTCTGAAACTTAAGTTTCAAGGCATCAAAAAAGCATTAACTGCTTCAACCCTACCCAGGCCATGCACTGCTTTGTCACCTGTGGTTTCCAGCTGAGAACAGGGTAACCATCACCAGCAGATAGACAAGTCCTAACCAGCGCTTACTGACCAAACTTCAGGCTTCATTCACCCTGCCCCACCACTTCCTTAATGCTGCCAAAAAACCATCACAAACTGCAGACTGCCACCGCAGACACTCTCAAGATGAGTTCCCCTTTTCCTCCCCTCTTGGCCCCAACATCAGCAATCAGTGTTCTGGTCCCTCCAGTCTCACTGCAGAGTAGCCAACAGGTGACCCTGGACAGTTCTGGCCCTCTGGGTTGGCCACACTTCTCAGAGACATTTCCACCCTTTGTTCCCTCAAGAAACTCCCCTAAAAAGATCCCTTTCACCCCTAAATGCATATTGATGTATTCCCTAGTTTCTGGGGAACATCTGCCTGATCAAGAAAGTTGGATGGGATCATCCTATACAGCTGAGAGGGTCACTGAGCCCCCAAAAGCTGATTATCATCAGAGTAAGGGACATGCTAGGCCTTGCTGCTGGGACTCCTGGTTTGGAAAATCATCACTTGCTAGTTTTCACAAAGACAGCAAGCCACCAAAGCAGGTGGGTTAACAGGGCCCCCCCATGTCAACACCTATCAGCCCAGATATATGGTTCCCAGGCCCCACATATGCCTCAGATGCCTCCAGGGATCATAGAATCTATCCATTACCCTCAGTCTCATTTCTCTTATCCTTTTTTCCCAGAATTCCCAGATCGTGTTTGAGACCCACCTCTGGGCCCCTCCCCCAGGTCTGTACAGCTCTTATCAGATCCCACTGGAGATAATGCTCTAAGGGGCCAATGCTTGCCCACCCTTTTGGGATCAAGAAGCTTGGATATTTGTCTCATCTACAGTGTACTACGGGCTCTGTTGGCCTGATTTCATTTTTCAGAGGTCCATTTCACATTTGGAACAGAGTGGAAGCTATCACAGGAGTTTCATGCTGACACTGCAGGAAAAAGACTGACTGAGGGTCCTCCACTGGCTGACAAACTTCACCCAAACTTGAGCTTAAATGAATTCAGAAGTAAAGAACAGGCTGTGCCAAGAGAGGAGAGTGGAAGAAGTTCAGAGAAAGGTTGGACAAGGGAGGCTCTGTGACAGTTTTCTGTTGTCCAAGAGACCACTCTGAGTCAGCATGGCCTATGAACCTTGTGGCAAATCCTGCCAGATCCCCATACACAGGGACGTCGGGCCCAAGAACCATAAAAGGACAGAGGGCAAGCCAAGCCCATTTGTTTCCCTGCCTTCTGTAAAAGGAGGGTTCTGGGCCTTGTTCTTCCCAGCAGTCACCTAGAGTGTGGTTAGGGAGGGCCTTGGAGATTTCCTGCCCTAATGGTTCATTGCACAACCAGAGGCAGCCGTGCACACTTCCCAGTCAAGTCATGGAGGTCCCAGAAATGCACACATTCAATTCCCTCAATAATATGTCCCCAAACAGGCAGTCCCAGCACATAAAAAGGGCTGGCTTAGTCTCTATTCAACATCATCCAGCATGCCCACAGCTTGAGGCAGCCACACACAGTTGTGGAGATATACAAAGTAAGTGCTTTCCTTCAACTCAAAATGGCACAAGGAGAATTCACATCGAGTACTGATTATGTCTTCGTTAGAACAAACATGAAAGCCACACATACAGTATGGGCTCCTTGGAGCCCAACTTAGCCAATGGTCATAAGGAATTACATACAATTATGGAGAAAAAGGACTTACCTCCTCTACAGACACAGGCAGGATAACACGACTATAAGAGAGGGAAAATAAAGTATCAACTTTGAGCTCTGCCCAAGGTCCTTAAAGCATCATCTAGAATAGTATTAAACATTTTGTTGCACATGACCTTAAACTCACTGTCAAAAACCCAGCAGAGAATTGTCCCCTGAGTGCTTAAAGGCTCTCTTGTGCCCTTCTGGCATCTCAGTTAGAACCCTGTGATTCACTGCAAACCTGTCCCCCCACCAGCTACCTCCCAGGCCTCTGACTCACATTTGGAGCTGACTTCTTCTCCCTCTCCCCCACTAATATCTTCCCCAACAAAACTTGGCAATGAGTCCAGTAAAACAAAGTGGTTAACACACAAGAGGACCCACCCCTGCAAACTCTGACGCCAAAATGACAATTCAGACCCAAAGAATCAGGCCTTGGGGAATTTACATCTCTGTGGACCTAATCTCACAAAAGCAGCCCTCAAGGTGAAAGGCTAGCAAGAGACCAAGCTCACTGGACGCTTAATCACCCTAAGAACACATAACAACCATCTCTCCTGTAAGGAAGGAAACTACAATACAATTTACTACCACAAAGCCACCGAGAAAAGACACCCAGCTTGTGACCTCCTGAAGCTGTTCACAGGCCCCCTGACTGATCACTTTCTTTTCCTTTTTCTCCATTTCAATGACCACCAATTGTTGGAAGTACTACCAATGATCTGATGGAGAAGCCACAGCCAGCAAGGTCCCCACACTGGTCAGGACTCCACAGAAGTGCCAACGGCTACAGGGAGCAACAGCCAAACCCCAGTTTAAAGCTGTGAGGTCAGAGAGCTGATAAAAATACTTGGTTGTGTTCATACAAATAAAGCCAGTTCCCAATTTTAGTTTCTCAGTTCCCAGACCCTAGCCCAGACCCACCAGAGCCCCCCACACCTTGCATGCGTGGTGAAGCAGGAACTACTATGCTCTCCTTCCTATGTAGTAGTTCTGGCAATCAGGGTCCTTGCTCCAGACTGGTAAATAGTCCTCTCTTATTTTCTAGTTCCACAAAGGTCCCTCAGGAAGTGAGAAGCACACGGAGGGTTCTGAGAAAAATATCACACTAAAGGCAAAGCACGGAGAGAAATGTAGCAAGAAAAACAAAATGGGCTCCAAGTCTTTCCTGACTTCCAACCCCCCTACCCCGAATGACTCAAAAAACGTAAATCCTGTAGGTTATTGGCTGCTGCCACTAATGCCCTCGTCCCATTAGAGAAAGCCGACAGTGCAGAAAAACACTCCCAACTTGGAGGCCACAATTTCTGCACCCTCAGAAGAAACTTCCTAGAAAACAATAAGCCTTTCATCTTCAAGAAAAGCAGTTAAAATCACATCCAAGAATTTGCAGAGACCAAATCAAGGAGAATCCTGTTAGAGGAAGTATCAGAAAAATCAACAGTGACAACCTTCAGACCCTGGAGACTGGCATTCACCAATTCCTGACAAGATGCTGGGAGGCTGCTTACACTACAGTTGCACACCCAGACAGATGCTTCGCCCCAGCTCCTTGGGAGGAAAAGCCCTTCAGTAGCAATAGGGTGCAATTCCAAAGGATAGGGCCACAGAGGCAGTGCCAGGCTGAGACTGGAGCCATGCTCCCTTCAGTGTGACCTTCACTTGCACCCTTCCCAGAGCTGCAGCACTGCAGCCACAGCCAAAGTGTCCTGGATACCCCCCTTCTCGTCCCCCTTCCAGGGATGCACAAATGCACTCAAGCATACACAGGGCAGAAGTTGGGCAGGAAGGAAACGCAGATGCCAGGCAGGCTCTGCATCCCTGGCACCTTGGAGCTTTCCCTGGCAGGCTTCAAGGAGAGGAGAACAAAGAGTGGGAAGGGAGGACCTTCCTTCAAAACTCTCTCTGATCTCTTCTGAAGGTCCCTTCCTTCCCTTCCCTGCCTGACCTTTTCAGAACTATAGGTTTCTACAGGTTCTAGGATTCATCTGGGAGAAGAGAAAAGGATCAGGAGAATGGGAAAGGCCTGTCATCTGAACAGTCAAGATTAAAATCCAAAGTGTACCATGCTCCTGTTGGCCCCAAGGTTCTTCCTCCTCGCCACAGAAAACGCCAAGCTCTGGCTGGATCAACATGAGACTGGATGTCAAGAAACAGAGGTAGAAGGGTGACAAAATGCTGCTGCTCAGGTGAGCTGTCAAGCTGGGATGACACCTGAGTCTCTGCTGCCTTTGTAATCCAAAGCTCTACACTCTGTTCTCGATGTCCTGAACACCTCCAAGGAGCAAGCTGAATGGGATGGGGCAAAGTGCCTCACTGACAAAATGGCAACAGCCCTCCACACACCTGCCTGGCTACCAAGTGAGGTCCAGCAGTTGCTCTCTACTTGCACATCTCCCACTTCTGGACTTTGTGGGCTTCTGGTCCAATGCTGCCACTTGCCCTCCCCTCCGAGGAAGCACAGTTTCACTGTGAAATCCAAACACACACACACAATCTCTCCTTTTTGAGAGAAAAAAAGAAGTCCTTAAATGTTTACTTGGAACACAAGCTTCAGGACTGGGTCATCTTGTTAGAAAGATTTAGCAGTCCAAACACACCACCTGTCATCCAAGCCCATTTCACTATAATGCCTACCAGAAGTCACTAGATTCCACCCTCTAGTCACTACTCAAAATTTCACTCTCCCTTCAGTGCCTTGCCTCAATTAATGGCTTTCATGAAACCTCAATTCCTCAAAGCAATTTCAACTCAAAGCAAAACAACTGAGGATCCTCTAGAGATAGGCTGCTCCTGTCCCTCGCCCCCACTCCAATAATATGTATATTTATTCACAAACATACTCTCTTTCCAAACCATCCACTACCCTGGTAACATTCTGATCTGCTCCATCACCAAAACTTCCTCATATCACTTCAGCCCATGCCCAATATTTTCTGGACTCCTCACCCAAGTGTCCCCAACTTCCAAGCAATCATCCTAAGCTTTTTTCTAAATACCTCCTCCGCACCTACCACTTGGGCACCATGTCACACCACCAGTCCTCTCTGCTATCTCCTGAGACCCTTCCTCTGTCACCCGTGTGGCCCTGACTCCCGGTCTTTTTCCCTACCCACTTATTACAACCTTTCCCTTAATGCCTATGGCAGCCACTCCTCCCCATCATCTCAACTCCATTCCTTAAGCTGTCTTATCTGATCTGCTAGTGTCCCTTAGTATTGTTTCACCCCCCCAAACTCCCCCCCACCACTGGCCAGCTTGCCAACCCTTCCTGCCCTTGTCTAAACTGTTTCTCTAGCCCCTCAGACAATTCCTCCCTCTCCTGCCAGCCCTCTCCTCTCAGCCACTGCTGCAGTTCTGGCTGGCCCCTTCAACCCTCAGCCCCACTCCGAGGACAGCCCCACATCTCATCCAGTGTTCCCGATCCCCTCAGCTCCTCCTCACGCCCTGTCCAGCTCTCACTGTCCCCTTGACCCCATCGCAGGCCCTGTCCGGCCCTCATTGTTCCCTTGGCCTCTCCTGAGGCCTATTTGGCCCTCGCTGCTCCTTGGGCCCCACCTCAGGTGCTGTCCGTACCTCTCTATCACCGTTTGGCCACACCTCAGGCCTTGGCCGGCCCTCACTGTCCCCTCAGCCCCTGCTGGGCCGCCCAACAGCCCCATCCAGCGCTCTCCATCTCTTCGAGCCCCGTCAGGGCACTGCATGCCCTCTGCCAGGCCATCACCCTTCCTAGTCGTCACCCCCGACTCTCCCTTCCTCCCCGCTTCCGCACGGCTGACCGGACACTCACTACTCCTTGAGCAGCACCATGTCGTTTCGCGGCTCGGCGGCTGCCCGCTGCCTGCCCGGCTTCCCGCCTGCTTCCCGGCGGCCGCTCTCCCAGTGGCCCGGCCCGGCCCGGCTGCCTGTGCGCCTTCGTCGTGGTCCGCTCCGTCCGCGCCGCTCTCGCTGCGGTCGCCGCGCCGGCTTCTGCCGCCTTGGCCTCGCAGCCTCCAGCGCCGCTGCCGACGCCGCCCGGAGGTTCGGTTCCGCAGCGCCGCGCGGGGGCGGGGCGTCTCTGCGGCAACCAGAGCATCACACGCAGCGGAGCGCGCTGACCTCAGCGTGGAGGCGGGGCCTTCTTCGGCCCGCCCACTCCCTTCCATAAATGGGCCGCGGTGTCAGCGTCCGGGATGGAAGTGGGTCCCGGGCCTGCGCGGGACCCGGGCAGTGGGCGGAGCAAAGGCGGGGGTGCCTGGCAGTACCCTAGGTGTGACCTGCAGGCAGAACAGATGCCCTCGGTGGGGTGGATTAAGATCCAGGAAAAGGTTGTATCAAAAACACATTAAGAATAGCCCAATTTACGTGATTTTCTAAGTGTTGACTCCTCATGACAACTCTACCAGAGGTAGAAGGATGGAAGGTGCTATTACCATTCTGGTTTACAGGTGAGGAGAAGGAGGCAGAGATTAAAAGACTTGCTCAAATCCAAAACTAGCACGTGATGGAGATTTTCATTTGCGAAGTGTCTGTGTTGGATTCTCCCAGAGGAGGACGCCGCCCCAAATCACTCACGAAAGGCATCTCTTGATGCAACAAGCAAGAGGAATTTATTCAGGAACCAGCTAGCTGGGGTCCAAGTGTCAGCCCGACGCAGTGGGTTTCAACAAGGACTCTGAGCAGCTAAAGCCAGAGGTTTTTATAGCATTTTCTAAGAGGACAGTATTGTTCTACAAGCACGTACACATGATTCATCGGCTGGCGTCACATCTTGGGGGGTTCAGTGAGATAAGATTACTCTCAGAATGCTAGGGTGGGTTTCAGCAAGATAAGCTTGGTATGTATGATTAACTGACCAAGGTTAGCTGACTAAAGGCCACAGCTGCCTGTGCTTATGATTGTCTAACTTGTTTTTCACCTCGTTTTCAAGGCCTTTCTGAGTCACATATTTAGAAAATGGCTTCTGAGCTTCTCAAGATGGCTGTGCTTAGGCTAACCTGATGTCTTCACTGAATGCTTAGATCCTACATCTGTTGTGAACCAAAACCTGTGCTTTTGTTGACAAAGCGAGCCACGCAGATGCGATCTAGCCCTTAGATAACTCAAGAGTCAAGAGGGGATGGTAGGTGGGTGAGTGGAGGAGATAGAGCCAGGCAATTAGAACGAAAAGGGCTGTGAGCGGAGAACTCAGGTTTGATGGATTACATAGGGAGGTGTAGTCAATGGAAGCTTCCAGAAGGAAGAGGTTCTAAGCTGCGAGCGGCAGGGGGCAGTTTACCTGGCAGGGTGAATGCAAAGCCTGGAGGCAAGAGGGAGAATTTGTATATCTTGGGAACAGAAAGAAGTGACTGGGGCACAAAGTGTGTGTGGTGGCTGAGGAGCTGTAGAGGGGCAGGATGAGGCCCAATAATGAAGTTCCTGTCAGGTGATAAGGTGTTTGGAGTCCATCCTTAGGGCATAGGCAGTGGAGAAGGGATGAAGGGGGTCAGAGTAGAGGCAGGGACATCCGTTAGGAGGCCTCTGCAGAAGTCCAGGTGAAGACGGACTGGAGCAGTGGTGGGAAGTGGTGGGGAGGAAGGGATGGATTCAACCAACTCAAGAGGTAAAATCAGCAAACACAAGTTGACTAATTGCCTGAGAGGGTGAATGGAAGGAGAGGGGAAAACCACCCAGGTTCCTGGCCTGGGAGCCTGGGTGGACAGTACTTCCTTCAGGAAAACACAGGAAGGGCAGATATTTGCACAAGGGAAGATAATGACTCCAGTATTGGACTCGAGGGGCTCCCATGTGGTGGTGAGTGGCCTGTTCAAGAGAGAGACTTGGGAAGGGAGGCTGGAGCAGGTGGCCACACTGTTGTCAAACCATGACTGGTGCCCAGGACAGCCCAGAGTATTGCATGTATTAGCCACTCAATCCTCAAATCCTAGAGTGGGGGCATGGAATTCTCCAGAAATCAAAGCCCAAGACCCATGAGAGAAGGCCAAGAGAGGAGATATTATGTTCCCAAATCCAAGATTAATTGAGTGGCCTGGCCCCTGGTCTTCTGACCCAAGTGTGGGGCTTTTTCTCCATAATATCAAGGGCTGTATGCTGGCTTTCTCCAAGAAGTAACCAGACCTTGCCCTCTGAGAGCTTGCTGTCTAGTTGGGATAACTACATATACTCATTCATTCAATAAATATTGATTGACCTCCTGGCCCTATACTAGGCCTTTTTCTAGGCACTCAGGCAGGATACAGGGGCAACCAAGAAAAACTAGGTCCTTCCCTTGTGCTGTGGTGTGAAAGGGAACATAAACGAATACAGAAATAACTTCAAGTAGCAGTCAATTTTAAGAAGAGGTTGAATAGGTGACTGTGGGTTGTGGTTGATGGCATAAGTCTAGTGGTCAGGGAGGCTCTTAGAGGAGAGACAATATTTAGACTGCGACCTGAATGAAGAGAAGAATTATTGCTAAACTAGCTCTTAGTTATTAAGAGTTGAGACAAGGAAATCTGGAGGGCTGTGCTTGACGCTGGGGAAAAGCAGCCGCAAAACAGCAGAGAACCTGAGCCCCAGCCTCTGCTCTTCAGCTCATGGAGGAGACCTTGCACTTGCAGAAAACTAAGTAATGACTCAAGGAGCCAGTAGCTGGCAATAAGGGTGAACGAGTGTGACACAGAGAATAGTGGGGGTAAGGTCCAAGGAGAGGCTTCCTGGGCTGGAGAGGTATAGGAAGCATCCGGGGACAAGAGGGACTTGAGTCAGATTTGGCTCGTGTCTTTATTTTCCACACAACAATTCCTTTCGGGTTCCTGGACCCAATTCCAATGTGTGTGTGGCAAGGGAGAGGGTCTTCCCACACCCAACACCAAGCAATTCTCGAACACCAGCAGGGTGTCCAAGAGCTCAACTCAATTCTGAGGTTATCTGTCTGGAAATAGCCCAGTTAAGGGCTCCATCCTACAAGACTGACAAGACTGCCCTCCACCCCCCAGGCTGTTTCCCGTGCTTCTGACGCTGTGCTACAGATTAGAGGTTCCCACAACCTCCCCCTTAGGTTTTGATTTGCTAGAGCAGCTCACAGAATTCAGGAAAACATGTTTCCCAGCTTAATAAAGTATACTGTAAAGGGTACAAGTTAACAGCCGGATAAAGAGATACTTAAGGCAAGGTCCCAAATAAAGGAGCTTCCATCCTTATAGAGCTTGGGGCCTGGTTCGGTGGCATGTGGAAGCTTTCTGATTTCCCAAGTGCGGTAGCTCTCTCCAACAGAGAAGCATAACGCAAAGAATTTAGGTTCTTCTCGGATTTTTGTGAGGGCTTCATTGCATAGTCATGATTAACTCACTGGCCATTGGCTGATTCACCCTCCAGCCCCTGCCCTTGGGTGGGGTTCAAAAGTCTCATTAACATGACAGGCCACCCTTTCACCTTTAAGGCTCTGAAGTGTTTCAGGAACTGTGGATGAAGAGCAAAATACCTGGAAAGTACATATTTTGTCGTGACTCATATGTATTTCTTACAACTCATTTTATCACAGCTAGGAAGAGGGAATGGCATATTGAACAGCAACTAGCATACGCAAAGGTGCAGAGGCAGGATTCTACATGGCTGGAGGGGTGGGGAGGCCAGAGTCTAGCCCCTGGCTAGATTTTGAGTCCTTCAGGTGTACACAGGTGGGACTGAGTGTGGGCTCTGCAGTGCCAAGCTAGAGAGCTGTGCCTCTGTTCTGTGGACAAGGAGCAGCCATTTGAGGGCCTTAAGGAACACCCAGGCTGCATCACCCCCATTCAACTGTTAGCGAGATTTCGCCACTCTTGCTTCATCGCCTTTCTTTTTGGCAACATTTGAAAGCAGATCTCAGACATGTCATGCCACCCCTCTGTTCCAGTGTGCATTCTAGAAAACTGGATATTTTCATACAAATCCACAATGCCAGTACCGTATTTAACAAACGTGGTAATTTCTTTATAATAAATCTCATACCAAATTCATATTCGGATTTCCTAATTATCTAAAATATACTATTTTGTAGTTTCTTTTAAATAAGTTTGATATATGAATAAGGTCTGCATATTTTTTTTCACATTTTATTTTTTGTTATTGTATTTCTTACATTTCTTTTACTCTAGCAAGCTTTGTTTTAGGTGTGCATAGGTGTTAGCCCTTCCATGCAGGGGCCACAGCTCTCTGTGCCCCAGGTGAGCAAACAGCTCCACTGTGGGAACAGACTCCCTGACGCCTGAGGCCTTGGAGTCCCAGCCCTACTTCCCACCTGTGTGACCTGGGGTAAGTTACTTAACCTCTCTGTGTCTCAGCTCCTACATTTGTAAAATGGGGTAGTGGTAGTGCCAGCCTCGTGGGATTGCTGGGAATCAGTAGATGAGGCAATGCACGTGAAGCAATTCTGTGTAGCGCATAGCACATTTCCATGATTACAGGGGGAGGGGCCGTGGACACCATGGCCTCTCAAATTGCTTCTGCATGCTGCAGACTTCAAAGGGGAGAAAGAAGGGACCTCAGTGTCACAGCCATCTTTCTGTCTCCCACGTCTCCTCTCTCCCTATCTGTACCTATCCTCATCTCTAGCTCCCTCTGTAGTTCTGTCTCTCCTGTCTCTTTGTATCTGTCTCTCTCTCTATGCCTCTCTTTCTCTTTCTCTCTTTCAGTGTCTCCTTCACTGGATCTCTCTTCCCTCTCTGTTCTCTCCGTCTCTCTCTGGCCCCTCTGTCTCTCTCTGTTTCTTGGTGTCTCTGTCTCTCTTTCGTCTCTCCATCTCTCTTTGATCTTTCTCTTGCCATCTCTCCTCTCTCTCTGCATTTCTTTGGCTCTCTCTACCTCCCTGTGTGTCTGTCTCTGTCACTCTACTCTGGGTAATGCACCTTCAGTCTGTTTCTTTCATCTCTTTGCAGCTGTCTCCTTTCCACGTCTGTCTATTCTCTTTATTCTGCCTTGGTCTCTCTCTCTTTCTCTCTATTGCCTTCATCTCTGTGTCTGTGCATCTCATGGTTCCTGCCCCCACATGGTTTCTCCTGGCTGGCTAGCCCTTTTTGCTGCCTTGGTCAAAGCCACACCTGTAACCCATCTCTGGGTATCTCAGGGAGACTGTGTTTCACTGTTTCCATCTTC